AAGCCTATAGTTACCTAAAAGTAATAGTAAATAAACCTATAGTAGAAATTAGTAAATCCAAAAAATACTTGGATATTATAGAATAATTCTAGTTCTAGCTATTTAATAATACTATAGACCTATTTAGGATTTATATAAATATCTTCTATTCTAATAAGGAAGCCCAAAAATTCGATTTTTTTAATATTAAACTCGTATTTACTAAGTTTATAAAATAGGTTATTTTTATATAGCTTAGTAAATATCTAATAAATATAATTATAGTATTTATCTTTATTTCAGGAATAAATAAGGATATTATCTAAATAAATAACTATAAAATAATCTAGGAGTCCTATAAGTATAGTATTAATATATATTTGAAATGTGGCTAGTATATTAGCTAGCCTAAAAGGTATTATAAGATATTTAAAATAGCTATAGTAGGTTCTAAAAGCCGTCTTCTATTTATATTCCTTATAAATTCTTATCTAATAATATATATTCTTAAGATCTAGCTTTATAAAGATCTTGGCTTTTTAGAGCTAGTTAAGGGTCTTATTAATAAGAAAAAGCAAATATTAATTCTTAATTATAACTTGGTTAAATCTATAATAATTAATATAAAGGTATAGTTCTTTATTCTTTTTAGAGACAAAAAGAATAGGCGCCCCTATTAGGCTTTTACTAGGCCTTATTTAATATTTATAAAGTATATCCTATAAATATAGATATAATACTTCTAGTTAGGTCTCTAATAGATTATATAAAGGCCTATACGGAACCGTACTATCTATATTAATAAAGTATTTAATACTATTAAGATTAGGAAGTTCTAAAGCTTTATTAGGATTAAAAACCTTTGAGAAGTTTTTATATTTATTATTCTAGAAATAGATAGGTACTTTTAAGGCCCCTTTCCGGAAGGTATTAATTTACTATATTAAAAACTCCTATTTAGTATTACTAGAACTATATAATAAAGTAGAGACCTAGTAACTATTATAAATATATAAAGCCTATTATCTAGGATAGTTATATTTGCCTTTAGTTAAGAATAAGACTTGAAATACTAGTTTAAAGTACTAGTTAAGCTCCTTACCAAATTCTTTTAGTATTAGGATTTTAATATTATTAGGCTATATAAATATATATATTTATTATTTCTTAATATAATTTATATATTATATAAGAGTTATTTTATAAAATTCTATACTAAAGATAAGGCTATAAGAGCTAATATTTTTATATTTATAAAACCAGAACTTAAAAGAATATATCTTACTATAATTATCTATAATAAATACCTTAAGATTATAGGCTTAATAGACCTTGAATTAGTTCTTATAAAAGGTTACAAATTCTTAATTATATTTAGCTAAGATAATAAAGCCCCGGCTTTAAGCCTAATTATTATTAAGGAAGTTATAATCTAATCCGGTATTACCAAATCTACTATATATTTCTAAGATACCTATTTCTGGCTATATTAATCTTATTTAAATAGTTATATAAAGTAATATACCTTTTTTATTATAGCCAAAATTATTAATATTAAGATTTGGCCTTTCTTTTTCCCTATTTCTTAGGAGAATCTTCTTTAGAATACTTCTCTATAGCTATAGTATTAACCTGCTTTTATAGATACCTTAACTCTTCTATAGTTTTGGCCTTATTAGGGTTCTATTAAGCCTATTTAGTATATTTGAAATACTTTATATTTCCTGAGAAGTATTTTTTCTATTTATAAGTCTAATAAATTATACCTAAAATAGAACTAGTATTCTATTAAGGCCTTAAAGGAGCAAAAATACTACCTAAAGGTTTCTTATATAATCTTCGGAACTTATTCTTTCTTTTTTAATAGCCTTATAAATTAGAATTTACTAAATTAGGGTTTTTAGGGGCAGAGTTATCCTTACTAGACTCTCCTGTTTTTATTCTTCTTAATTTAGGATAAGTAATATATTCTGCTTTCTGAGCTTTTTTAAGCTATTTAGAAATAGATATTATCTTATCTCCTAAAAAAATAGATATAAGTATCTAATAAGTCTTATAGTTAGATAAAATAATATTAAAAGTCCGGATCCGGTTCCTCTTAGGATATAGGTTTTAGTTAATTTTAAGACTAATTATCCGAGTATATAATTCGGTAATTATCTTATTATTTTTTTAATAAAGATCTCGGAGTTCCTTAAAGGTATCTTATTAACGGGTTTAAGGTACTTAAAATATATTAGCCAAGTAGGCCTTAAATTACTTCTAATAGATCTTATATAATAGTAGGCTTTGCTTTATTATAGTCTTCCAAGTATTATAAGGTTTATTTCTAAGGGTACTTATAATAGAGTTAATTCTAAAAGAGTATTTATTATAAGTCTAAGGTTAGGTTCTAAAGACTACCTTCCAGGAAGATATAAATATTCTCTATTTCTTAAGGAACTTTCTATAATATAAGTCAGGTATCCGGACCTTGAGAAGCTTCTTTTAGTCCAAATATATCTTCAGGATATTATATAGTAGTTCCTAACGAATAGTATCGAGATTATTTTTAAAGTTTATTATATTAGGAAAGGGGATAGGTTCTAATTCTATTTTAGGAAGTTCCCTAATAGGAATTACCGAGGAAAATAGGATAGACTTATAAATAGAGTTTCTATAAGATATAGTAAACCGTAAGGTATTTCTAAAGGTACTCTTATATTATTCTAACTATAGGATATATTAGTTAATTATATTTACTAATTCTTGCTTTTATTAGAGTACTTCGATTTTAGTATATAAGCCCTGTTCTATAGCTTAGGTAATAGTAATTCGAGTATTAATCTCGGTATTTTAATTATTACCGGGATTATTTATATTATTATTACTGGCTCTCGGAGGCTCTTAAGGGGCCCTATTAAAAGTATTAGACAAGCCTTTGCTATTACTTATATCGGGGTTAATCTATTTGACTTTCTTTATAGGAATAGCTTTGGTAAGGGGTTATATATTTTACAGATTTCGAGATATAATTACTTATTAAACTACCTTCTTTGAGGGTAAAGAGATTAGCTTATAAGGTATTTATTAGTAGGTAATAAGATAATAGAATGAATTAGTATATTATAAAATTATAGTATTAAATTTAGTATAGAACTAATCTCTATTCCTCCTATAAGGTCTAGGGAAGCCTCCTCTAAATAGGAGGCCCCAATGGTATATATATAATTAGTGATTTATAAGCCTAATATATATGATATAAATAGTAGTTAGTTGGGATATTAAAGGGCTACCGAACTCCCTAATTAATACCTGTAATATCCGAGGTTTGTTATATATCCTTAAGTTATATGCGATCCTATATATATTATAAATAAGATCCTAGGAAAGAGATATAGTTATAATATATATAGGGTTATATATAACTTAAGGGCATATAATAAACCTCGGATATTACAGGTATTAATTAGAGAGATTAGAGGCCCTTTAACTTTATAACTAACTATTATTTATATTATAAATATTAGACTTATAAATTACTAATTATATATATGTTATCGGGGCCTCCTATTTAGAGGGGGCTTCCTTGGACCTTATAAGAGGAATAGAGATTAGTTCTATACTGAATTTAATACTATGGTTTCATAACTTACTAATTTATTCTATTGTTTTATTACTTACTAATAAATACCTTATAAAAGTAATATAAAAGAAAGTACTTAGTTAAGTTATAAAATAATATATAAATAAAGCTATATTTACTTTTAATATATTAATTCTCGATATTTCGCAAATATAAGCTTTATAGCTTACTTTAGTATTATAAATAAAATTATAAGACTTAATTATTTCTTATAATATGTTTAATTATTTCTTTTATAAAGTTCTTAAATATTTGTCTTATTAGAGAAATCTCGCATCTGGTAAGATAGTTAATTTAATTAATTAGAATACGTTCTTAGGCATTAGTAAGGTATTAGTATACTTGGAACTAAAATTACTACTGCGACGTAGTTTTGCCTTTGGCTCGTTATATTAATATAGAGAGTATAAGATAATACCTTTTTGCAATTGCAGTACAATTAGGGTCCAAAGAGGTTTCGATTTCGGCCAGAGCCTATTGCATATCCTCTTCGTTAACTATTTTGTGGAGAATTAAAGCGGTAATTTGTATCAAAAATTGGTATTGCACGGGACAGGGTGTTGCATTTCAGCGGGAGTCGAGTAGACAACCCATCTTGGGGAATCACCCGGACCAGGCGGACTCAGTCCCGGGCGATCTGACTTGACATAGCTTCGGACGACCGGCGATGAAAATTTAAAAAGGTTTCGAAAAGATGAATCTGTTCATAACCAGACCGGTTGACCTGAGCAATACTGCGATTGGAGGGAAATCCGGGGAAAACAAGGATGTTCGGAGCACACCGCCTCAGCAAATTTTTGGCACCCCGCTTTGCCTTGATTACCGTTTCCTGGGGGAACGACGGCCCGAGCCAGTTGATGTCATAGGGTCTAACATTTACCTACTGACAAACTGCAGTTCAAACCTTGACCAGATCTCTGAGGATGTGAATGCTTTTCAAAATTCGGTAACCGGGTGAAATTGAGAATGAGCTCAAGTTATTGGTTGACGGGCCTATTTAGGCCCAACTTTCCTTCTTTCCGTTGATCTTTGAATGATGCTTTGACGAAGATTCGAGGTTGGCTGGGGATAGGTAGAGTTCAAGGAAAAGGCCTAGCTGACTTTGAGAACTTAGCCTGCGGATCTAAGGCTCCATGAGCACAAGACCAGAAGAAAAATTAACGTCCGGTTGGTAGATTTAAATACTAATACATTGTGGCGATATGGATTCTTGACATAAATACTCATTAACCCACCTCCTGATCTCTTTTCATTTATATCCTCATTTTCACAAGCAAGTAATATGTTCTCCCTCACTATCCTCACAGCCATCCTGGCCCTGATTCATTTCGGCAACACCCTCACCTCATCACTCCAACAAGTAACTGCTTTCACAGCGGGACCAACAAGCGCAGGAATGTACATCTATGTTCCCACAACCAAGCTATCCCTCGCCCCAATCATCGTAGCAATCCACTGGTGCAGCGGCAGCGCAAACGACTACTTCTCGGATACTGGCTACGCAACGTACGCAGATACCTACGGCTACATTGTCATCTATCCCGATTCACCTTCATCAGACAATTGCTGGGATGTTGCTTCCCTGGCAAGCCTGACCCACAATGGAGGCGGTGATAGTCTTACAATTGTTAACATGGTTAAATATGCAACGGCCAATTACGGAGGGGACGCAAGTAAGGTGTACGCTACTGGCCTCAGCTCCGGGGCTATGATGACGAATGTGTTGGCTGGAGCGTATCCGGATGTTTTTAAGGCTTGTACGGCTTATTCGGGAGTACCTGATGGATGCTTTTATGTCTCAACTGCAACTGCTGGAATGGCACAGGCGGCATGGAATACGACATGCTCGAGTGGATTGTCTGTCCAGACAGCGCAGCAGTGGGGAAATCTGGTGCGCAGCTATTATCCTGGGTATACTGGAAGTTATCCCAAGATGGCATTGTGGGTGCTCCATTTCTACTAATTTCTGCCACTTTTTGGCGTATTAGTGTCCTAAATATATACAGATATCACGGAACCGCCGATTTCACTCTCGCATATCCGAACCTCGCCGAAGAAATGAAAGAATGGTCAAATGTACTAGGGGTACCCCGGTCCCAAAACATTAGCAACACTCCTATCGCTGGCTACACCAAAATGGTTTATGGAGATGGCACTAAATTGGTTGGTTTCTCTGCTCTGGATGTAGGTCATTCGGTGCCTGTTCGAACGGAGGACGATCTTGTGTGGTTTGGCCTTATGCCATCCTCCTCGACTATATCAACTGCCACGTCCACTAAAGCCAGCACAACTTTATCAACGAGCACCACCACATCCTCTGCAAGTTCAACTAGCACTGCTGCTCATTGGGGACAATGGTAGGGACACCTAGGTGCAAATAGATCTCTTACTACAGACTATACTGACATTAGACTTAGTGGTGGCACTGGCTGGGCGGGCCCAACGATATGTGAATCCCCATATACTTGTACATACTCGAACGCCTGGTATTCTCAGGTCAGATGCACCCATTCGTTTAACAACATTTGCGATACAGTATAGCCCAAGAACTAACACCTTCTCAAAATATAGTGTCTATGAAAATTTGAGTATAACTGCCACACTGCCGTCTAAGGGTGGAGACTCCCAGCAATGTATTCGGATTGGGGGTGTAGTGAATTAAATTATAAAGGAGTATCTAAGCGCACTTGGAAAGTCGTGGTGTAATCCGAATTAGGGATATTTATGTGCGGCCGCTAGTGTGGCAATGTCTCACCGGACGAAGGGATAATGTAAACAGTAGTATGATTGTGACGTTAAAGGGACGTCGATCTCCCTGATCGACACCCGCGACATCCGAGGTTCGTCATATGCCCTTGGGTCACGTGCGACCTTGCACACATCACAATATATTAATTCTCTTATACTCTTATATAAATTCTTAATTTCTAGAATATAAATTATTTGTAACTTATTTAATATAATATAAACTAGATATTATATTAATTTTAAAAGTTTTAAACCTTAATTTTATTACTTTTAATAAGTTTTCTTTTTCTTTTATATTAAAATTGTCACGATTCCACGCTCCGCCTAGCTTGGCATCTGGCATTTGGTATCTGAGCTTGGCATCTGGCATTTGGCATCTGAGCTTAGTATCTGGCATTTGGTATCTAGTATTTAAGTATCTGGCATCTGGGGTCACATGACGGTTACACGTGACGAAGCTAAGAGAAGCTGCACTCTGGGAAATTTAGAATGCTAAGCCCTATTAGGCCGAGCCATAAGCGAGGAACTATAAATACTTAAGAGACCTTAACTCGAGACTCCCTTTTCTCTTTAGCTTAGTTTTCTCAATAAATAGTTCTCTTATAAATACCTCATTTATAGGCTTCCTTTATAGGGTTGTAACAAAAATTATAATAAAGCTTAATAATAATTAGAAATATTATATATTAAATCTTTATATAAAGAAGATTAAAAAAAGATTAGTAATTTAATTAATTAAATAAAATTCTTTAAATAAGAAAGAAAATATAAGAAAAAAGCAAAACTCGTATTCTTTAAAGTATTTAAGCTTTTAAGAATATGTAATTGTTTTATTAATTAAAAGAAGAACTTTATATAATAATAAACTTATTTATAATTATATTACTTAAGAAAGGCTTCTAGTTAAATATATTAATCGGATCTCGATTTAATATAAAAAGCAAGTATATAATTAGCTAATATTTAAAATAAAAAAATAAGAGAAAAAATAATTTAAATAAGTAATTTTTATAAGAGTATTAATAATAATAATTAAATAATATATAATTTAAAATCCATTCATTTATTTCTTTATTTTATAAAAGAAACTTATAATATTTAATTAGCTTCTTTTAATAAAAAAGTAAGTTTAATATCTTTATAACTATTGAACTCATTATAAGAATAGGGTAAAGGCTGCTAAAAGGCTATTATAAGCGAAGTGTTACCAGTGTGGGCAAAAACTACTCAAGCTACTCAAGCTACTCTAGAGTAGTCTTGAGTAGAGTAGAGTAGAGTTTGAGTAGCGTAATATGGTACTTGAGTAGAGTAGAGTAGAGTACTACTCTAGAGTAACTCAAGAGTAGTCACGTGCAAGTTATATAAATATAGTAATACAATATTTATTTAATTATTAATAAATATATAAGTTTCCCTATTAAGCAGTACTATATAAGGCTACTTAAATACTACTTTTTTTTCTAAAAAAAACAGGTTTTCCTCACTTACCAAGCCTCGCCACCACTTGATTGGGCAGTACAGTGGCGCTAGGCTCCGGCCAACCCCCAGGTCCTTACCAAATTAGGCTAGATTATCACGTGTAACATCACGTGTGGTATCACGTGTATACTACTCAACTACTCTAGAATATTCTAGAGTAGTTGAGTTGAGTATTGAGTAGAGTATGAGTAGTGAGAAATATAGTTGAGTAGAATATGAGTAGGGCCCACTACTCTACTCTACTCTACTCATTTCCCACACTGAGTGTTACAGCTTCACAAGAGGGAAAGGCTGTGATAGTTCAGGTTTCGACGTTCTGGTCACCTGACAGCTAGCATGGGAATGCGCATGGAGATATTTAGGACGCTAAGCCTCTTACGGGCTTAGCGCATTGCGGGTGCACTTTACCCTCGCAGCCTCCTGTATTCTAGTCTTCCCTCCTTTATTTTGAATCGTCTTCGTAAGGGACCTTCTACCTTGCTCTCCAAGCCCTGAATGCCGTACCCGTGACAAAGACCTTCTGATTTTGAAATTTACAACTCTGTAAATTGCTTATATCTACCAGCTTCAGGTCCTTGTTTACTAACAATCCTCCAGGCAATAGCGTTTCCATTCATTCACTCTTCAAATGCATTTTACAGAAGACAAACACCGCTAAGTTTACTCAAGGCTATTATGAATCAGAATGGCGGGAAAACCGGTGTGGAGTGAGCGGAAGTCAGAGCAGTGGTATTCTTCATCGCCCAAAATGTGTTCGATATCATTCAATATGTTTCAATGGAGTTGTAGCATTGCGGCATTATTCACAACATTTCGTCTTGAACGCTCATTCAGTCAATTACCTCGAACAGAACATTATTGATTCAAATCAGTTGGTTGGAACATTCCAGTCTGATAGTCGCGAGTCACCGTGGATCTTCGTTCCTACCCGACTTCTATATAATCTCCCAAATTTCCCTCTTCCCGCGACTTCTTCATTCAAACATAAAATTATTTCGTTGTTCTTTGCCGCCCTACAGGGGGTCTAACCACCACAACGACACCTGAGAACATAGACAGAACAATATTTCTGAACAAGATGTCGACCAACAAAGGTAAACCATCTTTAAACCCCAAGCAGTGTCCCTCCAATATCGTGTCAGAGGAAGAGGAGGCCCGCCTCGACGCTCTCATTCCAGCTCGACCAGCCCCATCAATAAACAAAAGCATCCTCCCCTCCAAACTAGATACAACACGCAGAGACACCCTTCCATCCAAGTTGGACGCAACTCTCAAAAGCAGTCTTCCTTCTAGGTTGGACTCAACACGAAGAGACAACCTTCTTTCCAAGCTGGACAAAACCTCCAAAAGCAATCTTCCTTCTAAACTGGACTCAACACGCGGAGATAACCTTCCTTCTAAATTGGACGGTAGCTCAAATGCAGATAAAATTGCAACCAAGACTATATTCACGAGTCAGCGCGATATCGAGATGGCCACTCGCCAAACGAAATATGATCAACTACCGCCGAAGGAGCAAGAGGTGCAGGAGGAGTGGGCACAAAGGAAGATCGCGGAAACGGGGCCATGTCCCGCTGGCTTCGTGTGGATCAGGGTCCCGGGTGGGTACAACTGTGCTGCTGGTTCACACTGGATGACGGACGAGCAATTGGCTGAGGGCAGGGGCGGTTTCTACAAGCGTAATTATGAGCAAGATATCCAACAATGGATGGATAACGGGGGTTCGTGGTTGAGCTTCAGAAGAAATGAGAAGTCAGAGAGGGAAATCGGGTTCAGCAGGGGTATGGACAACTTCGAAGGCCCCTTTCACGAGGGTAACCATCTCATGGGACTGAGTCCTCACCACCCCCAATTTTTCAATCAGGGGGGTATATCTGGATTTCAACGACATCCTGGTCGGCAAGATGGAGGCGGCTGGCATGACCCTTATAATAACCCCTACGATCCGTTCCAGTATCCTCCCCAAGGGTCAGGTTTCGGGGGTAGATTTCCACCACGACGCTAGTCAACAAACGGAGGTGAAGGCAGAGTGACTACGGAGCATTCGGTGGAAGCCAAATAATTTTTCCCACCTAGGATATAGAAATATAAATCGTTGAGTCCAGCATTTCCGACCCATTGACAAAGACATAATAACATAACCTCCCTACCCTTCAAGGCCTGCAGTATGATTCAAATGATACCTTGAAATCTCTGTCTCATTCGAAGAAGCGGTTCTTTGGTCTCGGAAGACCAAGATGTTCCCTTAAAGTGTTCCCCTCATACTCCTTCCGAAAGAGGCCTCTCCGCTGCAGTTCAGGAACCAAACGATAAATAACATCATCCAAGCCTTGAAGTAGAAACGGGAAAACGACCGTAAAACCATCAGCTGCTTCCTCTGCTAGCCAAGTCCCCATCTCGTCTGCAATATTCTCTGGAGTTCCAACAAATGCATGTCCTGAATAGCCTCCTAGCCGCTAAGCAAGCTGCCGCATAGTCAGCTTCTCCTTCTCTGCAAGCTTTATCACCGAAGCTTGGCTTGTCTTGCTTGCTTGCGTTGGTTTCTGGTAAATCGGTTGGCAGTGGGCTGTCAGGGTCGAAACCTGAGGCATCAGATCCCAAGGCTATTAACAAAGATGCAATCGCACTGTCATAATGTACCAGGCTGTCCAACTTGAGCCGTTTGGCTTGAGCATTCTCGAGTGAGTCACCAATGACGATAAGAGCAGCTGGCAAAATCTTGAGATGAGTCCAATCCCGGTCAGCAGCAACGGCCCTTTCACGTTCAGGTCATCGCCTTTGTGATTCAGAACATGCATTTTCTCCGGGTCGAAAAATATTCCCCTCTCTTGGTCTCTGATGAATGCATCATCGGCGAAGCTATCCCACAATCCAGTCACAACATCGCAGAACTCCCGTGCTCGTTTATAGCGAGAACCATGCTCTACATGGTCCTCACGCCCGAAGTTCTTAGCCGATTCCGGGTTTCCGGTAGTGACGATATTCCATGCAGCACGACCGTTGCTGAGATGATCCAGAGATGCAAAGCGACGAGCGATATGATATGGTTCGTCGTATGTCGTTGATGCCGTTGCTGCCAAACCGATTTTCTCTGTCACAACTGACAATGCAGAGAGCAGTGTGAATGGTTCGAAAGAGGTTACTGTGTGGCTTCGCTTTAGCGCCTCGACTGGCATGTTGAGGACCGCCAAGTGATCCGCCATGAAGAAAGCATCGAATTTCGCAGCTTCAAGTTTTTGAATGAATGATTTGATGTGATCAAAGTTGAAATTGGCATCTGGGTACGCTCCCGGATACCGCCATGCACCAGTGTGCAGGTTCGCTGGCCGCATGAAAGCCGTGAGATGGAGTTGGGGCGGTTTGGAGCCCTTTGAGTCCGCCATTTTGACGATGCTTCTGGAATCCAGTTATAGGCAGAAGAAATCTGGAGCTGGGTTCAACGTTTCTTTCATAGATGGAATCTCTGAAGGCTGATGAGATATTATAGTAAGGATTACAAATGCCACGATCACGACATCGATAGAAGTGGGGTATTTCCGTAGCTTCGGTGTCCCGCAGAAGTTCACCAATCCCGTAAGTGAGACAATGGCCACTTGGTTGTTGGATATTTGCCGCAGTCCCTTCGCCGAAGCTTTTGCTCTTGATAAATAGGGGGAAGCTGTTCTGATCTTGGTAACATCACGTGACTTTTGTGATTTTAAAGCCTCCCCCTATTCGACGATTCCGCTGCAATTGCTGATCAACATCCAATGCGGAATATGTTCTCCCTTTTAGCTGAGAAATGTCGAAAGACGCCTCCAAGGAGGTTGATTTCCCGAGCACAGATTTGAATGGTGTAAAATTCAAGCAATGGGATTCGAGAACTCGTGATGGACTGAAGTTGAAGGCTTCTGCTGAGGGGCGTACGGTGACATTAGAAAAGTAGAAGAAGAGTCGGTTGTTCATGTAACGATCGTCAATTATTTTCTGCGTGTGAAGCCGCGGGCCCGCCGTGCGCAAATGCTGGAGCTCGGCCTGGCAGGAGCGAGTCTGGTTACAGTGAGCCACTTTAAGCAGCAAACATTTGCAGGAACACTATCATGTAGTCCAAAACAGCTACCTCCGTGTTTGTACGGCGTAGGGCCACAGTTATTTGCTCCACAGGCCTTCTCCCTGTGCTAACCCCAACTCGTATACTCGCGATCGTCCTCGCTTACCTTTTTCAGGGACCACCTCGCTTCTGGCGCCAAGGCAGGAGGTGGCTAATTATCAAGCATCAGATCAGCATTTCAGTTCGATCTGGGATTAGCGTCAGGCACCGAGCCACTGAGGAATAGGCGATTTGTAATTACGTCCGTTATATAATAATCAAGTCCGGGGTAATTATGTAATCATCAAGTCGTCAAATACGTATTGCAGAACTCATTGCATAAAATCACATATGCTCCAAATATAAACCGAGTATAATTTACGATGGTACAGCTGGTATGTTTTGGCCCCTGTCGACAGGGGGGGTGCAACTTCAACACGACGTAACTCTTGTAGTTTTGGACGAAAAAAAATTATAAAAACAAGTATATGCTCCTTAAGACTAGGTAAATATAAGAATACATGTTTCCCAGAAATTTTTGGATTGTTGTGGTGGCATTGCTAGGAAGAGCTGCGACCCCTGCAAAAAACAGGGACCAAAACATACCAGCTGTACCATCGTAAGGCACAAATTCTAATATTCTTGCTCGGTGCTCCTATTGGCTAGAACCCCCTGTCTAAACTTCGTAAGGAAATACTGTAATATTTGTATAATCAAGTCAAGCGGCTTATAATGTATTATTATGTGCTCAAGTCCTAAAATACACAGCTCAATTTTACCATCCCTAACGCCACTACCATGCAACGGACAGCTTCGGGCTCCGAGCTGGATCGTGACGTAGTTTTCAACATGAAGGAAGGTGCGGGCTGAAAGGACTTAGGGGATAACACCCCAAACCAAATTTCCTGACTTAGTAATGTTATTTGAAGATCCCTCCGAGTTTGGTCGGATGTTAGCGTTCTTAACTCCAGGCGAAGGCAACCACAGACAAAGCAGCCTGACAACGTTGTGGGAAGATATATAAATGAGGGATGATGCTCGATTGTTTCCCAGCATCAAATTCATCCTTTGACTTCTTCTCGTTCAAGAAAATCGAAAGTCAAAAATTACACCTACCCCTCGACAAGAACAATGGTTCCAGAGTATGCTAAAGACCAGCCTGCTGGCTTCATCAACCGCATTGAAAGGGTTGCCATTGTCGGAGTTAGCCACATTTCCCGCCCATCTTCAAATCAAGCACTGATATATTCTAGGCTGGAGGTAATGTCGGCAAGCGCTTTGCCGAAGCCCTCCTCAAAACCGGAAAACACACCGTGACAGCGATAACTCGCGAAGAGAGCACAAGCAAATTCGTTGACGGCATCAAGGTCGCTCGAGTAAACTATGGTGACGAAGCTTCCATCGTGTCGGCCCTCCAGGGCCAGCAGTTCCTCGTCATTACTCTCGCCGCTCAAGGACCATCAGACACGCACAGTAAGCTGGTGGCCGCAGCAGCGAAAGCAGGAATCCCTTACGTGATGCCCAACAACTACGGCGCAGATGTTGAGAACCGGAAGCTGTGTGAGGAGAATCTGCAGGGCTTGAGTTGTATCCAGCGGAATGCTGAGATTGAAGCGACGGGCGTTTCCTCTTGGGTTAGTATGGTCTGTGGGTTCTGGTAAGTCAGCGTTCTCCTTAACTCATCCAGTCCTCATCCCACCTTTTCCATCCTCGCCGCTCCTAAGCCCACCCTGGAAGAGCTTGAGCTTATATATCCTCATTTTGATTAGGTACGAATGGAGTCTTGGGCTTGGAGAGCCGTGTTATGGTATTGACATCAAAACTAAGAAAGCTACTTTCTTCGATGATGGGAACACGAGGATTAATACCACTACCTGGGAGCAATGTGGAACGGCTCTTGCTGGGCTGTTGAGCTTGAAGGAGTTGCCTGAAGATGAGAACGACAAGTCGGCAACTGTCTCGAGCTGGAAGAACAAGCCATTTTACATTTCGAGTTTCTTGGTTAGCCAGAGGGAGATGTTAGATAGTGTTCATCGAATCATGGGGACAACTGACGCGGATTGGGAGATCACGTTCGAAAAAAGCGACGAGAGGTATGCGAAGGGCCTGGCAGACTTGAAACAGGGTCAGAGATTGGGGTTTGCGAGAGCGATGTATTCACGGAACTTTTATCCGAACGGGGATGGGGATTATGAGTCCAGGAGGGGGTTGGATAATGAAAAGATCGGATTGCAGAAGGGTGACTTGGATGCAGCGACAAAGAAAACCATCGAGTTGGTAGGAACCGGCTGGAATCCTTTCGGTGGGGTAAATTGAGCGGGACGCGGTTGTTTCTTGCATTGTTTAACCAGAATAAACCTCCAGCCATGATCTTGTTGTACCAAATAGTTTTGTCATCTATGGGAGCCTCGGAAATGGCACCGAAGTCACTGAAAAGGTTTTGTACAGTATGCCGAAAGTAGGGGGCAGCAATGGAAGTGTGGAAAAGAAGTGTTCTTCTGGATCGCTCCTTCTAGCAATAGTTGGCGAATCTTCACAAGGAACGCTCCACGCCCCTAAAATGTTGACCTGCACATTTTGAGAAAGCCTAGGTAATAGATTCTGCAATACTGAGGCAACCTTTTCAACAACACTGCCCAAACCTGCTCATCCCGCCAAGTGGTAGCTTCAGCAATAAATCCGTATCTCCTCAAGCAAGGAAAGACAGCCAAGTCCTTAGACAAAATTTCTAATGCTCAAATGCTTCGCTTGCTGTGGGTTCAGTTCAATGCCCAGAAAGTCCTCATCGAAAGCTGGTAGTTCGTAGACATTTTCCTCCCCCTGTGGTCGTCGATTCTCTTTCCCTTCATTTTCCTCCTCTCCATCCGCGATAAGTTCTTCAACCATGCCCGGCTCTATGTATTTCTCATTGAATTCAAAATTATGTCTGGCATATGCTGCAGCGGTGACAGGTGTCGAAGGCGGGTCAAAGCCAGTGATTGCCTTGAAGTCGCAGGCTCGAACCAGGTAGACTGGGAACAGAATTCGGTTCTTAGTGTCCCATTCGGTGGAGGGCATAAAGTCTTGATGTATGATTTGCTCAACTCCTCCCCATTGTGACTTATTGAGTCCTTTCGTGGGGCTGCGGCGAGACGTTGGTACGGGTTTTCCGGCAGTTGTTCCAGCTCCGAGTCCATGGCCGGATGCGCTGCTTTGCTGGTCGAGATAGACGTAGATCGTGTCGCCCTGCCATAGTTCTTCAGTAAATGAGACGTGGAGAGAAGATATGGACGGGAAGAGAGCATACCCTGGAAGCTTCGAGACTGTCGAGGGTATCAACTGGACACATCAGCAGGTCTCACAATAAGAAACTACTGTGCTTACAAGGACCAACTGTATCACCCTCAAACGAGATCCGAAGAACCTTCCTCAACGGTATCGCCATCTTCGTCAGCATCTCGTCAATCAGCTGCCGCACATTCTCTCTGGCGTTTGCTTCAAGCCTCAACGTTGGCACCGTTGGCTCATTTGCCAGCTCCACGTATACCCACATGTTCTTGTTCTTCGTCGGAGTAATCTCGAAATTGATCTTGACTGGTACGATTTTCCTTTCCACTGGACCGCTAGCTGCATCGATGGGGCTTGCGACGAACTGCTCCGCGATGCCATCCAACTTGACAATGCCATCGATCCAGCGCTGCTTTGGAGGTATGACATAGTCTTGTGGTATCGGTCTTGGGAATGCCGATGGTGCTTGTCCTTGTAAAGAGATTGATAGTCGCCTCATCAAGGGAGCTTTTTCTGGTGGTGGGCTTGGAACGTTGGGCTTGCCGGAGATGATGTTCAGATCGTTTGCATAGATCTTCACTGCGAAAGGACGGACACAGTTGAAGCTGATCCACATTGCTTCTCGTTCTGTCCGAACCCCCGTCAGCAAGAACAGCTTTCGAAAGCGATATATTCACCGTGAACCTGATAAGCTACGTTAATTCGGAAACGTACGATATATTGGTATGAAAGCCCCTCCTTTGACCGACTTGGGAAGCTTCGAGGTATACTGGTCAACGAGGTAGATCGGGAAGCAACCAAATCCCGCAGGTACACTGCGAAGAGCATCATCAGGGGGAAGTCGGAGAGTTCGCCGAAGTTCGATATCCAGATATTCGTCACCGCAGCTAACGCGTATTGTCTGGTAGGACATCGCGGTTGATATCGGATCCACTGCAGGGTTCTCGAGAGAAACGATGAGCGGTGTTTTGTCCGAGGAGTTGGAAGACCTCGAAGACATCTTGAATGAGGGGATGAGTGTTGTAGTAGCGTTGAGGATGGCCGACGCAGATCGTGATATATTCTGAATGTTTTGGCGAAGGGGGAGCCTGGAAAATTAGACGGGGCGAGGTGTGGACGATTCACTCGACCTTTGCCTCAAATGGCAGCACGTGGTAAAATCTGCAGTCACCCTCCAAGAATTCACTGTGCCAAAGCACTTGCGCACCCCTCAAATGTTCAAGGGTACTTTGGAGCAATCGGAGCGCTTTTCTTCTTCCACTCAACATCACATCAGATATTACTCGCTCTCAATAGCTGTTTCATTGTCAGGAAAGTTCTCGCAAAGAATGGAGTTACATTTGCAAAAGATGTCGAACATACTGCCTAGTAGTTCCTGTGGGCTAAAAAAAAAACTCAATGATCATCTCCCCAAGCTTCATACAAATCAAGGCGATGGAGTTACATGTTCTCATCGAGAGTTTTCGTGGAGCAAGCTTGCTGATATCTGGTTTGAATGCATGAATCAGCTGTGATGATACAATGACCGAATTTGTTTTGCGACGAGGGATAACTCATACCTGGAAGCTAATTCATTCACTTTTGAGTAACATGTGAATGTCAACATTCTCTCCATTGCGACATAGAGACACTTCAAAAACTCAAGTTGAACTTCAACGCTAGGCTTAAATTGCCAAGCAGACATTTAACGTTTCCGAAGGTATCAAGCCATCAAACAAAGCATCTCATTCAAGACTCGAGAATGCAGCCTTACCAAAAAGAAAAGCACTCCGTCCACCACAATAGCACTGCAACAACCACCATCTGCGAGCACAACTTTCTCCGGCAAACAAAATATCCCTCAATCCCTCCGCTCTATATCGAGAACGAGTTTCGTAGTCCCACAATATCTTGTCTCCCACTCCAAACAATGTCCTACTTTCAACACTCTGTCGAGTTCCTCGGAGTAATGAAACAGCGCTCCCCATTCATCGGGCGCGATGTCAACGCCTTGAGAAAGGAGCTTGAAGGAGGAATGTCAAGGGATAGGAGAGAGCAGATGCGGTTGTTTGTGGCGGACTTGAAGGATAAGAGGCAGAGGCTTGCGGCGGAAGTGTATTGGGCAAGATATCCTGAATTTGTGCTTGAGGGTGAGGGGAAGCTGGATTATGGAATTGGCGATCGGTTTATTGCTGCAGATAATACCGCAAAATTTGGGAGAGGGAGGTGTTTGCTGATGTAGCAAACAGCCAAGTGAGTGGTTGCGTGCGCATGAAAGCCGGTTAAGCGGCTTAGGGGGGGCTACAGAAAATTCAGCGATGCCTTCAGCGATGATTTTGGTTTTGGAAGGCGAGAATTTTGGAGAAGAATCGCCAAGGCCCAATACTATCCATTATTTATACTGTAGTGCAAAACCAAATTCCAACCATCATGGGTATCGCATGGCGCTTGGTCATGAGGCAAGGATTTCAGTGAGCAAAAAGGCAGCTTTGACCAACTCGAACAGGCGCACCAGACGCCCTGAACTCCCAATTCATGAATGTGCACCCCCTAAGAATACCCCAGGAGCTTGATGACCTACTTCGAATGTCTTGGCGCGTTCTCGAACTGATGTTGGAGGGTGATGAAGAAGGATGAAGATTTCAAATGAGATTCAGGTGATGGAGGTTCACCGCTTAGTCATGATAACGGGGTTCGTCGACCCCTGCTTCCTCAAGGGGGTGGATCCGGACCATGACTTTCCTCGGATATCTACATAAAAGAAGAAGTACATAGAAGGCTCTTGGGCCCATAGAATGTTTCCATTGAAACATTTCTTCGAGTTTTGAAGCGAGTCTGTTAGGCTTCTTAATAGTCGCGACGTTAAGTCCGACTATTAGATCTAATTCATAGCCTCGTGTTTTGAAAAGAAAACAGTGTGCCCCTGCAAATCCCTGCAATACCCCTGTTCTGCTCGCGTAGCATTCCTAAAACATGGGTGTACGCCCAAAGCGGTAATGACAGGAGGCCAACTCTCATTAGGATGCATAAGCACCCTCTCTGGGCAGACCCTAGAACGGGTGCTTATGCATTTGAGAATTTGATTTCACTCTAGCCCCCCTCCCCGTACTTAGCAAGCTAATTCTTGTAATTTTATCGTAAAGTAAGGCTTCCCTTTTCGGCTATTCTTTAGCCCCCGGTACGCATACAAAAGGTGGGCAAGAAGCACGTCCCTCTCTTGCCCCTTGTAATCGCTTAAAAAGTATATCCTCAATATGGCAAATTATAAAAAGGACCCCCCCCTTCTACTAAAAAGGACCCCCCTAAAATTTTAAAAAGGACCCCCCCCCTAGATAGCCAAAACCACCAAAAAAAGAGTTAATGTACGTAAAGATCGCAAAGTAGGAAGTTGCATTTCTCATAAATAGAGTTAATTAAAGCTAGCTAGAAAAGAACTCAAGTGAAGCGTGAGAACTGACTAAGCGAAATGATTGTACTAGACTAAATCCAGAGATCATACGGTAATAGTACTATAATAAGAGCCTTATATTTAGTAGTATCTGCTTTGGTTTCTACTAGGTCCCTTAATCTCTTAGCTAGGGTCCTTACTTTTAGCATAGGAATAATCCTGGGCTCTAGGGGGCTTATAACCAAGCCAGATCCCGTGACTTCAAGGGACTTTACAAAAAACTCCCTATTCCGCCTTATTAACCTACCCCAGATTCTCGATTCGGATTACGACATTAGCTAACTAGTATTAACTTCATTAAGCTTAGAGCTTATAATAGCTCTTAGGCAAAAAGGGGGGCTTATTACGTACTATCTCTCTCAAAGATCATGAAAAATACTACTTCCTTCTAATATTTTTGTATACTCGTCTTATGAAACTATTAAATCTAAGTCTAATAATTACTTCTCAAAGCTCTATATATAATTCTAGGGGGGGGTCCTTTTTAGTAGAAGGGGGGGGTCCTTTTTATAATTTGCCTGATTAATGTCCCACAAATAATTCCTTCTACTACTCGCTTTCAGTCTTACATGTGAAATTTACTTTTGTTACTGTGGGCGAGTTGCCGATCGATTGAAGCCCAAGTTCTTCACGTTCAGTATTTTACGAGCGGGAGGATGTTACTGGTCAACTTGAAAGCACAATCCGTCTTCCATTCCGAAATTCTAAATTTTACTTTCCTCGGAACATGTCTAGGAATCTAATGCCTGTTGCCGGTTTCTTCTCTTCTTCCTCCACGCCTCGCACCATTTCGGTCCATTTAGCTCAGTGTATTCATTCCCAACTGACTCCCCTCTCAGTGTCTCTAGTACTCTTCGAGTTTGTTAATCACGCCCCTTGCGAAGGAGCTATCTCGCATTCTTGTACAATCAGGTCAGTTAAGTCTTCGTCACGTGACTTGGGTTTCAAACAAGTTTACAAATCTATAACTTTTTATATAATAATACTATTAATATTTGGTTTAAAATCCTGGTATTAAAAATAATAAAATATTAATCTTATTAAATAAAAGACTTATAGTATTATATTAATAATTTATTAATATTAATTTATAAATTATATAAAAATTATATATTTTTTACTTAATATTAATTATAATCTACTTATTATAAAACTTTAAAACTTTAAATTATTTATCTTTAAGTAAATCTTATTACGGGAAATAATTTTTATATTATTTAAATTTATAAGTTTAAAGTTATTAAAGTTTAAAAGTTATAATTTTCGTATATTTTCGTATATTTTCGCTTATTTTCGCTTATTTTCTCGAAAATCTAAGAATTAAAAATCTAATAGCTTAATACTTTGTTACTATTATTATATAAGATTAATAGATTAGTTTTTAAACTAGCTAAATATTAATATATATTAATCTTAAAGAAATAAAATTAATAAAATTAAGAGGAGTAAGAGTTTTAAAGAAGGCTTTTAATTTTTTAAAAAACTTTTAAAAGCTTTATAATTATATAATAATATAAAAATAAATATACTTAAATATTTAATTAAATAGAAGTAAATTGTAATTGTCTTTTTTTAAATTTAAAAATATTTAAATTTAGTTAAGGATTAGTAAAGTTATTGAGAAGAGAGTTAGTTGTCTCAAAATATCGTGTGACGATGACTAATCTGACCTGATTGTACAACGAATAGAGATCTCACCAAAATAGTAGGAACAATGAATAAACACCCGAGAGGTATTTTGTACGAAGACTTGTCCAATCGAATTCTTGTGAAAATGTCCACAATACAACCGATTATCGAACCAATGTTAACCCAATATACAAAGAGAGCTGCCCCCACACCTCGATTATTCTGCTGTTCAGACATTCGAAAAGTGTCGAAGAATCCGTTCCCAAGGCCGAAGAGAAGTCAACAGAAGTACAGAACCCCTTTGTCTGAGATTACCATCTGTATGGTCACAACTACGGCGTCCAAGGCGCATGTAGATCCCAGTGCCTGCCTCTGGTCATGGTAAGCGCTGATGAAACCAGCCACCAGTGAGGAGACAAACGACCCGAGTGTCAACAAGGGGGTAATGAGTTGTTGAACTGTGCTCTATTTGGGAATCAGCGACCAGATCTACCGAAATAAATAGCTCAGCACGCAATAACTCTATATCCCAAAACACTGCTTGCAGGATAGCCGAACACCTTCAAGATGCCTGACACTGCTTACAGGCTCCGATGGCTGTATTGTGGAAGCCATATTGCATGTTAGTTGTTGCCGGAAGACAACAGATCCAAAGACAATTTCAATTTACTGAAAGAGAAGCCTCGGGAATAGTGATTTGTGACGACCTAATTTTGCTGGAAGTTTAAAAAAAAAAAAAAAGTTGATAGTACTGAGTGGCGTAAACATACTTCCTGTTAGAGGCACTTAGGTACTTGATACATGCTGACTTCTCCCCATTTTGACCAAGTCCCAAGGAACAGGTAACCATCCCAGTTCCGCCATCCCAGCCAGTCATTAAATCCGGCCTCTTTGCCTATTCCAGAATCAGTCTGCCAAATTCGCCAGGCCCTTGTATGGGGTTTCGGGTAGGATTGGAGGAGACGCGGGGTTAGCGCTGAAATAACAGGCGGGGTAGTGACCCCTTGGCCTTGTTGTGTGGAATTGACAAGCCACACGCCTACACCCGCCAATTTGTTAGCTAATCCAGCCTGAAACTCAAACCCTCGATTAATTTCTTTAACAGCCAGCACACTTAAGTTCCTTTAAAAAACAATATTAATTAATGCGCAGTCTATAGAAGTACCCTTTATAAAATTGTAAAAATTTAATTGTCATTATTATGGAAGTTAATAGAAAACGTTGATTTTCGGCCCGATTTTGTGTATCACGAATAACCGGAGGCGCGTGCAAGCATAGCCTAAAAGCAACGCGGCTTGGGAAACACATAAAAGACCCCCACAGTGTCCCCCATCTTTTGATTTTGTAATATCAAAAGATCCACATTGCACTCAGAGGTTTGGATGCTGAGTAATTGCTGCAACACACGCGGAGATATCGGCATTGTGAGCCGAAGGCGGTGATCCAACGACCTCATATTTAAGCTCAACTCAAAGGGAAAGGGTTATACTAGTGGTTTGGATAAGGTATCGGATCAGCTGCCATCATCTACTGGAGATTGACGAATTGCAACTCACTCAGCATGATTACCACCACACTCTCGTCAACTGCAACATGGATGCAGCTCCAGGCTACATTCTCGGAGAGAGGGCTGATCACCGTTCTCTTGACTTTTTTGAGTATCATTGCCCTCATAATTTTGACTGACTATGCTCACATGGTATACCTTCACTTCAAGATGGTGAGCGTTCCTCAAGACAAGGATTGAAGCAAGCTTACGGGGCAGCCACCTGGCCCTTGGCCACTACCAATCGTTGGCAACACTTATTCTCTACCAGACAACAAACCTTGGGTCTACTTCGAGGAGCTTTCAAAGAAATACCATGCTCCTGTTATCACCTTTTGGATTGGTCGAAATCCAACAGTTTGGATTTGTGATGCGTGGGCTGCCTCAGAGATCATGGACAAGAGAGCAGGAATCTACTGTTCAAGGCCCCGTATGGTTGTCTTTGGCGAACTTGGAACAGGTCAAATGAATCTAGTTTCCATGTATTACGGCCCTCGATGGCGCATACATCGAAAACTGACCCATATGGGTGTTGGACTCCAGCAGGTCCGCAACTATCGCCCGTTCCAGAATGACGAAAGTATGCTTGTTGCGTACAATATTCTCCGCACGCCAGAACTGTACGAGAAGCATTTGGAAAGATATGCTGCAAGTGTTGTATCTATCATTGGGTTTGGAAGGCGGATATCGGATATTCATGACCCAATCATCAGCGAAGTTTTGGCGGTGATGAAAAGAGCTGCCGAGCTAAATGTGCCTGGAAAGACCTTCCCAATGCTTATGGAAACATTCCCATGTGAGGCTCTGCAAACGAAGAATGATCGAACGTAGGCTGATCCTGATTTGTAGTTCTGGCAAGATTTCCCACTTCGATTGCTCCGTGGAAGCATGGGCTCGGGAAGCCGAACTCACGCGGCGGAAGCTTCTACTACTCACTAGCTGAAGAAGCTCGAGATAGTCCGGCACAAGAGCAATGTTATGTGAAGAAAATCTTCCAGGAAGCCCCCAATTATGATTTGAAGCCAGAAGAGATCGCAGCTTTGACAGCAAACCTCTTCGGTGCTGGCAGTGACACCTCTAGCTCGACTTTGGTGACCTTTATTCTTGCATGCTGCGCGTTTCCGGAAGTTCTCCCAAAGGCATGGGAGGAGCTAGATCGTGTTGTAGGACCCAGTAGAAGTCCAACTATGGATGATGAGCCAAATTTGCCATACATCAAGGCGTTTGTGAAAGAAGTGTTCCGATGGCGATCCGTCGCAATTATTGGTGGTCAGCCACACGCGCCAATCCAAGATGATATGTACAAGGTAAGCCTTCAAGAATCGGGTTCCTTTTTTTCCTAATCGATTTCAGGGTTATTTAATTCCAAAAGGAACATGGGTGCAAGGAAATGTCTGGGCAATTCATCACAATGAAAAGGAGTTTCCCGATCCGGATCGTTTCAACCCAAATCGGTATCTCAAAGATGATCCCGAGAGCCGACCTTTCCCAAACGAAAGAGGATACATGACTTTCGGGTGGGGTCGAAGAGTGTGCAGCGGTCAAGGCCTCGCTGAGCAAGGCACCTTCATCACAATCGCACGGCTTCTATGGGCCTTCAACATCCAGAAGGCACTAGAACTGGATGGTAAGGAGATTCCTGTTGATATCTTCAATTATACGTAGGTTTTTATCTCTTATGATCCATGCACAGCTGACTTGGATGCAGAAATGGCTTGAACATGAGACCAAATCCATTCCAATGTCGCATTACTCCCAGAACTCCTGAGATCCGAGCCACGGTTGATCGCGAAGGAGAGGAAGCTTTGCAGAGGTTAGCAATCTATGATGGAGAGACAAAGTACCGCATGAGTCAGTGGTATACAAGGAAATGAGGCCAGAGATCTGAGTCACGAGTGTGATGAAGTGGCGAGGGGTGAAACTGGAAGCATTTTTTCCCAGGAGTAAATTTCAAGCGGAGTCATTGTTTGCATACATAATTAATTCGAGTTGTGTTTATTGCATCCTAATAGACATTATATCTTGCCCTTAGCCCTCCCCTGTTTTGTTTGCCACTTCAAAGGTGAAAGGAGATTGAAAGGAGCGCGAGTTACAGGTGGGGTTTTCGACGCGAACGGCGATTTTACATTCTTTGTCTCTCAAACCTATATCTTCACTTCAACGCGAGTGAACCACCCTGAAGGAACCAACACAATTTCTGTCTAGTATTCAAAATGGAATCTCTCGCTCCTATCCCGTTCACTGACGTGCCTATCGAGCACAAAAGCGGCTCCTACGTCTGCACACGATATGGGCTTTTATTCGAAGGACATCGCTGCTTCGGCCAACTTGGTATCTATCTCTCAGAGACAGCGCCCATCTATGACGATATCACTATTCCAGCTGATGACGAAATCAACTTCACAGACGATACTCCCAGCGTTCAGCCAGCACGCGGTGTGGCCGAAATGCCCATTTCGTGGTGGAGAGCGCAGTGCGCTTTCCGGGGTCTTGATACCGCAGGTGAGACCGAAAATTTGCAGAATAGAGTGACGGCATCCATGGAGATTCGAATGCTTGATGAGTTGATCTCACTGGAGAAGGACTTGATGAAGGATTACTCTATTGCTCGTGCAGCACAGCGCAAGAGCAAGGCAGTCCGCTTCGAGGGTAACAAAGCGAGCGGTGGCGAAGGGAGACTAGAAGGAGCAGAAGCGCCCACTGGAAGACGTCCGCGTGGTGGACGGCGAGGTGGTGGTCGCATTCCTTCACGGAAGCAGCATAAGAAATCCAAGCCGGGATTCCAAGAAATAATGAAGAGATTTGGCACAAAGCCTTTATAGGGGCTTCATGGAAATATCTCGGATTTTCGATATGGAAAAGGACAGATGGTTGGTGATAATTCGGTCGGGTCGTAATACTTGTTAGGTGATGGGGGGTTTTGGGAGTTGGGCCACGGTCTCAATTCTGGAGTTCAGGGGCGCTCGAAATCTTTTAACGAGGAATAATATGATACTTCTCTCTAAATCTGTGTAAAATCGCATTGAACACCAACTCCATGTCTCCTGCTTCTCTGTCCAAGCCAGTGCTGTTTTCCTGGCGCAAGGAACTCGCTCAACATTCGACGTTCTCGAGCTTGGCGCAATGTTCCCATTCGACCTCTCCGCCCCATTTCCCTTTGAACTCGCATTTGCAACCGAAAATCTGAATGTTTTCATAACCTCCAAATTCCTGTTTCGCGGTCTTGGTATTCGTGGGTCGAAATCGTCATTTTGGCTGTGGCTACGGCTCTCAGAGCACAAGTCTTTTGTCGAGTGCGAGGTTTTCTTCAACTCCAACTCGTCTCAGGGCTGCACCCTTTCTCCCACACACCTACCACGATTTGGAAGAGAAGAATTGTTTCGATAAACACTGCCAATTATCCTGCTCCGCCCACTCGAGTTCCCATTTTTGCTCTGAAGTTGAAGACAGAAATCCTGGAAATATTTGGCGAAGGAGAGGTCGAATATAGGGAGCAGAGATGCAACAGAGCCCTGTCTGCATCTCAACGGTCAATCATATGGTGGCATCGGTCGCGAACGCTTTATGATTGGTTAGTAGATAACTCCTCGGAGACATTCTGACCGCGTTGAAAGGATGGACTCACACAAGGGGTCATCGAGCGGAAGCTCTATTACCGAGATAGTTCTTACGATATATGTAATTATAACGAGGATGCCCATACTCACGACACCTGGCAGGGTGATCTTCTGGCTCCTGAGGCATATTCAAAGGCAGTGTGATAGTGATGTATTGATCAGTATGTTTGTGGCCCCCAAAGTTAAAAAGACGAGTCTATATACTTACGAACACCAGGGATAGCAACGGCTATCAGAAAAATATCGGCCAGAATGTTGCGGCTGGCGGAGACGTAGACACCGACAGAGAATGACATGCATTGTGCGCAGATCGTCCCAAGTTGAAGGCTCCAAGAGTCTTCAACCGGTACGCATTGAAATGGTAACGAGGCTATAATAACGAGCTCCGAAATCACTAGGAATCTTATTATCCAATCCATGTGGCGTTTAATGCTCCGAAGTAATCTTGAGAGTGGAGCAGGGCGTGCTCCCCGGAAGCCAACTCTGTTGGAACGCTTAGAGTACCTCGGTTGCTATCGAAGCTCCCCCTAATCCCCGGCATCAAGGCGTCCATCACAGCTTCCTGGCTTCTCACACTTTAAGCCCGCAGCATCCAGCCCGCATCGGACAAAAGAATAAGTAGGTGGCTCCCAATTGACTCCCTCAAGTGCCTTGCTTGCCTTTATTGCATCGATCCGAGTGGATATAGTTCTGACCGCAGCATCAACTTTTCGCTGGAACCCTGTCTCCGTAAGGCGTCCAGGAAGATTTTGATACTCAACACCTCGAATATTGGGATTGAAATGAATCATCAGCTTATAGCTCCTCATCCGTAGGAATTTTGTCAGGGCAGAATCCGTCATCAAAAATGTTCTCGTCGACGAGATATGTTGCCAAAGCCAACAGTTATCCTGCAGATGGCAGATCTTCTGGTCAATATCTTCACAGGCATCAACACGGCCATGTGAATAATGTCCACTTCGAAATCAATGTATCCCTTCACGCATCTGTGCCCATTCGTGTGTTTGGCGTGCTCCAGATGCTGAGGGTGCAGCAGCTCGTAATGCTTCAAGGCTATGAATCGAGATTCGCGATTGATATGGAGGGCAAGAGGAGCTTTCGAGAAGTGGTTGACGGTTACGAGTCGTGGGCCGGGCAGAATCAAGCTCCAGATCTTTTGTCGCAATTCGGGAGGGAGGTCGTCGAATCGAGTGCGGGTCGCGGGTTCCATCTCGAAACCAATTCGCAGAGGCTTTAATATTGTGGCGCAAGAAGATGTAGGTTGTACGGTTGACTTGCTGTCGGTGATGTTTGGAGATGTTGAAGGAGGGAAAGGTTGAGTTGGCTTGCGGAAGTTGAGGTTGTGTAACGTGGGGGCCAATATTCGGGGCACTGCATAGCTTCAACTTGACTTCAGAAGATAACTTGAACATTAAGTCGCTTGTGAAGCAAAGGCGTGACGGACTGACCAAAAAGGTTAGTAATTGGCGAATGCAATTGTAGGGACGCTTGTCAGTGGTGAAGTATGCAGAAAATCTCGGTATTAGAGCTAGATTGAGCTCCTGGGTGCGAACCTGCAAAGAAGTGGTTCCCACCAAATGTGTCGATATACCAAATCTTACAAGGAAAAGAATGAAGCCGTTCTAATGCCATCGGCCAACTCGTGCACTTTCATAAGCTCCTTCATTTCGCTCTGACCACTCTTCCGAGATATCGATGTCGACCTTGCCTCCAACGCCAACCTTCACGCCCGTAAACGTGCAATCCTCGAACATATCGCCTCCGAAAGTCCCCTCTAACTTCTCAACCTTTGGTCCAAAAAACTTCATCTTGAACAGCCTTTTGTCCGAGTAAAGCTCAATAACCCCTTCCCCTGTCTCTTCTCCACGCCATCGATAATTCCAGATTTGGTGCTTTGCTGAAGGTTGAGTGATGGATCCGAAGTAGAAGGCTTCGGGCGTAGGGCTCCGCTCCCTCTCTTCGTCATCCTCTCCATCAATACCATCCTCCTCAGAGCTATTGTCCTCGTGGTTATCCTCGTCTTCGGAATCATATCTTTTCCTTTTCTTCTTGTTCGCGTGTGTGTCTGGCTTGGCAATCTTCGCCTTGGTATCATCTCGCTGACGCTCAAACCTGAAGACTCCAGTGGTGACTCCGAAGTTGAACTTGGCAAACATCTGAGCCCCCTTAGCTGTTCTCTCCTGGTATATTTGAAGGCTCAATTCCTCTTCATCCCAATGCTCGCGGGACCAATTTTCTTCGATATACGGACAGTTTATCTTCCAGCTTCCAGTAGCATCCCAGTCCTTCGACTTAGCCAGGGCCTTTTTCAGGTCCTGCTGTTTCTTCTTCTCGATAGCTTCCTCATCCCTCCTTTGTTCCTCTTCTTCATGTCTGATCTCCTTCTTGATCCGCTGTGCTTCTCTCGATATTGAGCGTACTTTCTCTGCGACGATTGCTTTGTTTTGTCCAACGACAACCCATAAATCCTCGGATATTGGCATGAAGTGATCTCTGTTTATCGGTGCTTCGACAGTTTCGCATTCAAGCCCAATATCCTCAGCCAGTGGTGCAATTGTCGACATATGCCAGCATTTGATCACAAGGACTCCTGTTCCGGTGTCCCCAGAAGGAAAAGCTTCCTTCAGGTACCTTCCGGGATTGGTTCGCATCTTCTCTTCCGCAGACATATTATGAAGCCACTTGATTTCGGTTGCTTCATCCCGCTTGATCTTGATTTCCTTCTTCGCCCTTTCGAGAAGCTCCAGATTGCCCTTCGAAATGGGATCCTTCTCGTGGCCTCTCAATCGCGCCTGTAATTCTGCTACTGTCCCTTTCGGGTTCAGGCTCCGGAACGAGCATTGAGCTTTCCACCATGTATGTGGCTGTGCTTTCGGCTTCGGGGGTTGCCTCTTCGCGATCTGTCCTCTCTTCGTGAGAACTGGCCCGGTGGGAGGGAGATATTGTTCGATATGTTGACTGAACAAATGCGCGTTGAACTCGAGGGCGGTTCCGTTGCATCTGCAACTCCCGTCTGGATGCCGGACGGATATGTGACGGATCGTAGGATGTAAGTCTTCGTAGAAATCCATTCTGATGTTGCTGGTGTTTGCGAGGGTTGGTTGACGGCTTGAGGTTCGTGGTGATCAACGCGTCAGGGCTCGCTTCGGCGTGTGTCAGCAACGCGAAGTCAAGCAGCCAATATCGGAACTCACCCGACCTCAATCACCTCTTGTTACTTTCACAATCTTCAATTTTAGAACCATTGACCCTGGCCTATACAATAAAAGACCACACAATTTGCTATTATATTGTAATTTTGTCTCAGTTCCATTGCTGGAAAATTCTCCTATGACCGCTCATTTGCCATCCCAATGAGCGGTCCTCTTCGAAGTAAGCAAGGCTGCTGGACCTGCCGCTTGCGCAAGAAGAAATGTGACGAGGGCCGGCCGCTGTGCTCTCTATGTACATCTTTATCCATTACTTGCTATGGCTATGGCCCAAGACCTGACTGGATGGACAATGGTGAGGAGGAAAAGGCGGTTGCAAGTGGCATCAAGGAGATCGTGAAGCACACCTCGAGACGCAAAGTTACGACTCAAATTTCTTCGAGGCAGCGGGACCACATTATCAGAATAGCGCCCAATCCCTCGAATGTGCCTTTGGGAAGTTCTTCTTCGGGTGCCATATCAAATCGCCAGCTTGATACGCCACCTCCATCGGACCATGGCTCTTCTCAAGAGGGCGGAATTCAAGAGGTGCAAGATGCATCAAACGTGAGCATATTTACCGGAAGCAACTTAAATTAGTTCTGATGCTGATTAGGAAACTTTTCCCCTTCAAGACGATGATCAAGCAGTACCTGCATCTGTGTTCTCCATCCCAGTGGATGAGACCACTCTCTTGATGCATTTCCTGGATGACTTATTCCCCTTACAATTCCCCTTGTATAAACCGAGTGCCTTGGAAGGTGGACGAGGCTGGCTACTACCTCTCCTGCTTCGTGTAAAACCACTGTACCACGCCGCCCTAACTTTTGGTGCTTACTACCGGACTGTCGCACTGCCAACTATAAGCCAATCCAGTCGAGTCGCTGCCAAGATCGAGCGAGGCAACCACTTCGAAATTTGTATAAGATCGCTCAATCAGTTTGCCAAACATTCTTGTCCATATAGGAAACTGGGGATTGTGACTACAGTTGTTCAACTCACATTCTATGAGGTACGCTGCTACTTCGGAAAAACAGCTCTCCGCTGATCAAATTGTATAGCTATTTACTGGCGATGGCGACACATGGCAGCCCCATCTTCGTGCAGCAATGGGTATGTATAAACGAGGCAATGAAGGAAGCCTGGAAGATATTGGTCTGGTCGAGAAATCGAGAAGAATCTTATTCGAGGATCACCCCATCACCGAATACGAGCCTGAGACTACGGAGGAAGTCGCAACTTTTCGATTTGTGTTCGGCTGTATCATTTGGCTAGATATCCTTTCGTCCATTATGGCGGGAACGGCTCCGCATCTACTCCCGTATCATTCCCGCGTCATCACTCTCAATTCTCAGACCAAACTTCAAGATATTATGGGCTGTAAAGACGGTGTGATCCTCCTGCTTGGCCGCCTTGCTGCGATATATGGGCAAAAAGTTCAAGCCTCGCAACATGCAGCTTTCGATTGCTCCCAACTTGAGCAGACAGTCGATGAGATGAGTCAGGAGATCCAATGTGGTCTGACCCAAGGCGCCTTGGAGAATATCAACATCTCTAGCGCGATTTCCGCTCCATCATTCAACACTATGCTAGACCCGCCAACGCTCGTCACGCACATGTTCCTTTACATGGCGTCAATCTATCTCCATTTGCTGGTCCAAGGCTTTCAGCACTTAATACTTTTAGACAAAACGATCTCTGAAGCCATGACAATGCTCCGAACTCGAACCTCAACAAATCTGTTACCGTCTTTGGTATGTCCGTTGTTCTTCGTCGGTTGTGTGGCAAGGCAAGAAGACAAGCAGTTCTTCCGGAGCGCTTTCTCCTCGCCGCCATTGCTGAATTCATCACTCAAACATCGCGGAAGGGTTTTGCCTATTCTGGAAGATATCTGGAGCAAAAGGGCGACGATACTTGGCTTTAGTTGGGAAAACTGTGTTGAGCTTACGAAGAATCTCTTGTTGATCTGAGCTTTATATCTTAGTTGAGGGTTTCCTCGTCCTATTTCGCCCATCCTTTATTCCGTATCTTCCCCGATCGGGGAACTCGAGGATTGTATGATATTGATCTAGAATGATCTGCTATTTCAATATGGAGCTTGGGAGGAGAAACGAAATCATGCTTCATGGTCTTATTTGGACCACTTTTGGTTTTCTGAACTCCCTCACAGTGGATCTCCATGATTGGGGCAAGCCGCGCTTCGCACGATTCGCCCTGCAAGGGCCAACTACTGGCCCAGATCCACCTTGTCAGACCGGGCCTCCCTGATTAACTTCTATCCGCTGCGGAACATTGAAAAGCAGGTGGAGTCGCGAAGCACATATCTCGAATATTTCTAAGCACTGCGCTCCGGCTTGTGGTTGGTTTCTGGGCGCGGAGATCCACTTCTGCGCTTCGCCCTCTCATTGGATACAGCTGCGGCTAACACCTCATGGATATGAGACAAGATCGTATCAAAGGTTCAACATTGGTCAGATACAGTAAGACTTTTCAAAGTATGCCAAGCATCGGGAGTTCATGCGAGGCTTTGCAAAAGTCTTCTCCTGAAGTGTGTCGTGATAGACCAATCAAGTCTGGTTTTGATACGGAGATCCTTGTCAAATTCATTGAGGCTGGCCATGCCTCCCCCAAAACATGGGCGTCGGTCAGAAGTTCGCAGTTTCCTGCTAGAGGGGACGGACCGGAAAGTGTTCCCGGCCGATCAGTCAGCAGCAGAATGATGTGTCAAGCAAATGAAATATTTGCACGAGCTAGGAAATTCGGGAGCGGGCTGCAGTTATAATTCAGTGTGGCGCGAGACCAGACAGACTATTCTGCATGATCTTCCTATCCGTTCTCGTTCCCATGACATCCGTACTTCATAAGTAGTTCCCCCCTCTTTATAAACTCTACATCGTACTCCCAACATCGAAGTCTTCTTCTCTGCATCTACAATGCTTCGCTTTCTTCAACAAAACCTCAGAACCATCTTTCACTTCATCACTGCAAATTATTTTCAAGAAACGCCCAATCTGAGTCTTGCCTCTCGAAAGATGAAGAACATTGTTATTCTTGGAGGCTCCTACGCGGGAATCAGCACCGCTCATCGGCTTCTCAAGCACGTTGGGAAGACCGCACCCTTCAAAATCACTCTGGTGTCTCCGAATACGCATTTCTATTGGAGTATGGCTGCGGCGAGAGGATTAGTACCTGGACAGATCTCTGATGAGCAGCTTTTTCGGCCGATTGCTGAGGGGTTTGAGCAATATCCCGTACGTATATTCTCATTCCCCCTCTTCCTCTCTCTTCCCCTTTCCTCAACTTTGACTGACTCGAAGCTTGTTCAGGCCAATCAGTTCAAATTCGTCCTCGGCTCGGCCGAAAGTGTTAACGTCGAAGCCAAACACGTTGGGATTTCTGGCTCCACGGGCGCCTCAACGCTCGACTACGACTTCCTCATTATTGCTACTGGGTCTCGTGCCAAGGGAGATGCACCTTTCAAGGGGGTTGGGTCGACAGAAGACACAAAGGCTGCTCGAAACGGCTTTCATGTACGCGTTGAGAAAGCCAGGACGATTGTCGTGGCTGGTGGTGGAGTAACTGGGTGTGAAACTGCTGGTGAGCTGGCGTACGAGTACGGACGAGAGAAGGAGATTATCTTCGTAGGTCTTTCTCATGCGGAAATATCTTTCACTGCCGCAACAGACCCTTTCTAGAATCATGTAAAGATGCAAGATATTGACTGACCCCTTCAGATCGCAGGCCATCCAACACTCCTCTCAGGAACCCCAACGACTTTTTCAACCTACGTCCAAAAGTCACTCCAAACCCTAAAAGTCAACCTCAAACTCTCTACCCAAGTCAAGAACGCAACCCAACTTCCCGACGGCTCCTACGAACTCTTGCTCTCGACCGGCGAGAAATTGACCACGGACACATATATCCCAACCTTTGGCCTAACCCCCAACTCCTCCTACCTGCCAACTGAGTTCCTCGACCCGAAAGGCTATGTGGTCGTTGATTCGTACCTCAAAGTTCTAGGAGTAAAGGATGTCTGGGCTATTGGTGATGTGTCAAACTGCGAGTGGAGCCAGTTGATACCGGCTAATAAGCAGTCTGCCCATCTGGCTAAGAGCATTATGTTGCTTCTGAATAACAAGACACCACTTCCGTACAAAACGATCTCTCATCGTAAGTATTTTCGTTGTGGGGTGGGGGAAAACGGAAAGGGGTGTTGATAGCGAGTTGACTGATGATAAACAGGTATCACGGGAATGCAGATCGGTAGGAATAAGGGGATTGGCCATTTTGGGAGTTGGATCATTCCGAGTTTTGTTATTGTTTATGTTAGGAGGATGTTGTTTATGGAGAAGATGGGGGCATGGCTTGATGGGTCTGAATTTTGAACTTCTCGTTAATTTATGGAGTGATTGCGGAACTGGTATGACTACTCGTTAACATTTTTTGTTAGATTTGAATTACAGTTTCGCTGGTTGTTTCCCTCTCTTAGTCCCTGCACGGAGTCTTGCAGCGATCGCCCCATTTAGGCCGAGCATATCTGCTTCAAACTGCATCTTTGCCTTCCTATCAGTTCAAGAGGGTTTAGCTAGCAGCAGTTTCAGGGTGCGAAGACATCTTTGGCCAGCTTGCGTGAATGCATTTTAAAATCCCTGCAACTTAACCACCCCTAATCTCTTTCGTCCCCGGCATCTTGCATTTGACACGTCAGTCATTTCCCACAACAAACTTGAGCTTTTTATTAAGTCCCCAATTGCTCTACCATCGACTTTAGTAGCATCAGATACCGTCAAGGACCTTGCTCCTCTGGTTTTAACCCCAGCTAAGATCACTTTTTTGACTATAGTTAATCAAGTTAACCGTGCCACCGACAATCAAACCCATCCTCCGCCCGTCGGTCGTTCAGTAGAAGTGCCTAGAGTCCACAATACTCCCATAAAATGTCACTCGACTCCTTCCATCTGTCTCCGCTACTTCCGACGGAGATCCACCCCAATATATGGATCTTGACCTTTCCGGAAGGCCGACGAATTGAGCCCTGGACGTGGAAGGGTTGGACTAGCTCACTCGTCAATTTCATTTGGGCCCAACTGTTCCGTTCAGAGGCCCCGGCTTTAATCATGCCAAGACTGTCCTCATAGTGCTCACAGTAAACCGGGAGTAGCGCGAGGAGGCCTTGAAGCACTATACGGGCGGAGGTTTTGCGCACTTGAAGTATCTCAAGGAAAAGGATAATGTCTGGTACCCGGCCTACATCAATTTCTCGAGGAACACAACTTCTTCTGGCGGGAGGTTTCTCGAAGTTAAGATCATACTTTGCAGCCACCTCTCGTGAAGCGAGATGGACAAGGTTGTCCTCCTCGAGCTGAATCCTGGTTTCGCACTTCCTCTGTGAGAAGCCATCCCAATACTTCTCCACGACCGCATACTTCGATATCCAATTTTGGAAGACATCTTCACCAATGCGAAATGACATAGTATTGAATGCGATGAGTGGCAGTCTTAGCACGAAAACGAACCAGATGGACCACCGGAAACTAGTTCGGTTTCCGCGGATTTGGAAGAAGCGAGGCCGATTGGGGAGGGGATACTGGAGCAATTTGCGAGGGAGAGCCGGGCAGAAGGGCGTCCATGAAAGAAGTCTTTGCTAGTCATGGAAACCTAGACCGGAGGGCAGATACAGCGCCCACTTGAGGAAGTGAGGAAATTGGTGGACTACTTTCGGTCTGCCACCAAGAAGAAGTTGTTAGTTGAGCAGCGAAAAGGGGCCATTGAGCATCCTTGCTTTGAGGTGGATTAAGAGAAGGAGGGGAGAAGGGAGCCACTTCAATCAAAAACTTAGAAAAAGGATTCAAGTTTGCATTTGAGGCCAGAGCAAGTTGCCTATTGTTCTAGCATCTCCTATCACATCGTCAAAGCTGACAACTCAACAAACACCCTCACACCGGATCACTCCCGTCTTTCCTCAGATTTTGCTTTAATACCAAGTCCATTCCCTTCACCACCAGTCCCAGAGCCCTGTCACCGAGACTCTTTTTCAGCTTCTTCTCTTCAGTGTGATAATCCAAACTCCCATCCCTCCCCCGAATCACAAAATTCTCATGCCTTGCAAGAGCAACTTCCTTTGCCCTCCTAACGTCTGGCTCTAGCCTCATATACTCCTCTTCAATTTTCCTTCTCCCAGCCTTTGTTTGAGCACTTCTACTCCCACCGTCACCCTTTCCTGGGATTCCCAGAGTCTGGTATCTGAGCCAAGCAGTTTCGAGCTCGCTGATAATCGCTGGGGTGATGAGGGCAGAATCGCGGATCCAGAGTTGAGGTAGGATGGGACTCAGTTTCCGATACCATTCTGGGGAGCTGTTGTCGTATTCCATGCTGTTTGAGCGCCGGTGGCGAGGGGCTTGGGTTGCGGAGAGCGGTGGGAGGTGTGGTTGTCGTTGCGCCATGGTGGGAACTTCCGCTACAAAGATGTTCTCCGTTCCTAAGATCTTTAATCTGTCTCTTCCTAAAAGTTCATTTAAATAATGCTGGGTTAAAGATAGAGGGCAATGCGGATTTCAGGTTCACAGTGAGGAGGTATGAATCACAAAGCTTCAGGTTCCCCCCCAAGTGAGTCTGTTATTCGGAATAGACACGCCCTTTGCAATGCATATAGCACAAAGCTCGTAAAGACAGTATTTGTTGCCTCCGCAGTTGTTAAACGCAAAACTAGCCGTCGTGCTAATTCTGGGAGCTCTAGGGCTTATCTCTACTAATACCAGGACTTTAATAGGCTAGGGGCATGCTGTTACGCGCCTCCGGCACGCAACAGCGTACGGAGCGTATGCGTATATCTTGAGCGTGCGCGTATATTGAGGGGCAAATTATAAAAAGGACCCCCCCCTTCTACTAAAAAGGACCCCCCTAAAATTTTAAAAAGGACCCCCCCCTAGAATTATATATAGAGCTTTGAGAAGTAATTATTAGACTTAGATTTAATAGTTTCATAAGACGAGTATACAAAAATATTAGAAGGAAGTAGTATTTTTCATGATCTTTGAGAGAGATAGTACGTAATAAGCCCCCCTTTTTGCCTAAGAGCTATTATAAGCTCTAAGCTTAATGAAGTTAATACTAGTTAGCTAATGTCGTAATCCGAATCGAGAATCTGGGGTAGGTTAATAAGGCGGAATAGGGAGTTTTTTGTAAAGTCCCTTGAAGTCACGGGATCTGGCTTGGTTATAAGCCCCCTAGAGCCCAGGATTATTCCTATGCTAAAAGTAAGGACCCTAGCTAAGAGGTTAAGGGACCTAGTAGAAACCAAAGCAGATACTACTAAATATAAGGCTCTTATTATAGTACTATTACCGTATGATCTCTGGATTTAGTCTAGTACGATCATTTCGCTTAGTCAGTTCTCACGCTTCACTTAAGTTCTTTTCTAGCTAGCTTTAATTAACTCTATTTATGAGAAATGCAACTCCCTACTTTGCGATCTTTGCGTGCATTAACTCTTTTTTTGGTGGTTTTGGCTATCTAGGGGGGGGGTCCTTTTTAAAATTTTAGGGGGGTCCTTTTTAGTAGAAGGGGGGGGTCCTTTTTATAATTTGCCCATTAATCATATTCTCTCTTGGCATTACCTCAACCAGCTTCACTGCTTCACCCCACCTGCTCCCTGCTGATGAAGAGGCGTTCTCAAACACAGCCCAGGAAAGCACAATTGCAAAACACATCATGATTCACACAAGATTCAGTCAAACCATCGTCCCAAGGACGAGGTACGGGGAGCAAGCTTGCGATCAGGGGCACTTAGCGTAATGTGGGGCCTGGCTTGCGGTTCACCTCGAAGTGACTCTTTGTCACAGGACCAGATCTCGTTCGGCACTCATCGAACAGCGCCTCGATTCCTTACCAAACTCCAAAGAGACCCCAAACCCACAGGCCCTGCCACACCCACAGGCACGTCCGTACTACTGGGCGTCCCTCGGCTTCTCAAAACGTCGAGGCAGTGTGGGATATTGAAATTTGGTCCTCTCACGCTCAAGTACGGGCCGGATGTGCTCACGCATTGCCCCGCTGCACGCCCCTCCGCAATCGAGCGCCTTTGAGTTCGAGATCTGCCACGCAAGTGCTCGTGCGGAGACGAATGCAGGCAAAAGCGAGATCCTCCACACCGGGACCTAACTTTTTCCGGGGCCCCACAGTCTCGATTTCTATCTTAATTGAAAGTATATTGTTTATCCCCGCGCCCTGGACAAAGCTATCCTGGAAGCTTTATTGGGACCTCAAATTCCAACTTTGTATTACTGTTGCTGTTAAAAGCTGTGATTGTATTAAGCTTACTGTTTAACGAAGTTGAAGATGGCTTCCGATTTGAAGGTTGAGCAGCCGCAGAGATACCATCTGCATCACAGGTGAGAAAAGCAATACTTAACCCAGTTTGAAAATGAAGCTCTAACGTTGTTGCAGCCATGCTCACGAAGAAGATGTTCCAGGGACCGTCAATCTCTCAGCTGCTGGTTCATATACCTCTTCAACCTCAAGGAATTTCTGCTAAGAGTCAATCCAGATGGAGACGATGTCTTCTACGGACAAGCTCTCTTCCCTGTCCCAGCCGAAGATCCCAACGATCCGCTGCAAGTACGTCAATATCACGAAAACAAAGGATACAAGTTGCTAAGAATACCGTAGTGGGAGAATTGGAAAAAGACGATGATCCTTATTGTCTGCTCAGCGTACTCATTTTTGGGTAATTCGGCTTTGGTCGGGCCTGCTGTTTACATTGGGATTTATGCCGAGGAGTTCAACATCACGCCTTCCACGGCCTCGGGCTTGATCTCTTATCCAAATTTGGCTTTTGGATTTGGTCAGTAACTGCCAGAATCAAGTACAGTATGACATAAGCTAATTGAAACAGGTTCACTTGTGCTGGTACCGCTCTATCTGAAGATTGGGAGAAGACCTGTAATGCTTATGTCACTTGTTTGTGTAAGTCTGATCTCTCTCTTTGAGCATAGAGGATGGGGCTAATGAGATGTAGTTCCTTGCTGGCTTGATTGGTGCTTCTCAATCAAAGACTTATCCAGCTTTGATGGGTACTCGAGTTCTGCACGCATTCGGCTCAGGAGTCTGCGAGGCACTTCCCGTACAACTCGTCAACGACATCTTCTTCCTCCACGAGAGAGGCAAGAGAATTGGATATTACACAGGTATACAGTTCCTCTCCTAACGTGAGAGCTCAGCTGACATCAGTCAAGTATGTCTCTGTCTCGGCGCCACTGGTCCACTCTACGCCGGCTACATGTTAGCAGGAGGTTACTCCTGGCGCCTCTACTTCTACGTCGAAATTGCCTTCGCCGGTGTTCTCCTCATCATTGCCTTCTTTGTCGTCGAAGAAACAATGTATGACCGCAAGTCCATGGTTTCAACCATTGCGCCGACTGCCGAAAATGGAAGCACATCCGATTCCAAAGAAGTCCACACCCAGCATACCGAGAACGAGAACCACATCACTGCAATCCCAGACCGTAAATCGTTTATCAGCACACTAAAGCCGTGGAGCCACATCGATCACGAGGCTGAGTTCTTCATGACTATGATTCGACCATTCAGTTACTTCGTTGTTCCTGCCGTATTCTGGGTTATCACGACTTACGGTTTGTCCCCTTTCCCTCCTTCCCTACGCGTCACTTTCTGACTTCCATATAGGTATATATATCGGTCTCGGAGCGTTGGCATTTAACTACACCTTCCCCATGAAGATCACCGCGCCCCCTTACTCCTGGAAGCAAGAAAACAGCGGCCTCATCGCCGTCGCCAACGCCGTCGGGTTTCTCGGAGCCGTACCCCTGACCTTCACCTCCGACCGCCTCGCCGCCTACCTGACGCGAAAGAACAACCACATCCGCGAAGCGGAGATGCGACTTGGCGTCCTGTTCATCCCCATGCTGATCGCTCCTGCAGGGCTCCTCGTCTACGGCATGACCGCGCAACATAACTTGCACTGGTTCGGGTACTTCGCCGGCGTGGCAATGGTCAACTGGTCTGCGTTCTTCTACTTCTCCTTCACGCTCGCTTACGCTGTTGATTCATACACGGCGAACACGAGCGAGATGCTTATCGCGATGAACCTCGGGAAGCAGGCGATCAGCTTCGGGATGGGTCTTTACTTGCTGGATTGGATTTTGCTGAGGGGGTATGCGGTTGTTATTGGGGGGATCTTTGTGTCTGTGTTGTTGGCGAATAATTTGGCGCTGTTTATCTTTATCTTCTTTGGGAAGAGGATTAGGGTTGTTACTAGCAGGACGTGGTTGGGCGGGATGCACCAGAAGACAGCAGGGCAGGTCATGACGCATTAGGCTGGAATGGTTGTAAAGTACCAAAAGTGGGATGAAATTGTAGGTGCTGAGGGGGTAGATTAGATAAACAAGAAGCGGCTGTGGGTTTTGTACACGAGGATGAATAGGATAGCACTTGAACCATACTTCCAAACGTGAAATTCAACATTGGACAGTTTCGAATACAGTGATGAAATCTATTCAAGAGGATCATTAAAGAGTCTTCTCTAACCATGAGGACTCAGTTCCCTCCCTGAATGACTAATTTTGATAAGACATCCCGTCACCTACGGCACTGAAATTTGAGATAAATCAGTGGGAAAGAACAGCGCAGAGGTACAAGTCTCCAATAATATAGCAAGAAGTCCAGATTTCTTTTTAGGATAGAAAGTATGCACCCCCAAAGCCCACCATTTTCCTCACCCTATAACCTCGCCTCAGCCTTCGGCGCCTTCTCCTTATCATAATACTGCGTAAAGTCATGACACACAGCAAAGACACCCTATCCCACATTAGCTTCTACACCCAAGAAATACTCGAAAAACAGTTCAGTACATACCTGATCCAACTCCTCCCTCGTCTCCTTATCCGTCCTCGCTTTCTCAACCATCATCAAAAACTCATCATTGACCAAGGCCTCCCCGGGATCCGTAGCGCTAACCCTCAAAAAATTACTACTACTAATCGGGTTAATAACCTCCTGAAACTTCTCCCTTCTAATCTCATCATATTTATCCAGTATCTCGTCCCCAGCCCAGCCATTCTGAACGCCTATTAAGCACTCCGCAAGACCACCGACATCTACCAGGCCTCCAGTGAGGCCGAGACCGCCGAATGGGTTGCAGAGGTGGGCGGCGTCGGCGGCGAGCAGGATCCGCCCGACGCGGAAGGCGGGCGCCATGCGTTGGTGGATGCGGTAGGGGCCCACGTTGAGCAGTTTGTAGTCGCCTGGTTTGGGGTTGCCGGGGAGCATGCGTTCGTACTTTGCGGGCTGGTGTGCGACGACTTCTTCAGGTGTGAGCTTTGTATCTTCGCCGTAGGAGACGCGCCAGAGGCCGTCGGTGGTGATTTTTGCGGCCATGTAGTAGTCTTCGTTGTGGATGATGAAGTTGATGTCGTCGTAGCCGAACTTATCCAGGGGGTAATACACCTAGAAAAACCTTAAGCGAGACGGAAATAGAGACAAGGGGAAGGAGACAAGGGAGACATACGTTTGTAGCAATAATCTGCGCATCCCACGTGTGTCCCGGAAACTCATTTCCAAACAGACTCTTCCGAACCTGACTATTCGCCCCATCACACCCACAGATATAATCCGCAGTCCACGTTTCCTCTCCCTGTTCCCCCTGTACTTTCGCCCAAGCCCCTTTCCCATCCCCATCCGTGCCCACATCAACAACCTTTTTATTCCACAACACCGTCACATTCGCATTCCCCTCGCAGTGGCTCAACAGTACTTTCCCAAGCATATTCAACGGCAGCACCGTCAACGCGTCTGGTGTCCCTGGCTGAGCCACATCCGTGATACTCGTGATCACACTCCCGTCAATTTTCCTCCATGTCATATTCTTGGGGATTAGACCGTCACGGCGAACATCCTCGAGGACACCGGCGGCTTTCAGGACACGGATGGCGGAGGGAGCGTAGTGTGCTGCCCGCGGGCGGTCGTCGACCGTGGGTGCTGCGTCTAGTAGGGTGATCTTAATGCCTGCTTTTGCGAGGAGGAGGGCGAGGGTGAGGCCTGAGGGGCCAGCACCGACAACGAGGACCTGATTCGTCTTGTGTTAGTATAGGACTAATTCTTCCCATTGTTTGCGAAATACTAAGTGAGACAAAGATAGAGGGTGACAATGGGCTGACCTTCATCTTGAATCTACGCCGCTCTTTTCCTATCTGGAAATAAACTCAAGGACGGAAGTGTGCTGTACGAATTGAAGCTGGAGTTCAAGATTCTTTTCAAGAATGAGTGAATTGAAGTTTCAAAATCTCCAAGAGAAAGAAAAGAATGAATCTAGGAAACCAAATCAATGTCATAGTCCCACCCGAGCCTCCTTTTCCCCTACATTCATCCTGTGGTCTGAGCTGCCCGCTCACAGTTCGCGGACGTGACGTGGGGTCGCAACCCAAGGTTGATTTGACCCCACCACAGATCTCAATCTACCCCGCGCTCGCATTCGGACCGCTTTGGAGACTAATTAGTCTTGGAGGGGGAATGATTGGGGGATCCACTTTTTCGGGGAGGAAGAGCATGGGGAGGACTAAGGTGCTGGGTGATGGGACGTCACGATCTCGGGACCTGGTGGTTGCAGAGAAAGATGGGATGAAACTGGCCGGGCTTGGGGAGTTGTCCGATGCAGAAGTTGGGTGTGGGGTAGTCGGGGAGGAGGAGAACGGGGAGGGCGACGAGGGGAGCTAGTGCATGCACCGCGATCTCGGCATCTGCCTTGGTGGGATCGGGTGGTATGGGAGTGTGAGTTTTTTCTCAAGTCCAGACCCTCAAGGTTTGGCGGCTTTGGGGTGGGAGGGTGGGAGGTGTGATGCTGTTGCGCTGGCTGTTTTAGTTCGAGGTTTAATTAACACTTGGAAATTGCGTTTTCAGTGCAACATCTTCTAACTGCGATTTCAGTTTGAAAAACACTACGTTTTTGATAGGAGATATCAAACAATGGCACACGTCCAGATCAACCCGTCTCTGCTCACCACACTGAAAGACAAGGTTGTCGTCCTCACCGGAGGGGCAACCGGAATAGGACGATCCACAGTGCGCCTCTTCCACCGTGCGTTTGCCTCTTCCAGCCCTTTTTTCCCTTTCAGTCATCATAACCTGACCTCCATAGAATACGGCGCAAAGGTAGTTTTCGGAGACGTCGCTGATTCTCATGGCCTATCTTTGGAGAGAGAATTAGGAGAGAGAGTTGTGTTCACCCACTGCGACACGACGAAGTATTCCGATCAACTCAAACTATTCAAGGAAGCGGAGAAAAGATGGGGAAGGATAGACATCGCAGTAGCAAATGCCGGGATTTCTCTCCCCAAAGACCCATTCTTGCCTGATGAAGATGTAGAGACGGAGTTCAGTACTGCTGAGATGTATGTCTTCCCACTTTCCCTTTCCTCCATTCACATTCTTACCAACAAGACTAACACGCCATAGAGATGTGAATTTGAAGGGCCCTCTCATCACTGCCAGAATTGGGTTGGCATTCTTAAGGAAGAATGGGGGAGGAGACCTGATCCTCGTCTCCTCGATAGCTGGCTGGAAAGAATGCACTGGGTTAGTCGCGTACACGGCGAGTAAACATGGGGTGGTAGGTATTATGCGGGGTTTGCATTTAAGTGCGGTGAAGGAGGGAGTTAGGATTAATGTTATTTGTCCTTGGATGACAAGTGCGTTTCCCCTTTCCCCCATCAAATTCTTTTCATCTTGACAGTAGCTGATGAAGAGTGTACAGAGACGGGCATGGTGAAGGGCATCGAACTTGGCTGGGCCTCAAACAAACTTCCAGAAAACGAGCCTGAGGATGTGGGGAAGGCGATTATTCTGTGTGCTACAGCAAACCGTGGGGAGAGCAAAGAAAGGCATGAAGGAGCAGTAACTCCGTTCGCAGGCAAGATTTTGTGGGTGAGTGGTGGAGAGAGTTATGAGATTGAGGATAATCTGCAGAGGCTGGAGCCGGAGTGGCTCGGGAGAGAAAATAGCGCGGTGTTGAAGAGGGGCCAGGAGTTTTTGATGAGTGAGGGGACGAGCTGGGATGTGGGGAGGAGTAAACCGTGAGAAGGGAAGGGGTGGGGGTGAGAATGAGGCTGGGACGTTTGGAAATTGAGATTGTGGAATCGATCGATTGCAAGGAGGGAGGACAGGCAAGGAAATGGATGGATGAAATGGGTGGATGTCTTGTTGTGAATGCTCACAAAATTAGAGGCGGAAAGTAAAGTGTAGCTGGAAGCGAGCGGATCGACTTACTTGCCTCCTTCTATTAACTTACATTGTAATTTATAGTTTTGCTCGAGCAGTCGAGAAGATCTGATTCCAAGCAGCCTCATCCAGCATCCGGTACTGCTCCCCATCAAGCCAGTACAAATGATCTGCATCATCGCCATCCTTCAGTTTCCAGTCCCTCGTTTTCAAAACATCTTTTGCATGCTTGAACGTGATCCCAATGTCGATCCTAAACACATGAGTTTCAGAGTCAGATGAAGTGATCGAGACTTACTGCTTCGTAAACCTAACCAACCTCGGAATTGCGTAGTCTGGTAGTCCGCATTCTCGCAGATGAGGATAAAGGGTTGATAGGTATGTGGTTTCGGCTGCGGATGAGGGGTGCAGGAGCGTGATGCCTGCAGTGCCGACTTGGCCGTCGTACCTACTCGCCTCATTTTAATAAACCCACCATTTAACCAAGCAAGCAGAATCAAATCGAGGAAGAAGGGAAAGGAGGATCCTTACCCGGGTACTTTCGTCCCATAAACAACGATGTCGTGGACGTTTGGCAGCTGCACCATAAACGCCTTCACCTCCGCCGAACTCACGTTCTCCCCCCTCCATCTAAATGTATCACCCGTCCTTTCATGAAATCTCACCCAGCCATCACTCTCCCTTACAAGCAGGTCTCCAGTGCGCTGGAACAGGTCTCCTTTCTTGAACACATCTTTCGCCAATTTACCAGAAGTTGCCGACGAATCCTTATAATAGTCCGAATAAAAATCCATCATCGTGACCCTGCCAATCGCCTCCCCAGGCTCGCCGTCCGGGACCGGGATGCAAAAGCCCGTTTTCGGGTGCCGGTACAACGTCTGTGTTTCCTGGTCATACTTCACCAAAAACATCGTATCTTCAAGAAAACGTCCGAGAGGACCGGAAAAGCCAACTTTCCCCACGCCGATGGCACCGCCACACATGTTGTCGAAGCCCGACACGCTTTCCGTACTCCTGTAGATCTCTCTGATTTCAGGGATCCCGAATCTCTCCTGGAATCGCTCCCAGACGTCTGCTTGCAGGCCGTTTCCGGTGGCTACGATACAGTTGTGTTTTTTATCATAAGAAGAAGGCGGTGCGCTCAACGCGTACCGCAGGAGTTCACCCACGTAGAGCAAGCGGGTTGCATTGCTCTCAGCGAGTTCTTGGGCGAACTTCGACGCGGAGAATTTGCGGGAGAGGCAGAGAGTTCCGGAGACGCCGCATGAGTGCACGAGTCCGACGAGGAAGCCGGTGGCGTGGAAGAGCGGGAGACAGCATTATGTTCTGAGGGGGTAGTAGAGGGTTGCTTTCGTGGTATCTTGGGGATATGGGGTTGAGACGGCGAGGAGGAGGAAGGTTTTTAGGGAGACAGCTTTGGGCTTTCCTGGGATTTCTTTTAGTGAGTAGGGGGGGTTGGGTGAGTTTTGTGCTCACCCGTGGTTCCGGAGGTGAAGATGAGTATCCAAACATCCTTTGCTGTCCTTACCGGCCGTGGGAATTGGGGATCCGGAGACAGGGGAGAGAGTTCATTGGGCCCGATCGTGATAATCGTTGAGCCTGGTCTGGGCTGGGAGGAGCCCGAAATAGGGAGAACGTACCCGAGATTGAGGTTAAACCGTCTCAGCTCTCGGACTCCCGTGCTGCTCGGTACGAACTCGACAAGGTCTGGAGTCGCAACGACGAGTTGCGCCTCTGAGATACCGATGCAGTGTTTGAGTGTCTCATCTGCCCGAGATTAGAACACGTCTAGAAAATTCCTTGCTTAGCTTTTTACTGCGAAGAGCGCTGTTCAGCAGCGCTGCCACGGCGCCCAGCTTGCCAAGGGCGTAGATGGCGAACGCCATCTCGGGGGAATTGGTGCAGAAGACGCCCACCACATGGCCAGCCTGCACGCCATGCCTGCGGAGAAATTCTGCGAGTTGATCGACGTCTAGAAGGTGTCAGTCTGGTCCTCAGATTTTGAAGTTCGCAACGAGAGTTTACTTATTTTCATCTCCCCGTAAGTGAGGCTTCGACCTTCAAACCACAACGCCTCGGCCCCCTGATCCGCCAACTCTAACAGTCGATAGAGCGTCGCTTCACCCCCAAGCTCGCGGATGCGTTCCCCGACCCGTTTTCGAGATGTTCGGATTTGGGACAGCTTTCGAAGGTCGTAACTCACGCCGTACCTGGCATCAAGGTAGGCCCCAGTGGCTCCGAAGAGTGCAGCCGCGGCCATCAGCATTTGGGGGTTCGAGAGGGAGGCCATGGTTGCAGAAGCGGGGTGGGTGGGTGGGTGGTTGGCTTGTGAGTGTGGATTTTACATCACGGGGGGGTGGTTTCCACGACTTGAGGTGTCGAAGGTTGTTGGAAGAAAAGAAGTTGTCACAGGATGGGAATGCCATGCGGATTTAATATGTGCACTGAGTGGAGTGGGTCCGGTATGTACTGTACGAGCACTTCGTACTACGTACGGTGTACCCGTACCACATGCGGCCTGACGCCCCAACCCGTGCTGCCCCTGTCGGTTGCACGCTTCACTGCAGCAGGGGTCCAGACCACGCTTCGCTCTTCAGGCCAGGGTCTCACAGGAGTCAAGGACCAGGAGTCAGGAGTCAGGACACAGTTCACTCAGTCTCAATTACAACGTATTATGGGAATTAAATGTAGCGAGCCAGCCACAGACAAGGAGCCAGGACACAGTTCACTCAGTCTCAATTAGACGTCGCTCTGCACTTTCGCACGCACTTTCGACCGGACTAACCCCCTCGTGGCCAGGGACCCTCGTCCTCCCCGTCAATACGGCTCCGTACGGAGCACAGCAAATACGGAGACTCAATCCCCCCATCGTCTCCGTCGGCCTGTTCGATCCGCTTTGAGGGTTTCAGGTAGACACGCTCATTGGCGGGGCTCCATTGTCCGTCGTCTACTGGACTGGGCAGTCAGTACTGTACTATACGAGTATTACCTGGTGATTGGGATAAATAAACCCCTACCTTGAAGCGTGTTTCTAGCAGGTTCGCCTCCACAAAACCTTGAATTTCAGCTGTCTTATTCGCCCATACCCCTTACTGCGGTGTCTGTGGATCCAGGGCAAGGGTTTATTTATCACTACTACCAAGTATCCATTCTACCCCGCTTCTCCGCGAAAAGAGAACCCGAAGATTTCGCTGCAGTGCTGCACCCTCTGCCGGCCGTGCTGCCCTGCTGCCCAGCTGCCAAGTGGGTCGGCCTGCGCCGCCAGAGCCCAGCGGAAATCGTGACCCCCCCGCCCAACCTGAGGAGCCAGATTTGGTCTTCACCTCAACCTCCCGAATCCATCTGTCAATCATCCCGAACCCGCCCTCTCTCTTCCCTTCTCCCTTTCTCCCCTTCTCTCCTTCTCCCCTTCCAGAACCTCGCCTCGCCCTACACCGCCCTCCACTGCGCCAGCTATTGGCCCCTTCTCGCTGCTGCTGATCCCCCCTTTGCGTTCATCCGGCGTGCAGGGGCACATTGACAGTCTCCCGGAGTCCCGCGGTGTCATTGTTGTTGAGTGTACCGTACCCGTGAGGCGGTGTCCCCGTATGAGCTGGCCCCACACGAGCACCACAGAACGGAGGTGATGCCGATCAGTCCAGTCCAGGACCGGCACCGGGGCCTCCTCCCTAAGAAATGTCGGTATTGCGAAAGGAGGTTTTCGAAGGCAGAGCATCTGAAACGCCATCAGCGCTCCCGTACGTTGGCCCTGAGCGATATCCTATCCTGATTGATATCATCAACACCTGAACACTGTTGAGCGACCTCAACAGCGCCCATATCACGCGGTGCACCTTGCTAACTTCTCCCAAGATACGGGCGAACGACCGTACACATGTCCGCGTTGTAACAAAAGCTTCTCTCGGAGGTGGGCCCTCCCGATCTAGAAGACCTATCTCTTACGCTGTCTGCCCTGGAGACACGGGTTGCTGACTTTGCCTAAGTGACGTGTTGATACGCCATCTGAAGAACCACCCCCAGATCCCCGGCGAAGAGATCGAAAAAAGCTCTTCAGAAGGGGACTTCATCGAGGTGAGCGGTGTAGCCGCGACTGCTCCCAACGGCCAGGTCGTTCCACCAGGATTAAATGAACCGTCAGCCCAAGATGTGCAACGGCAAAGTCAGCAGGAGCCACTCAACTCGCCGTCAGTCATTGATCCCGCTCTGGAGGACTCCATCCCGGACCATGTGGAGAATTCCTCGTCCCATACACTGCCCTCCGGACTAGACCACCTTGCTTTGCTGGCTTCGCAACGGAAATGGGGTAACCGTGCCATGGATGCAACCATGCCTGATGCTGGAGGGAGCACGTTGCCAGAAATGGGAGCTGCCCAGGATTGGAACTTGGACATCTCAGGCCGCAATCATCATCCAGATGTGACTTACGAGCCACCACCGGTACCATCTGAGCCCAATTTCCAGACCATTGGAGCATCTCCGAATACGGCATCGAGATATAACTTTGGCACTGACTTGTACTCTGGCCGGATCAATGGAATTATCTCACCTGGTATGGGTGGAATTGGTCCAGATGGATCAATCATGCCTCAGGATTTACAGACCTGGTTCGATCAGTTCGATCTGGAGTCTCATTTGCAGCCAGGGGCAATGCAGACATTTGGGGGATCGACTGATGGAATGCCGAGGGAAGACAGACGGCCATCTATGTTAACTCCCGAAGAGCAACAATCTATCCGAAATCCCAGCTCTCCCAGTGTATTGATACCCACCGAACGGTTTGCTAAGGTCGAGCGATGTTGGCCAAATCGATACAGCAATCCGCTGCGTTTGATGCCAACACTATGGTGGGATGCAGCTCTAAAACCCGAAGACAACCTCTTTTCAAATGGAAATCTCTCGCCAGAGGCAATGGAACAGAACCGGCAATGTGGGTCGAGATGGGGCCTGGATGAGGATTGTAGAGAACGACTCCAGAGAATGTTCGTCACTGTCAATTCCATGGGCATCGATCGTGGAACAGCAGCATTCACTTCACCAGAGAACTTTTCAACTCCATCTGAAGGACGATCAGCTGATCGAGCGGAATCCGTTAACAACGACATTGTCCCAACGAGCTTTCCACCAGCTGAGATCTTTGATATCGGGTTAGATTTGTATTTCCGGCAGTTCCATCCCTTGATGCCATTTATTCATACACCTACGTTTTGTCCGAAGACAGCCCCGACTTCTGTTTTATTTATCATGTGCCTGATTGGCTTAACAATTCTTCAAACCAAAGGAGCAACTGCGTTTGTCCGGCAAACATTTTCGGTAAGCTTGTGAACGTGTTGGTTGAGATTGGGTGCTGACTAAGACATAGAAAGCATTAGAGCAAGTATGTAACGAGCTGATGTCGCCCCCTCAGCCTCGAGGAGATGGAACCCGTTTAGAGCAACTTTGCAGCTTAGCAAGCGCTGTTTTAATTCTCAATCTTTCAGAAATGACTGGGGTACGTTCATTTTCTTTACTCGTTTCGGTCAACACTAACATCTCCAGGAAAAGAGCCACCCCACACAATGTCAGATGATTTACACCAACGTTATCACGGTAAGTTGTCTTGCCTCATATCGTATGGACACTGCTTATTTTAGCAGACTGCCCAGAGTAACGGTCTCTTCTGCGCCCATGACGGCCAGCCTCTGAATGATGAGCTTTTTAACCAAATTCCCGATTTAGAGACTAGATGGAAAGCATGGAGTAGAATAGAATGTGCGAAACGGTGAGTTATACTAACCCTGAAGGTTGCCTCCACTTTTCTGATTCTTCTAGCTTGATCGTCTGCTTGACGATGGTCGATACCTGGTATTCTGCAGTTCTTCATACGAGTCCAATCATGCGGACAGACGACATCCAAATCATCCTCCCCTGTGACGCCGCCCTCTTCCAAGCACCAACAGCCATGAAATGGGCGCAACTCATCTCCAAAGGCCACCAATGCTGCATGCCCAGTGTCGGCCTCTTCTCCGACCGCATGAGCCTCCCCGAACTCAACCTGACCATCGATCCCTTGGGAATGAACGGCATCCTCAGCATGGCTCGCATGCGTATCTCCGAAGACTTCCACCGCCTGCTCTCCGGGACCAACGTCCGCGCATCCCAACAATCCTTCGTGCCCTGCAAGACTTACGAGGCCGACCCTCGCGCAAAACAGACGTCCTACCTCGCCGTACAGATCATCAAAGTCTACGGCGGCATCCTGGCAAACATGAACCCTAACTGCTTTATCCTGTGGCACAACATGTGCATCATGCTCACGGCCGACATTCGGCTTTTCGAAATTGGAGCTGGGTGTGCGGGCGCTGCAACAGCAAGACAAGCACTAGATGATATTGCCATCTGGACGCAGACACCGTCTGCAAGACGTGCTTGTTTACACGCAGCACAAACATTCAAACTGATGTCCAACCGCCGCGCCTCAGACGGCGACCCCTTCCACGCCTCAGCCGGGCTCTTCATCTCGGCTCTACTCCTAGGCCTATACGTCTTCATGATCCCCCCAAATCCAGAACCCCAATCGCACCACTCAACCCACCCCATCTCTCCAGGCTTCGACCTGATCGACGACGTAGACTGGGACATCGTCGGTTCCGAAGGACTCTCCGACGAAACAGTCAATTTGCCGGCCGATAATGCGGCGGTCAACTTTATCCGGAATGGAGGAGGCATTTGCTTTGATGGCGTGGTGCATAGTCCGGGGTATGAGGCGGCGAGGAGGATCCTGCTGGATTATGCGCGGCTGCTTGAGGATATTGGGAGGTGGCGGGTGAGGATTAATCAGCTTTCGAGAGTGTTGAGGATTATGAGTGATGCGCTTGTGGATGTGGAAATGAGCGGGCAGTGATTCTCGGTCCGCTCACATCATGCAGGGACGTCAGCACCTTTCAGATGAGAGAAGAGGAGGACTGTCTTTTCTTCTCTGAAAGTTGGAGTTTGGTTTGGTGGGATTGAGGGAAAGGCTTCAGGGGCGTCACGATCAAATTGAATTCAAATTCGTTGGTATGTTCTGTTCACATCCCTTCATACTTCCTTTCCTCCCATCCACTCGTTCAATCTTCCCGAATCCCCAATACCACAAACAAACCCTCCTTCGAAGTCCCAAGCATAACCATCAAACACCGCCAAGAATCGAGTCCGAAGTGGACAGACAGCTGAGATAAGAAAATGTCAAACGAATGCAAGTGCACCCCCTCCATCACTTAGCACCATTCTCTCCCATCAAAAAACCCCCATCCTCCCCCAACTCTTCTCTTTTTCATCCACATCCACATCCTCGCACCCACATCATACTCATTGCTCGAATCTTCCAATCCTCGGATCATGATAAAACTCCACCCTCTTCCTCGCCGCCTCCTTATCCTCCCGAACCCGCTCGAGCAAATCCTTGATCCCAGGATACGCGCTGAATCTATCAGGCAACTTGTCCCACGCCCTCGGGTCCGTGCCCTGCGAGTGCAAGGTGCCGCACCCGCCGCGCGCGTATTCGGTCCACAGGAAAGTACGGCTGGACTCCACCATGATGGTCATTTGCTCTGTTCACTCGCATTAGCCCCTGTCTCTTTCTTTCCCTTTCTTTACCCATGGGGGCAAGCCCCAAAGCCCCCGTCCTCGCGGTAAGGGAGACGACATAAAACGAAACGAAACGTGCCTTCAAGGATCCGCCGACATCCCATCTCCTGGATGCGCATCTCGTTCACATAGCCGTCGCTGAAGCCGCCATGCGGCGTGTGTCCGCCTTCGAAGGAGCCGCCGCCGGGCTTGAATTCGTCGCTGCGCCCGAGACCGTTGCCGTAGAGCGAGGCGAGGAATTCGGACGCGCTGTTGCGGTGGAAGTAGGGCAGGCGGAAGGTGTTGGATGCTACGTCCCAGCTGAGGAGAATGGCGTCAGCGAGGTCCGAGAGAAACGAGGTAGTTCATAATCTGGAACTCGCGGCCTTGTAGGAAGGAGAGCGAGTGCCGCGAGGAAGGGAAGGGGGTCGGGGGCTTGCCCCCATGAAGAGAGGAAAAGAAGTGGGGAAGAAGGGGAAGGGCGAAAGGACGTACCGGGGTCCAAACCACAGGAAGTCAGCGAGAGGTGTGTTGGGGTCCCGCGACTTGGCGGTCAGCACGGTGTTGATTGAGGGGTCGGTGTGGTCGATGGACGTGCTGTTTTGGGAGGAGAATTTGGTGAGGTCGTACTTTTATATCATTATTAGTTTGGGGGGATGGAAAGGGGGAAAGGTGACAAGGGAGGGAGAGTGAGAGGGGCTCGCTCCTTGGGAGTGAGGACAGACGGGAAGAGAAAGTGAAGAAAAAAACATACTTTGTAAGGGATGACGTTCCCGTGCCAGGCTACTAGGTCGTAGGGGCTGTGGTCTTGGCTGATTTGGTGGTAAGTGCCATTTATCTTACACACAACTTTCCAGCTGTTCAGTTTTTCGTCAGCATTGCTTCATTTCACCCTCAAAACATCCTCCAACCAAGTTCCAAAACCAGCTCAAGAGACGCTCCAACAGGGGGGGCACACAACCAACAAAGAAGAAAACAAGACTCACTCAACCTGCAACTCCTCATCAATCGCCGCAACCGGAAACAGAAAATCCCTCGGATTCGCCAGTCCATGACCCCCAATCGGTCCCAGATCGGGTAATTCCCACATGCTGCCCCACACCTCCGTGACATAACCCCTCGCCTCCTTCTCCCCCTCGGCAAGATCAACACTAAACCTGACTCCTCTCTGCACCACAAAGATCTCGCCCGGTTGGAGGAAGAGCTTCCCGAATTCGGTCCGAATGTCCAGATTCCCCTGCTGAGCGCATAGGAGGAAGTCACCGTCGTTGTTGCAGTAGGACTTGTGGTGGGGGGTCATGGAGCTGTTGAGCGTGTAGACGTACAGCGCGATGCCCTCGCGGATATTCGGGTCCCCGCTGCCGGCGAGCGTGTGGAGACCAGTTATGAAGTCTGTAGGTTGCGAGGCGGGCGGGATGGGGAACGGCGTCCATTCTGCTTGTTGAGGCAGCAAGGCGACTTTGGGGTTGATAGAGAGGAAGCAGTTTTCTATATTTGGGGAGGGGAGGGGTGTGTAGCCGCCTGCGTTATTCTCAGTCAGTAAAAGTTGAGTCCCAGGGTTGGAGTTGAGATGTGGCGAGGTGAACCTCGTTGTTTTCTCCGTTTTGTTTGTTTCGGTGTGGAAAAGGGGGTGCAGAAATAGTGGGGAATTCTGGGGTAAAAAGGGGGGCCTACTATGCGCAGCCGCCGGTCTCACCCTATACATATACGTGCTAAAATTTGCATGTCTAGGCGCCGCAAACGCGGAATACGTGATGCCCTCCGTGTACAGCCCGAACCTATTTTCCTGCGGATTATTCTGTCCAGCTGGGAGCGTGCCGGGGATGACTTCAGACTGATGGCGGTTGCCCCAGCCTTGTAGGTACTCATAGGGATCGTGAGCGCGTGTTGGCTTGGAGCGCTGGAGATCAGTGTAGTGGAAGACTTTTTGGGGGTCTGTGGCGGGGAAGCGAGGGACGATTACGTAGCCGCCGCCGTTTGCTTTGTCTTCTTTGTCTGCCATGGTTTGATTTCCTTCTTCTTCGATCGTGACCAGTGTAAACAATCGATTCTCACATTAAGCTTTGATTGTGAAGTGAAGTTGGAGAAAGGACAAGGAAGAGAGAGACGATTGTTGAAAAGTCGGCAGCTCTCACATATCCCAAGATAAAGACATGGTCCAAGAAATCTTTCAGCCCATGATTAAGAGCTAGTAGCTATATAGCGCTGGTGGGGCGGCGGTTGGTGTGCGTGTGGATATGAAACACTCCAGACATACGATTGTGGGGACAGGGAGTGCGGCAGCAAGACCACGAGGCATGGAAAACATCAAGCCCCACGGTAACAGAACACTCGGATCGACCTCCCTGCCGCACGCCAGTCCATTCCAAATTTAGGCCCCTCTTTATCAATCCCAGGTTGGGAATCGTCCGATTGTGGGTTACGCTGGCGAACGTTAGGCTGCGGTTTGTGAGGAGAACTGTGGAGAGAAGCTCCTCCCCGGGGTGCGAGGTCGTGATTGGTGGGGCGTTGTGGCATTCAGCCTTGGGGTTTCTGTACTGCCACCCGCAGCGCTGGGAAAGAAGAGGAGGTTTGGAGTTGTTCGGATTCCCTTTTGTGGGTTCATTGGGTGTTCGCACAAGATTGGGAAATAGAAGAGTGTGGAAGCTGGCTAGAAGTCTTGCCGCAATATTTGCCCTGATTGGTTCGGAGCGGCTCTTCGTACACCCTGGATACAATACCGGTATCCCTGAAGTTCCGGAATGAAGTCGATTTAGCCCGATATGATGGTATTTTTTATTTAGTGACTTTTAAGTGCCAGTACATCATCCACCATCTGCTGTGAAGCTCCAAGGTAGTTGAAGGGATCACAGAGTGATCGCAACTCGCTCTCACCGAGAGAAGAAGTAGCCTCCTTCTTTTTCATCAGGCAATCGAAGAGTGTAGATTCTCCTTCGATTACCTCTTTGCATGCTTCATACACCACATCATGAGCCTTGCCTCTTCCAAGATGTGGAGCAAGTCCCATCATGACTGCCTCACCCACAATGAGTCCTTGTGTGGAACGCAAATTCTTCCCCATCTGTTCTGTATTAACCACCAACCCGGAGAGGGCAAAATCAGCTTGATGCAAGGCACCCACGGCAATCACAAAACTCTCTGGAATTGCCACCCATTCCAAGTGCCATGGTCCAGAAGCTCGCTCGAAGTCCGAGACCATGCCATCAAGTACCAACCCTGCATTTGATCTAAGTATCTTGGAAGCAGCCAGAATGACTTCACTCGATATTGGATTTCGCTTTTGTGGCATGGTTGAGGATGCACCTCTGTGGGGTACGAAAGGCTCGGAAACTTCCCCGTATTCGTTAGAAGACATGATTATCAGATCGAGTGCGATCTTTCCAAGTGAACCTCCGATAAGTGCAAGGAAGTTCACAATCTCAGCAACGCCATCGCGTGCCACATGCCATGTGATTGAGGGATTGACAAGGCCGAGTTCTTTTGCCAGCTCTTTCCGTACTCTCAGGCCATCATCTCCATCGCCCAAGGAGGCAAGCGTTCCAGCTGCCCCACCATATTGCACCAGAAGTGCTCTTGGTCGTAATTGTTTCAGCCGTTCTTGGTGTCTCTGCAAACTTGACAGCCACACTGCACATTTATAGCCGAATGTGACTGGAAGGGCATGCTGTAAATGTGTCCTCCCAGCCATTGGCGTATCTTTATATTTTGTAGCCAGCGTTTCCAGACTGCTGCGGACATCCGCAAGCAGTCTTTCCACAATATCCAGCCCAGTCTTCATCTGAAGTACGCTGGCGATATCCATGATATCTTGTGTTGTTGCTCCCCAATGGACGTATTTTCCAGCCTCCTCATCACACATTGATGAAAGCTGTCTCACCAGTGGCAAGATTGGGTATCCCACAATCTCCGTCTCTTTTCGAAGTCTTTCGAGGTCCAGTCTCTCTCCACTCACCATTGAGGTGATCGACTTTCCAATATGTCCCGGTATGATTCCACATCGCGACTGAGCACGAGCCAAAGCTGTCTCTGCATCGATGCACCGATTGATGTACGCTGTATCATCAAAAACCTGCAAAATCGTTAGCAAAACTTCCCCGGGCTCCAATTACATGCTCCAAGGTGGGGAAAATACAAACCTTCCGTATCTCGTCCGTCCCAAATAAACTTCGAAATATTGCCGAATCTATGGCACTGACGGACCCCATATTTCGTCGAAGTATCGTGGAAGGTACCACGAATCTTGAGCGAAGTAATGGAGTGCGGAGGAGAGCACGCGACAAGAACATTCTGCTATTATTCTTGCTTCCGAATTCGGACGCAGCTCAAGCCAGCGAGGTGGGGGTCAGCAGCAGCTTTCGAGGAAAATCTGCAGCCCGCAGAAGCCCAATGGATGTGATTCTTAGAGATTGGGGTAATTTAAAGCTGACCCTGCCCACGACGACGTGCCAAATAGGAGAGGGTCACTCCGTTGTAGAAATTCTTTGTTGATTGAAGCCGAACTTGCGTGTGGGAAGGTGGGGCTTTCAGGGTCGTGACACAGCGTCAAGCCTTCCGCGGGCAACCCCTGAGCAAGCGGGTGCGGGGTCGATCCTCTAATTTCCAGCCTGGAAGAAGACGTCAGGGTGCCGAAAGCCTGGACTTGAGTGGGTTGCACAGGTCGCGCATTGGCCTTGAGCATGGTGCTTGCTTTCAGTGAAAGTATGCTTGCCCGACGTCAAAAGAGAAATCGCAATCGACCAAGGGAAATAAAAGCCACAATTAACAGATAAAATGAGAATTGATACTGAAGTGCATTTGTTCTATTCTCGAATAAATAATGAAGCCACGCCAAGTCCAGTGCTTCATCAAAGTTAGCAAACTTTCTCTGAAAATCTGAAGATAAACAAACTTACCTTGCACACATACTAATGACACCCACCTCTTTACCATTACTCTGCAACTCATTGAACAAAGTAGCCGTCTGTCTGGCCCCAGTCGCTCCAGTGGGATGCCCAATCGCAATCGCCCCACCACTGGGATTGACTTTCTCCATGTCAAGTCCCAACTTTTGTATGCAGTACAAACTTTGACTTGCAAACGCTTCATTCAGCTCGAAGAAATCAACATCCTTTAATTCGATTCCAGCGTATTTAAATAGAGCAGGTATCGCGAAGACGGGAGAGATTCCCATTTCGTCTGGAGCGCAACCTGCAACTTGTGTTCCGACAAACCTCCCCATGGGCTTCAGGCCACGCTCTTCGGCCCATGACCGGCGTGCAAGAATCGTTGCAGCTGCTCCGTCCGAGATTTGAGAACTATCCACCATCAGCAAGCCTTCATATTTATCCCATTAGCTGGCCAAGAAACTCACGAATTCCCGGCAGTGCTACCACCCGTATCTTTGAAAACAGGCTTCAAAGACTTCAGCTTCTCCAACGTCAACCCACTTCTAATCCCATCATCCTTCGCCACCAAACTCTCACTCTCCTCCCCCGTTTCTTCATTCTTCACCCTAACAGTCACAGGAACAATCTCCTTCTCAAAATGCCCACTTTCCCTCGCACGCTCAGCCCTTCTATGACTTTCCAGCGCAAAAGCATCTTGTGCCTCTCTTCCAACCCCGTATCTCTCTGCCACATTCTCAGAAGTCGTACCCATAGGAATCAAACAATCCCTCGCATCTTTGACAGGAGAATTCCGCAGATGCGGAGACACATCTTGCGGGACACCTCGAGAGCCATAGTTTCGAGACATGCTTTCCACCCCTCCTCCTAATCCTACATCGATCTGGCCAACCATGATAGCGTGGGCTAAATGAGTGATGGCTTGGAGACTGCTCGAGCATTGTCGGTTGACTGTGTGGAATGTTGTGGAATTTGGGAAGCCGTAATGGTTCAGTGCCATGCGGCCTGTTTTCGCGAAGCCTAGCTCGGCGAGGACATTGCCGATGAGGACGTCGTTCACATCTGCTGGTTGAATGTTTGCTCGTCTTACGGACTCGGCCATCACCTTTCAAGGTCAGATAAGATTTTGAGGGGATATATGGAGAAGGTTACAGGTCCGAGTATATCCTCTGGAAACGCATCCTTGAATCCTTCTTTGAAAGCTCTTGTCACCGGACTTCTCACCGCTGCTAGTACCACAACATCATTCGGTGACTTCTGTGTGATCTTGCGTGCTACAGTGCGGAGTGTTGCCATCTTATCACTTTTGCCAAGCTTCACCTTCAACTCCCTCAAGATACATTTGAGCACCAAAGTCGGCAAGAGTGAAGCATAAGTCACCAGGAATTAGAAATCAATCAATTGCGAACCAATCATTTCAAATAAAACCCACCCATTTGAGGGGAAGGGATGCCTGAATGTGGGGCTTGGAGGTATGGAGGGGTGACCTCGTAAATTCGACCCCACCAATGCGCACTGCACTGTAAAGATTCATCAGCCTTGCCGCAGAATCTCATAAAAAAATCCCTTCTAACTACCAGTCATCACAATGTATCAAATATACCTTTTTCGCAGATGGAGCAGGGTAAATTTATAGTTCCATGGTTGGGTCATATGTAACTCCGGTGGTGAAGTTTATGATTGACGGCCGCGGTGCGGGGTAACCGAGATCCAAGGTCAACGCACGCCCAAGGTCAATGCACGCTCAAGTTTACCCGAATACTCGATATTAAATACTTAATTATTAAATAATTACTAATTGGAAAAATAAATTTCTTTAAGTTCTGTAAAGAGAAGAAGCCAAAGATTTAATATTTTAATTTTTCTTAATTAATCTTCAATTTTTAATAACCTTAAACTTAGCTTTTATTAAAATATTAAAAAACTTAATAATTTTAATTTAATATTTAATAATTATATCTATATAAGTTCTTTAAAGTTAATATTAGTAAGAATGCTTCATTATATATAGAAGTATAAGTACATAATATAAAAAGTTTATATTATTATATATTACTTATAAAATTTTACTTTTAACTTAAATTTTTAAATAAAATATTAAAAATTCTTAAAAGAAGCTTAAATTAAGAAATAATTAAAGAATTATATAATAAAAGCTTTCTTATATAAAACTTACTCAAAATGGTTATATTTCTTATATTAAATACTTATATAATTTGTAATTTATTATAATATAATTTAATAATATAAATAATTAATTTCTGCTTTTAAATATTATTATATATTAATTTGTATTTAATATATTCTTTATTTTATATTCTTTACTTTATATAATATTATAATATTATAAGAAAAAATAATTAAAAATACTTTTATTTATCTTTAATTTAATTATTTTTAATAAAAAAGAATATGTTTTTAAATAAAATATAAAATATATTTTATTTATTTATTAAAATAAATATTTCTTTTATGTAATTTAAAAGCGTAATATATTTAAACGTTTTTATTAAAACTTTTAATAAATAATACTATTCTTTTATTAATAATAATATTTTTAAAAAAACTTAAAACTTTAAATAAATTATATTATTATATTAATATTTTACTTAAACTTTTAATTAGAACTGTTTTTTATAATATATTATTAATATAAGATTAATTACATTTATTATTTTCTTTCCTTTTATATAATTATTTTATAAATATTATATATTATTAATTTTCTGTTTTTAGCTTTAATATAAAAGAAGCCTTTTATATAAATTTTAATTTTTTTATATTATAATTATCTTTGAAAAATAGTATACTAGTAATATAGAAATTTTAAAGTTAATTAGGTTATTAGCTCCTCATTTATTAAAGTTCAAAATTCGGGAGTTTTGGTGTAAAATGACCGTGCGTTGACTCTGGTCGTGCGTTGACCTTGGATCTCGGTTAGCTTCTCCAAAGACTTCCATTTCACCTCATGCTGATATAAATTTTCTTAATTCACACTTCTCTGCACCTCCATAATTTCAATTGTTTCCCCGTAATAATTCTCCCTTGTTGTCTATAACATAGCCTTCAGATCAGGTGATACCTTGAATGGTGCCTCAGTCTTCGCCTTCACTTCTTCAACCGTCACTCCATCCGCAACCTCAATCAGTGTCAACCCCTCTGTGGAGTCAACATCAAACACTGCTAGCTCGGTGATAATTCTTGAGACGCATTTTTGGCCCGTTAGGGGGAAAGTGCAGGCTAGTAGAAAGTAAGCAGAGCACTTGGAAGTCTAGACGTAAGGTGGAAGGAGTACATACCAGTCAAAATCTTCGGATTGCCTTTCTTATCGACATGATCCTAGACATCCAGTCAACAAGCTGATGGAGTTCTCAATAAGTGCTGAAATCTTACCATAGTCACTACTACTTTCGTCTTGGTAGAGTTAGCAACAAGATCCATAGCTCCTCCAATACCCTTGACCTTCCCAGGAAGCATGAAATTGGCAAGATCTATTCTCAACCGTCAGACTAGTTTTCTCGATGCCAATGACAGGAAACCCTCACCTCCATACATGCCCACTTGCAACGCGCCCAGCATAGTCAAATCAATTCTGCCCGCCCGAATCATCCCAAAACTCTCATGGCTTCCAAACAGACTCGCACCATTCGCAAGTGTAACAGTTTCCTTCCCCGGATTAATCAAATCCGGATCTTCTTCCCCAGGAGTAGGATATCCTCCCATCCCAAGAATACCGTTTTCGGATTGTAGGACGACTTCAATGCCAGGCTCGAGGAAGGCGGGCGTGATGAGTGGCATCCCGATACCGAGATTGACATGCATCCCATCCTTGAACTCTTTCGCTGCGCGCTTGATGATGCGTTCTCTGCTGGTAGCAGCACCGGCTACTATCGGAAAAGTCAATCACTCACTCCTCCTCCACTTTCAAAACTCGGATGGAGAAAACCTACCCGCATCCTTCAACTCCTCAGGACTCTTCCTCAACGTCAACTTCTCAATCTTCTTCTCCTCGGTACTTTGTATAACCTTGCTAACATAAATCCCTTGCAAATGCACATTTTCAGGCGCAATCTCGCCGACCTCAACAATCTGATCTGCCTCTACCAGCGTCACCTTAGCATTCTTCCCCATACACTCATTGAAATTATTCTGCGCTTTTCGAAACTGACAATTGCCCATTCGATCCGCTTTGTGCACTTTGACGAAGGCATAGTCGCCGAAGATGGCTTCTTCCATTACGTAGGCTTTTCCGTTGAACTCGCGGGTCTCTTTGGGTTTCGACATGACCGCGACGGTGCCGTCTTTGTTGTAGCGGACGGGTAGCTCGCCGGTTTGAACTGGAGAAGTAAGCCGGGAAGACCATGTCAGTGAAGGCCTGGAGCTGTACCAATTGTTCCATAAGCTGCGGGTGTGTAGAATGCTGGCACTCCTGCAGCTCCTGCCGCACACTTCTCTGCCATTGTACCTTGAGGTGTGAGTTCGAGGGAGAGTTCGCCTGTGATGTACATCTTCTCGAATGCCTTGTTTTCCCCAATGAAGGAAGCTATCATTTTGCTGATTTGCTTAGTTTCCAGCAGCTGTCCTGCATTATCTCATCAGTCCAAACCCCTAACCTCTAGTGTATTTGGCCAACTCACCAAGCCCAACGCCAGGCATCCCAGCATTATTCGACACCACCGTGAAATCCTTTAAATCCGGTCGATCTCGCAGTGCATTAATTAATGAACTCGGCACCCCAGAGAACCCAAATCCGCCGACTAGGACTGTAGTACTGCCTTTCATGTCCTTGATTGCTTCCTGCGCGGAGCCGCAGATCTTGTTGATTGCTCTCCTCGCCGTCGAGGATGAGAACTCCCGTCTGGAGCTCAAGGCTCTGCTGACGAGTAATCGTGAGGCCCTCATTTCGTCCGAAGTTCTCTCAACAACTCCTCAGGGACAGAGATGGATCTACAGTTATTCAAAATAGAGACTTTGAAGCTTCTTGAAACAGTGCTCACCGATATCGCGTCCAGCTTCCCTTTGCAGGGCCCCACGATAGGTAAAAAGTGAAGTTGTTGTCGGCGAGGTGCGGGGCATGACTACAGGGGTTTCGGGTACCCCTCCACTCCCGCTACTGGTGCGGGGAAGAGTTTACCCCATTATTATCCTGGCTGTGGGGCTACTGCCATTGGACGGCAACTTTTCGGGGTCTTGAAGCCGACATTGAGTCTAGGGGCTGACCTTTGTGTGAAGTCAGTAAAAGATACTCCGGACAAGGATTTCAAAACAGAAAAGGGTTGTGAAAATGGCGACAACAACGTTGAACCACGAAACGCTTGGCCGAATGCGGGGGCTGCTCTCTGAGGACGGGAGAACTGTGCAGTTTCGGGGTATCAAATATGCTTCCATACCGGGGAGGTGGCGAGATCCTGTGCTCTTGAGCCAGAAGCTTGTTGAGGGAGGAGGGGAGTTCGATGCAACGAAACATGGGCCATCTTGTCCTCAGCATCCAGCTGGCTTTGCCTACGATCTCTCTTTGGTAGGAAATGTTACGTTGGCGAAGGAGAATGATGAGCAATCGGAGTTCGAATGTCTTAATTTGATTGTGGTTGTTCCTGTTGAGAGTTTACGGAAAACTGAAAGGCTTCCTGTCATGGTTTGGTACGTGTTGTCCTGGACAAGTTTGAATGGATGCTGATTGGTCTAGGGTTCATGGGTCAGTTCTTGTTGTTCCTTTTGGTTGAAGTATTCTGATGGGTGTGAAGGGGGTCTCTATCCGTTGGGAGCAGCACATGGCCTCAGTATGGTAAGTGCATTTAAGTGAAATGACTTGCAGCCTGTGTATGGGCTCATCTGAAGCAGATATCTCCAAATTTATTGCAAAATCAGTCGATCTTGGAAAGCCTGTGATTGGAGTCTCAATTAGGTGAGCCTCAGACTGATCTTCCGAGGTATTTATCTTTCTAAATAGTTAGTTATCGTCTTGGCATATTCGGTTTCCTGGCTTCAGACGAGCTCCAGACGTCTGGAAATTATGGTCTGAAAGACCAAGCATGTGCCTTCAAATGGGTATGCACAGATCCGCGAGTAGCCATGTTGTCCAAATTAATGATGAAATAGGTCAAGAAGAACATATCTGGATTTGGAGGGGACCCCGCAAAGGTCACGGCTTTTGGGGAGTCAGCTGGATCCAGTAAAGTCCCCTTTGGAGTAATATCGCTGTCTAGGCTTACAAGATACAGTCTTCATTTCTAGCCTCCTACTCACAAAAGAACCGCTCTTCAACAGAGCATGCATGATGTCCGGTGACACAACATTGCGAAGACCACGAACAATGGAGTGGCAGAACACTCACTACCAAACCAATGTTAAATTGTTAGGTCTCGAAAATGCAACTGCAGAGGCCCGTAACGCAGAGCTATATAACATGAGTGCGAGTGAGATTACAGGAAGGTTGCCGGCATTCCAGCATTGGAGTCCCACTGTTGATGGACTGTTCATTCCTGAGGAGGTCACTTTGGGCGTGCTGTCTGATGCGAGGAATCCAGCTGGGAAGCCAGCATGGTGTGAAGCTATTATGGTCGGAGATGTTGAACATGACGTGAGTCGCACCCTGCAAATTTAGTGGCACCTGGAATTGATGTCACGCAGGGAACTTGCTTGAAAGCTCGTATCATGGACGCTCCAAACGTTATGAGCAGATTGGAGAATGCTTTAACTGCTTCCCTCGATCCGCCCGAGGCCGAAATACTTCTGAAGAAATACGGGCTAGTTGGAAAGCTGACTCCGGCGCAGCAATATGCTGGTTTGTTGAATCTGTCGACAGACCTTAGATTTCACTTTCCTGTTTTGAAAGTCGTTGAGGGTTGGGAACCGAGCAAATGCTTGAGATATCACTTCCATCAGGTGAGATCAAACGTTTTCAGCCATTGAGTTGATTACTAATATAATTGCAGCCAAATGAGATCGACGGCACTTATAAAGGGTTCGTCAGCCATGAACTTGACGTCGCGTATCTCCTTCAAAACTTTGGCTCCGCGTTTTCTGCCCAAAGTCAAGAATTGGGAAAGAGGATGGTGGAGGCTTGGGTTGACTTTGCTTATTGCATTGAGATTAATGGAGGGAGAGGTGATATTTTGGTCATTGGGCCAGGTGAGGCATTTGGCTTCATTGATGAGAAAGAGTATGATGAGAAGTATCGCGGTGGTCGAGGAAAATTGTTGCATGAAATTGGGTGGGAGAAATGCTTCAAACTTGGGGAATTATTACAGGGAGTATAACCAAAACATGGATTATTTTCCATCATATCTCCCGTCTTGAGCATCCTCGGAAATTTTGAAGTGCACTAATTTTCGAGGGTAAACCCGCTAAGCCCCAGGCCTCTCAACAGAAAGACATTCAATCTCTCTCGTCCTTTGTCCAAAATGAGATGAATATCAAATTTGAATTGAGTTCAAACAGCAATTTTGGTACAACTTAGCTTTCTCTCATATAAAATCCTTATAACGTGATATCGACATTCAGTCAAGCCGAGGTCGGACATAGTAGTCCAACTCTGGGGAGCCGAACTGCCAGAACGGAGCCCCACATTGGGAGGCAACCTCACCTTCGCCATCTTTCCTTCCCCAAACACCTCCACAGCCGTATGGAATTGGCGATTCAGGCACTTCTCTAGAACCATAGACTCCTCTTTCCGCCATACCTTACATGACAGACTAGACAGCAGTCACTGTGCAGCTGCGACAGACACGATGCTGCAAAGAATTACGACGAAACCACACTGCCGATCATGGCAGCGTCAGCTGTTACGGACGTTCTCCTCTACAGTGAATACCCCTACACTTCCACTTTCAGGTACCAGAGTGCTCGACTTGACGAGGGTACTGGCAGGGGTACGTTTTCCCTCCGGTCTCTCTGTGGGATCTCCTCAGAAGGTAGCATTGGAGTTGATCACGTGATTATGTAGCCATACTGTACACAAATTCTTGGAGATCTTGGGTGAGTACTCTATTCATTCAATACAATAATATTGTTAATCTAACTCCCTACGTAGTGCTGAGGTATTAAAAATCGAGCACCCAACAAGAGGGGATGATACACGGCAATGGGGGCCTCCCTACGCTCCCCACCTCGATGGACAGCCGGGACCTGGCGAAAGTGCTTACTATCTATCCGTACTAAGTCTCTATCACCACTATCTTCGTATGCTAATCGCCGTAAGGTAAATCGTAACAAGAAATCTATCGGCATCTCTTTCAAGGAAGAAAAGGGTGCAGATCTCATTCGAAAGCTAGCCTTAAACGCCGACGTCTTCGTTGAGAACTACCTCCCTGGTACTTTAAAGAAATACGGACTCGACTTCAAGGCGCTCAGTAAGGCGAACCCAAAGTTGATTTATGCGAGTGTGACTGGGTACGGACAATTTGGTCCATATAGCAATCGAGCAGGATATGATGTTATGGTTGAAGCGTGGGTATTCTTTTTCCAGCTCCTCGGATATAAGGTTAATGAAACCGTAGGGAAATGGGACTGATGCACATTACTGGAACGCAGGATGGCCCGCCAGTCAAAGTTGGTTGCGCCGTGACAGATCTGACAACGGGACTGTACACTGCAAACAGCATCATGGCAGCACTTCTCGGTAGAGCAAAGACTGGAAAAGGACAGCATCTCGATGTTTGTCTCAGCGACTGCCAAGTTGCGACGCTTTCAAATATGGCAGAATCCGTTCTCATCTCAGGGAAACGAGATACTGGACGTTGGGGAACTTCGCATCGTGAGTCACCCCTATCTTTCTATTTTTGAAGCCTGCATCTGAGTTGCAAACTAGCGTCCGTCGTCCCATACAGGTCTTTCAAAACATCAGACGGCGATATACTCTTTGGTGGCGGCACTGACCGCCTTTTCGGCATATTGTGCGAAGGTTTGGGGAGACCAGAATGGATCAGTGATGAACGGTTCGCTATCAACTCAGCGCGAGTAGAGCATCGGAATATCCTCGAGCCGTGGATTGAAGAAATCACGATGTCAAAAACGACTCAAGAATGGCTTGAGATTTTTGATGGCACTGGATTACCATATGCAAAAGTCAACGATCTTATGGATACTCTGAATCATGATCATGGTACGTTCTCCCTTTTCATTCCAAGAGACTTGCGTTGCTGATGCGAGATACAGTTCTGGCAAGAGGCATGGTGAAAGAGGTTGACCATCCTACGTGTGGCCCCATCAAGTTAATCAATACGCCTGTCAAATACTCATATTCAACGCCGGGGATCAGATCCCCTCCGCCGACGCTGGGACAACATACTGATGAAGTGTTAAGGGATAATTTGGGCATTAGCGAAGAGGATATAAAGGCTCTTAGAATGGATGGCGTTGTAGGATAGAAGCTGATCGGTACAATCCCAACATCGTGAACGTATTAGCTCATTCGGTGCTGCCTAGATCTCTGTTTAGGTTATTAAATAACGCATCTCGTGTCGTCCCGAACACGAGCAAGGGTTTGGGTTCCCGACGTTCACAGTGCATAGGCTGGTGAAATGCCTGAAGCCAACGACGTAGAATTTTTTATTGTGGGAATTCCAGTGGTCTCAGCCATCCTACAAAGTTCGCACTCAAGGTTACGACTAGGTTTCGCAGCTCCAGGTATCCTTGGGGTGCCAGCAGAGAAGTAGAGCGCCACAACTCAGGGGGACGATCGACGGGACTGTGCTTGCGCGGGCATTATCGTATTGGCCGATAGTTCAATGCTACATCAAAAGCCCCAACGGCTAATGCACATATTAATGACGAAAAAAGAAACTTAACGAAAGCACAGCTTCTTCGATTCAATAATGTTCAGCTTTCCCCGAATATGGACATCTGGCCCTTTGCATTAGCGAGTATTCGAAGGGAGAGATTCAATTTGATGTATAGGTCTGTCCTCTACCCCCATCGGTATGTCTAAGGAGTTCAGAAGCAATGACTTCACTCTCTGGGAAAGGTCTCTGAATAAGAAACTTCCTTCAATCTTCCAAGTCAGTTCCAAGTTGAACTTCTCGCTAAAAAAACCATCCCCTGCGGCGGTGCACATTGTCTCGCTTCGGTTGCCCGGACGAAAACAGGGGTCATCCCGCAATAACATCATAGTGATGATTGGCTCCCTGGGATGTAACAAGGCTGCCTAATTTAGGTCTCACCATTCTCCCTGACATTCAAGTATAAATACAAACCCGCGCGCACATTCTTTCTCTACAAGACAATCCCATAAATCTCCAGAAGTATGGATGCCTACTTCTTCGAAAACAGAGACTTCTTTGCGAATCGCATTGAAGAGTTGGAGATCCTCTCGAGATCCAGCCGAACGGCCGAGTCTTCAGATCAATCGACAGAAGTTCACGATACCGCCGTTTGTGTTCGGATCCGACCACTCACAGAGGAAGAGATTGGATGGGATCATGTTCAAGGTGTTCTGAGAGATAATTTTGGGGCAGCCAATATCTATGAACCGAGACGGAAGGTCAACGGTAAACCGGATCTCAATGTTCGTATATCCCATGCTCAATATTGGTCCGTCGTACGGGACCCTACCACATGTTCTGGGTTTGCTAAATTCAGTTGTTAGAGGACTTCGTTTACTCTAGATCATGTTTATGGTCCCGATAGCAACACAAAGGACATATATAATGATCGAGTACAGGACTTGGTGCAATGGGTTGGTAGCGGGGGAATGAGCATGCTATTGGCATACGGTCAAACTGGATCCGGAAAGACGTTTACGGTCTCGGGAATGGAAAAGCTCGTGGTAGAGAAGCTCATGGATGGCACAGTGTCTGGCAAATGGGATGTACATATGTGCATTTTCGAGGTTGCAGGAAGCAATATGTACGGTATGTTAAATAGATGTCATCCCTCCACCATGTATTATTTTTCACTGACTGATTCTTCCAACTAGATCTCCTCAACGAGCGAAAACCCATCGGTATCTTAGAAGACCCGTTTGGTGCCATGCAATTGGTAGGCGTGCTCGAGAAGAAGCCGACTACTTCAGAAGAATTCTTGAGTCTGATCGATGTCGCCAAAGAGCTCCGCTCAACGGAAACCACAACCAAGAACGATCAATCCTCGCGCTCACACGCAATTTGCCGTATCCGAGTCGTGAATAAGGAATCGCCAAACTCTCCTGAAGGCAGTTTCTTGCTGGTTGATCTCGCCGGCAGCGAAGCAAGTGCAGATACCCAAAACCACTCTCGCGAACGGATGGCAGAGACGCGGGAAATCAACAAGTCGCTGACGACACTCAAGGACTGCATCAGGGCTAGGGCATTATGGAGCATTGGGAGAGGAGAAGCAAGCCAGAAGCATGTTCACATCCCGTTCCGAACCAGCAAGCTCACGCAAGTGTTGAAAAGTGCATTCGACGTCAGCAACACCCAAACTTGCAAGACGCTTGTCATTGCATGCATCAATCCTAGTATCCTGGATGTTGCGCATAGCAAGAATACCCTCCGATATGCAGAGATGTTGAAGGTGCCGGTGCCGAAAGCAAAGCCAAGACCATTTGATGAGCGGATCCCAACGACGTGGGAGAATAAGCATGTGCAGGAGTGGATCTCCAAGAATGTATGTTGTGGTGTCCGTTTCCGATTTCATTAAACTGACATACTTGAAGTCAGGGCGACCTCCCATGAATCCGTTGTTGTTGGCACCCAGAGAAAATGGTCTTCAATTTTGCCGCCTTCAGGAAGATGAGTTCGTTGGCCGTGCAATGCTCACGCCAGGAGTGAAGCCTGAGCAGGCGAAATTGCTGTACTACAAGCTTTGGGCTTTGCACATCGACTCCCGAGCTCTGATGAATAGTGCCTCTGCCTCAATTGAGACCAAATCCGCGGAGACTGCGCCGAAGAAACCTCAGAAGTTGAAGGTGGTCAAGGCAGGAATGTTCTTCAGATTGGACGAGAAAGAAATTAAGGACGGCGCTGAGATAGTCATGGCTTTAGGGGTAGACACAGCGTCAACAAGCAAGGGGAGAGATGAAGTGAGGTGGATCTGTGCGGCCGTTCGTCCTGCTACTGATACGCCAGGAGCTTATGAGCTCTTTGTGGCGAACCAGAGGGTAATTGAGGGCAAACGGCTGATCGATGAAGTGAAGTTGAAATATGATATCCATACCCGGTACTATCTGATTGCGGGAAGTTGAGGTTGGGGTTGATTGTTCAGATAGAATGCTTCTATGAATAGACGAGCGGCTGAGACTTTCTGTTATCGTCCAATCCTCATCCCGTATCTTTTCTTCTCGTTAGTTTCTGGCATGCAGTAGTTTCTTTTACTCGAATCATCCCAGCGTTTCACCACCGTCAACCCTGGCCAGCTCGCAGACCGGCGCAGCGACTCTAGGTCGATATTTGACAGGCTGAGCGGGTTCGACTTGGATGGCACTAAGTCCTCCATCGCTCTCCAAGCCATGGGAGTGTCCTGTATGCCTGGATAGAGCGAGTGCAGGACCAGGCACTCGAGGTAGGTGGCGCGGAGGTTGGCGAGCGATGATGCCACCGACTCCACAACCTGCTCCGGGATGCTCTTTGTCGTATCGTACGGGCCCGAGGCGGGGTCTTTACCCGGCTTGAAGGGCGAGAACTTGGTCTGGATCTGATGGTGCCGTGCATCCTCACGACCCTGTTAGGTGACATCCCTCTGTGATGAAATCTTCCGAGACGGAGTATTACTAAAATGAGTATTTAATTAAAGCTACCCCGCTTGGGATTTCAGCACACTGTGCAATTCTGCCCAAGGCCTTAGAAGGGTTCCCTGGTCAACCGTCCACTTTGGTCAACCGGCCATCCACAAATCAACCCACTCACTAATTATTTTTAGCTTGCAAGTTTATTAGAACAATCTTTAGCATATAGCAACAATTTGTATAGCAATTTAAACTGCATTTTTTTCGTGGTCAAATTAGTGATTAAAATAAGGTTTAAAGCCTGAATTCACAGGCGGCGCGCTATGCAATTTTTTTTTTTTAGCGAGGAATACCTTTTTTTTAAAAAAAAAAAATTAAAAAAAATGCTACATTTCGTAGTTTACGCTATAATAGTGGACTCTTTTTGCTTCAATATCTTTTCTTAGATCTATTAATTTAATTTCTTTCTTTCTTTAGTTTTAGTTAAAAATATTACGTGGTTAAATTATAAAACGGTTATTTCAAGTCGCTGGTTGACTAGGGTGGCCGCTTGACCAGGGAACCCTTCTACCGAGCCCCGCTAAACTCCCCCACTTCGGTAAATTTTGAAGGAACCTCTATAAATCATCGAGGATCTGCTTTCACACTGCAGGAGAATCATATAACACATAAATTTGCTTACGGTATAGGCATCAAGCACTCGACTTCAATTTAGAGATACAAATCACAGGATAACGTTGAGTTAGACCGCCTTCTCTTGCCGGTTGGAGAGTCAGAAGCCTGCTGGGTCTTACCCTTCGACGGAGCATTGCATAACTACCCTATCCAGGAATAAAAGACATCATAGCCATCCCCGCAATCGTTGCACTGAATGAACCACTCGCTACTGCAATCTTGGACCCAAATACAAAATCGTTCTTGTCATCCGTTAGGACAGGTTGGACTTGACTAACATTCCCAAACCCAGATACCGTGAATTGAACACTACTCGATCCTGAATTGATGACCTGAAGCGACAGCGTACCATCGGTATTCTTGAAGGCGCTGACGCCGAGACCTCCCGCAGAAGGTGATTTGATTCTCAAAGCTCCTGGACGCGCGAATCGTGCAAAGTGCGCGAAAGCCCAGAGTCTCTTCGATGCTGAGACGGATGTAGAGGTCCATTGAACAAGCATCGCGCTTGAGCTGGAGGCAGCTGGTTCCGCACCGATCCAATACAAGAAAGCACTCAGATTGCTCGTAGTGACACCACTCTGAATGCGCTGAGCCCATGTCAAGCCGCTGGAAGTGCCGCCAGACGAAAATGAGGTTACCCAGGCACTACTGAGGTCGGCCCATTCAGTCTGCCACACAGGCAGATTTGAGAAGGTAAAAGGCGCCCCTGGAGCTCCGGCGTATCCATGAGAAGTCAAGCCACCGAGCTTGTCAATTGCTCCAGCTGACTTGACTTGCTGTAATACAGTCTGGGAGAGGCTCCATCCTTCAAAGTCGCAGCAGTTGATCAAAACAGAGGTAAATCCGGCAGCGTCCAGGGTGGCCCGCAACGCAGTGATGACTTCTGCTGCCTGGGTGCCGTCGGAACGCATACTGTCGTAAGGGAAGCTCGCATCAGCTTCGTTGAGAAACCCAACGTGAGAAATGGCGACACCAGAGCTCTGGTAGTCTTTCACATATTGGGTGAGGTAGTTCGCGTAGGCTTGGATCCAGTTGCCAGAAGAGCAAGTCTGTCCAGAAACGCCACAGAGATAACCACCGTTGTTAGCGTTGTTGTTCGTTTTCATGTATGCTGGAGCGGACCACGCGTTGGCATATATTGTTTTGACTCCGTACTCATTTTGAGCGGTTTCGCTGAGCCATATCTGTCCGTCGTCGTTTCCATCCCAAGTATATGTTGGCGCATTGGTTGCAGAGCCCGGGCTTTTTGGCTCAATCCCACCGGTCGTGATGACATTGCGTAGTATGGTGAGGCCCGCTCCGGAGGTTTTGTTGAAAAGAATGTCCAGAACTTGTCTTCGAATTGGATCTGCCAGATTTTGGAACTGATTGGAATGCCCAAAAGCCTCTGAGGCCCCAAATCCAATAATCTTTTGGTAGGTTGTGCTGGCATCGAGTGTGATTGTGTTTGCGCGTGGTTGAAGATTTCGAGCCAATACCAATGGCAGCACTACTAAGGTCATCTGGAGGGACTTCATATTTGTTTTAGATTATCGAGGCATCAGTAATTTTGAAGTTGGGCGTGGACAGATCTGTTTGATGCTCAAGTTAACGATAGCCTTCTCTGATTGAAAGACCCCCAGCACCTCACCAACACTTTATACAGGGACACTCTGGTCCTTGGGCTAAATCGAACACACATATAATGGCCATGCCTAATGGTGACGGTGAAAATTCAATGTTTAGCCTTGAGGGTCAACGTGGGTGTTCGGTCCAAAGAATCCCCGAGGATGGTCTTGCTAATTATTCCGAAGGCGATATCCAACCAGAAGCCAGGAAGAATGTACGCACACCGCATTTTGAATGCGGGGACTAGCGGAGTTTCAAGATCTTCCGCGGAGGATTCTTAAGCTTCATTTATTCTGTCGTGCAATGACGAAGCCACGAAACTTAATTGGAGGACTAACCCCCCCGCGTATAAAAGTCCTTGCGCGACTACTTAAAATAATTCTTCGGAAATTTTCAATAAGGATCTCTATGTTCCGCTGGTGATCGAATATTATTGTTACCTTCAATGTTGATGGATGAGAACGGTACAAGTTTACAAACCTAAGGAGAATATACAGCCGTGACTGTACCAAAGAATCAGATAAAGACTTGAGTAGTATCTCTTATTGATGCACAGCCAATAATATACGGACCAGCTCATTCAGCTGCTAATTTTGCGCGGTCATAACGCACCAATGGAATTCGCTTAACCCCTATTCAGCATTGCTCGCTAAAACCCAATGCCTGCAATGACTGAGGTTTGAGTGTCGATCTCACACTGACAGTTTGCGGGAGCGCCGGCACTACACTTTATTCGTCCAGATACCTAGAAAGCTTCGCTCATCCCCGGTATCAGGAGATGGTGACTTCTACGCTACTTCACTACCTTATCCCTTCGGCCGGTGAGGCATTGCTACATTAGCGGCCGCACATAAATATCCCTGATTCAGATTACGTTCTGGCTGAATTAGAGATATTTATGTGCGGCCGCTAATGTGGCAATGCCTCACCGGACGAAGGGATAGGCAGGGACTGTTCTCGAAGACGGCATCGAGAACACCGGGAAGCCTAATTGTGCTCATCTATGTCAGGCATCGCATGGTGTTGCTGTGTGGCTTGGTGTTGGGATACCTACGCTGATTGCCAGTGCCAGCATGTTGTTGTTATATTTGAGGGAAAACCGGGCGAGGAGTAGAGTAAAGCGACATCAGAAATCGTTGAAGAGTCGTGGAGCTCCGTGGATAAACCCTGCAGCAGAAGGTCAAGAGCGAGGAGCCGCCTTGGATGAAAAATACAGCAGAAGCTCAGGCATTGCCAAATGTCCTACACATCGAAATGGAGGAGATACCATGAAGAAAAGGACTTCCCTAGTCAATCTCGAAAAGTGCAGGGCACAATCTGAAAGAACTAGTAGAAGAAAATTGTGGTTGAACATTGTATACCAAACGGCGTGGGACCGTGATGAACGCATCGTCAGTGGCCGTTGTGGCACAGATGTATATCGATATCCCACCTTAACAACAAGGATTCGAGCCTTGAGAGCAGATTAATGAGGTGTAAAAAGTCACAGAGACGACGGTCACAGTGTCTTTTGAGAAACGAGCAGTCTCAACCATTTTAAAAATGAACACTCGGTTTGCAGGTCGGCCAAATGAAGGCACATCTCCATTAGACTGCGAACCAGATGATGGTTTTTCGAAGATTCCGAAGATCATACCAAAATATTGGAATGTGAGGAAGGACTGCGAGTCCAGAGGTTTGAGGAAGGGTGTTCGGATAAGATATGATCTCCAGGTAGTCGAGCCGCAGAGCAACAAAATACGTTGATCGATATAATGAAGTCGTTTTCGTGCTTGGATGAAACATCGGGGTTGCAAGGTTTTGTGGAGGGTCCTAAACGTCAGCAAGGAGTAGGAGGCCTATCAGCTCTACCAAAAGGGGTGTGACACTGGCTACCTGATCTGTCTCGGCATCGAGCACACCGTCACGGACCTCGATATCTTTGTGGCTATAGTTGTCGCGTGATGTGTTAGATATATCCTCATAGATGGCGTGGAAGAATGAAAACCGCATGATATTGGGATTTTGCGCATAAAATTATGACAGAAAGAGAAGGTTCGCCGTCCCTCGCTAGCTATTTTGAGAAGCCACGTCCGACCACCCTTGAGGGCAATGTCGGCCGGTTCAGCCGAAACCCGGCAGGTTTATGGTTGGAGCACCACTGGAATGGATTGGGAGGCGCAGCTTTCTGCTGACAAGGAACAATGCTATCAGCCAGCCACTTCGAACCCAAATTCTTCTCGGGAACAGGCGGGCCGTTCTTGCAATTTCAGCCCATTTTCAGCCCGCTTACGTAATAACTGCCCCGTGGAGTAAGCCGCGCCCAACCTGAAATTGGATTGTTAGCGACTCCATAGAGACGATGTTTTCGAGTTCTTTCAACAATAGATTGCCTTTCATTGGGCATCTTGGACGGATGACCTCGGCCTTCAGCCCTACAACAGAAATAATACCCGGGAAATTGACGACTAATGGATCGCTGAGGTGAGGCTGAGGACTACCAATGTCAGCATTTGGTCCAGATTGGGCGAGTTTGTGAGGAAGGTCGAGTCTCGTTGCATTTCTGTTATCTGTCAACACTTTCCCTCGTTCGATTCTTTATTCAAGCCAGAAGCTCAATACAAAGATTTCAATTGACATTCAAGTCAAGTCACCAAGGGGTCATCTTCCAGAATCTTCCTGTGTGCCATCAGAGTCAAGCATCATGACAAAACCGTGGGCTAACGAGCCATTCGCTCTCATCCCTTCGCCGACAGCTTCGAAGGAGGTGAGCATGCCCCTCCACATCCGCATTCCTAACATATCTCATCTCTAACATCTCCAGGTCTCCAAGGAGACACTCAAAGTTGCGACCGACATGTGCTTCGTACACAACCTCTTCTTCCGCAACCTCAACGCCGTGCACTTGCAATATGAGCAGGTCACCAAGCCCGAAGACATCGCAGATTTCATGGTCTTCTGCCAGTGCATACACGAAGGGATCCACACGCACCATCACCACGAGGAGGAGTTCTTCTTCCCCGAAGTCGAAGTGTACACCGGCCAAGCAGGACTCATGGAAACCAATCTTCAGCAACATCACGCATTTGAGGAAGGCCTGAAGAGGTTTGGCCAGTATGTGTACAGTACCAAACCTCATGAATACAACCCGAAGGATTTCAAGGAGATCCTTGATAGTTTCACGCCCGCATTGGTCAAACATCTGAATGATGAGATCCCGACATTGTTGGCGCTAGAGAAGTATGGAGGAGACAAGTTGCTAAATTTATGGCAAGAGCTCGAGAAGAGGATTTTGGCTGGTGCTATCGATCCGGTATTCTCTTCCTTTATAACTTACAATGGGATTGTACTGATGCAAATAGTATCGTGTGATGCCAGTCGCGCTCGGAAGCTTCGACAAAACGTTTGATAAGAATCAGGTGGCGCCGTTCCCTTGGTAACCAACTTATTTCTTTATTCTATATCCCGAGCTCCTTACCTCGCTGGCCGGGGGATGTTTCCGACTCCCGGCTCGCTCTTGGCTCTCTCCTTCCCAAAGAAGTACGGTGCTAATTCGTTGGTAGGTTCGTGCCGTATTTGTCGTGGCTTTGGTTCTCGAGGAAGCACAAGGGCGCGTGGAGGTTTAGTCCCTGTTCGATCTGGAGTAAACCAAGGGAACTGCAGTTTGCGATGGAGAAGTGAGAATAGAGCAGGCTGGAGTGAGTACTGGGTTGTTGGTTGGCATTTTGGTTCGAAGTACTTTGAGCCAGCGTTTGTCTTTTGCGGAGATACTTCTCCCTAATTTTCTCGGGAAATGGTGATGGCATAAGGTGTATCTTTTGTATACTATTAGCATACTTTTCATAGAATTTGACTTGCTGCAATGTCCGGAATGCGAAGGCTTGCCACACTTTGCGCTCAATGTGCCAAGCGAACAAGAATAAAAAGGAAGGAAGGCTCAAAAGGGTGTTTGCTCCTACCATTCTTTATTGAGAATATGAATTTATATTATCTGGAGCATTCTGCAGAGCTAAGCGGAGGGTGAAGCGCCCCTTTTCCCACCTCGGTTGTGGAGCACCTGAAACAACAATGAGTGAAGTTGGTCGGAAGTGCGCGGCCTCCGATGCACCGCCAAAGCATGCAAATTGACTTGATAGGCTTGGGTCAAGAATATGGTTGCGGACTCTGGCAGATTTTTCAAGATTTGTCGATCGCAGTTGCGGTCATAATCTGGTATAGTTGGAAAACAACTTATTCCTCCTCCCTCGCTTCCACCTCTCAATGGCTTCTCCATTCATGACACCGTGAACGTATGCTTCACCCACAAGCAGTAAATATTGTCATCCTTTTGCAGAATGAAAGGAATGGTGATGCTAAAAAAGATACAACAGAAGATGCCTTCACCACCCATTGCTGCTGGCCCTAGGCCGAAGTACCCCGACACAGTAGGGAAGAATCTCCGTACGTGACAAGCTTGAGCAGCATCAATCATAAATTCTTCCCATAACAAATCTGAAGGGAACGGTGCAAGGCCTGCGTCCTCCATTGCTCCCCCATTGGCTGTCGTCTTGAGCCACTCTTCTTGCTCCTCTTTTGTGTGTATCGCGTTCGAGCGGTTTGAACAGCATGCCGACACTCATCGAAGGATGCTTTGTAAGGATCTAAATATCTGATCAGGCCTGAATTGTGCATGCCTGCGACCAGAATGAAACTCAGAGCCCGGAGAGAGTCCTCATACCACGACGGGATATTTTTCTCGTGGATGGCATTGCACAACAACTCAACAGAATGCATCTCCGGATCTTTTTCATGATAAAATAATGCATTGCAAAGCCTTCTCTTCTCTGCCCAGGACTGGGCACGCCAGTTTAACCTCATTGAGAATAATAAGGCCTCGAACGGATAGCTTCGCTTCTCCGGCTGGAAAAATGCGAGAATTTCATTCGTTGTAGGGGGTGTGAGAAGGTAGCTCATCTTCTTCGAAAATTGATAATTCATTATGCCGCCGTAGGTGCGTCTTTGAACAAACTCGAGGTCTTCAACGGAGGCAAAGGGCAATATCATAAAAGTCAGGGTGCATTCGATCCAAGGGGTGGTTCTTGGTGATCCAACCTATGACGGGAAAACAACGTCCCATTCGAGTTCACCTCTATCACAAATTGGGATGGCTCGTCTCGCAAGGCCAATCGCCCGTAGCGTCCAACGCTTCTTGAACCAAGCTCTTTCGAAGAATTTGTGAAAGGACAGTACGACCAGAGATCAACACCCTCAAACGCGGAAGGATTACGGGCACCTTCTGAGAAGCACTTGGTATGTACTGCCAACTTTTGAATAACGTGAAGACCTCGGAGACTTGAGCGGCGTTTTCATCGTAGCCGAGGTAGATAAGAAGGGCCTTGGGGCCGGACAATCAAAGGATGTGAGAAGCTAGTAAGGAGGGCAAATCACTGGCGATCACGGCGTGGCGAAGCTCCGTTCAGTTTTGAGGAGATTTTGTGTGAAGAAATAAGTTGACGAACTTTGTAGAAATTGCTCAGGAATCTTTCAGAGAGACATTAGAAATCTGGTATTTGAAAAGTTTCTATTCTGTCTTGCACACGTTGTGGGATCAAGACGTCTCTAAATCCCTAGTGTTCGACAAAGTACGTAGTCTAGGCCATAAAAACCGTGGCTGATCGGGACCTCTCGAATATACGGAAGTAGGTCACTTGTACAATGTCCCAGCAGATGGTACGCGATCCTAGTTTACTTTTGAAATTATGCTGATATTCTATTGATGCCAAAGTACCAATAGTGACATATTTCCAAGACTACTCTAATCAATTTTTGTGCTGATTAAGGGTCGTATCAGTGTACGGAAGTTAGACTAAACACGACTAACAACACGTACAGAAATTAATCAAATATTTGCAGAGAGGATCTGAGAAATTTACTGCCTGGCCAATTGAATCAACTTTGACGCCGTACTAGAGAATGAAATTTGCCAGATCCAGGTGGCAGGACCTTCCGTTGGAAGTCTCGTCTTCTAAACTGGTGGTTTTTGTCCGTACACACAAGTACTACGCTGCTGTCAGAGTAAGGTTCCTGTAGTAGGGTCAATATCCAAAGCCAAAGGCACTTACAAGTAGGAATACGCGTGTATACTCTTATCCTTGAAAGCTGCTCTCAGCTGGGCGAAGAATACTTGCGCTTCGAGGAATTCCCACTAGTCGTCGCCAGAATGATTAGCCAGCCACCCATACGATATCAATACAGATATATGATAGGAACGTACGTTCAAAACGCGAGTCAGGAGTGCCATTGCGTAACCTTCCATACCATCCTCGAAATATGCGCGGTACCATATGCCTAGCTCCTTCATTCGAGGGTCGGCTGGCCATCTCCCGATTGGGAGCTTGTACTTCTTCTCGACAACGTTAATGAATCCAACTTCCTCCATAAACTTTTTTGTATGGTACCCCACTCCAAAGTCTTTGCCCAAAATCTGGCTGGCCTGAGCTATCAATAGCCCCCACCTTCCAAAAGGGTTATCTGGCGTGACAGTGCCGTCCTCAGACTGTGGGTCTGGGGTTCCCTCGTGGTGTTCTAGCCAGCCACCTGGCTTAAGAGTCCTTTTGGTAAATTTCAGAGAAGGCTTCTAGGGAATTTAGAATTTTCAATAAGTCTTACTTAAATGCTTCGCGGTATACAGCCGGCCAGTCTGCAAAGCAACCTAGCATGAAACGAAAAAAGACTAGGTCCGCGCTGTTCGGGGTGAAAGTCCATTCACTTGATGCATCGTCAATTTCGAATTTGCAATTGGGTGGAACGAAAGTTGGTTGGGTGGGAGCCAAGTCTGTGCCGATAACCTCCGCTGATTCATATTGGTCTGCCATATCTCTGTATACACCATGTCAGCATGACCTTGACCTTATCTAGAAGGAGCTATAGAAGGAAGGAAAGACAATAAGGGACAGACATTGCCCAAATACCAGTACCAGTACCAATGTCCAGGATTCTCTGACAGAGAGTCAGTAGTGCCTGGTAGCCGGAATATGATACAACCCTACCTGCGGCTTTTCGGGAATTGGTGCAAGATGAAGCTTGTTCCTGAGTAGGAGAAGCAATAAGTGGTGACTAGCGCCCACGATTAAACCCAATCAATCACAATAGGACTCGGAGCTTACCCCAAATCTTGGACGTTAAGCTGCTTCTCATCATTCGGTATCCTTGAATACGATAGCAATTAGATTATTGTCGCGGCTTTCCCATAGAAGCTGATATTAAGAAATAGAGGCCACGGACAAATACGAGCCATCCTTATACCCGTGGTAACGTCTTCCATTTTCGTAACGATACTTTGAGACGCTTGAAGACAATGAAGTCGTGTCGCTGGCGGTGCCACTTATATAATATCAGTAGGGGACAGCCGGAAATGTTGTTACTACTCCGTAGAACTTACTCATTTGGGTCGAAAGTAGAGTTTGCATCTTCGTCTTCATTGCCATGTTCCTGTTTGCGAATGATCAGCTCTAACCGTCAAACCTTGGATCGACGGGAGAAATCTCACGACTTCAATTGTAGCTTCAATTAAGGTCGGGTCGGAGGGACCTTCTGCCGGTGCTGCTGCCATTGCTAATGGGCAATAATGGGACTGGTGATAAGCTACTTGTTGTAGTGAATTCTGGGTAGCAGAGGATATGAATTGGAAAGTGGGACATGGTCGAGATTTGGATGTACTGTACCAGGGTCTCAGGCTGAAGTTTCCATGCAGCACTACGGGCCTCGAGCTGCGGCAGGTGCCGTATTCACCGCCCATTGTGACACGGTTGTCCACCAATAATAAGATATCGATAACACATGCATTGGCGAAGCCGGAGGCGAGGTGGCGTTGGGCGTTGGGCGTGGGGTTTCTGTTTCTTTGCTTCTTGCTCCTAGGGAGCTTAGAGAGTAGAGAAGTATTCCTGCTGCCACAAGGTAAGAAGGCAGAGAGAAAAAGGTGTAATGTAGGTGAAATCCATTGAACGAGCCCTGTGCGAGTGCGCATCCTCCTATGTATTGGTCGGAGGCGAGGGGGTGATGTTGCGATTAAAGGTGCGGTGCTTCCACCATCTTGGTGGGGTTACTCCGAGCGAGGGACCGACCGACGTTTCTCCACGCGAGTCCCTGATTACGCGAAAGCATATGTGTAACCTTTACGGAAAGCCGTAAGGATCAGAAGACCAAGCGATTTTCGAATCTGGTTTTCGACCTTCAATGTCTGATTTGTGGCACGTGCGCACCCCACCAAAAATCACAAATACCTATACACCACGCCTATATATTATACCCCCTCTCCCTGTGCCTCTATTATTACTTCAAATATTTTTTCTCTTTGATTCTTCTCGCTCTTTTTATAGGTATAAGGGTAAGAGAGGGGAGAAGGGGGAGAGGGGAGAAGGGGGGGAGGGGGGGAGGGCAGGGCAAGGGGACCTTACTAAAAATTTACGTTGCAAAGCACTAAATTTTTAGTACCTATAGCCTATAATTTAGTGATTGTGGCCCTAAAATTTAGCGATAAGTAGCCTATAATTATAGGGCTTCCTTTTCCTCGCGTCGCATGCCTTAAAGCTCGCTTTTCAATTTTCGCTTTTCACTTTTCACTTTTCACTTTTCACTCGCCCTCCATCTCCTCCCCCCCCACCCCCATCCCCATCTACCCCTCTCTCGCCCCTCTCTCGTATATATATAAATAAGAATTAAAAAGAGAGTAATATTTTAAGTAGTAATAATAAGTAGAGGCACAGGAAGAGAGGGCATAATATGTAGGCGATTTTTGGTTGGGTGCGCACGTACCACAAATCAGACATTGAAGGTCGAAAACCAGATTCGAAAATCGCTTGGTCTTCTGATCCTTATGGCTTTCCGTAAACCTTAGGTGTGGTATGTACGTACGAACTACTCGTTCGGCCGGGCTCACCTGGTTCTCGTGTGGTAGGCTTACCAGGTGAGGGAAGGCAATGCGCAAAACCCCGCAAAAATTTGTAGGGGGAAATTTGACACCCCCTACAACCACGGATTTTTGGCTCTAAATTTTAGAGGGTAGAGGTTTTAGTATTAAGAAACTATTTCTACTTCTTAATGAGTTATTGATTACGTGCCGTTGCTCCCAAAATCATGCGCGAATAATTAATTTTTGGTGGGGGTTTATATTTGCGTATTGCTGGGTTTTGCGCATTGCCCTCCCTCACCTGGTAAGCGTGCTAAGCGAGAACCAGGTGAGCCCCGCCGAACGAGTAGGCAATTGTAGTCGTCGTCCCCGCATTGGAAATCCGCTCCGCCAATCCCTAGCCGGGAAGCCTTCAAGAGATAAAAGGTTACAACGAAAAACTGAATCGGGAATGCATTACAACCCATAACTGCTGTGTTAGGAGGTGGTTTTGCCTAGTACTGAAGGGGCCCATTCTCGCCTCCAGAATCCAGTTCGGGACCTTTGATCTCTCTCGTCAGAAATTGGCTGTCTTGAGAGGAGCCCGACTTGGGTAGACCGCCTCCCTACCACCGTATCAAGGACGACGGGCGTCAAGCTGCTAGGGGTCAAGTGAATAAAGGGGAGTAGAGGCGCAAAAGGCTGGGGTATTGAGAACGAAGTGAAGCAAGAGTGGGTGTTGTGATTTAGACTGTGGTCATGTTATCTAGTAATAATCTAGGCATTTCTTATAAATTTTAGAAGGTCAAAAAATTCTTGTAAGGCTCGTTGGTAAGCAAATAGTTTAAGGTTAAAGCGCACGGACTTATTTTGGGAGGCTTATAATATCTTTTTATAAATAAAGCAATATATATAAGTGTGCTTTTAGACAACTATATTACGCGAGGATAAAGGATATTAGTAGCTATCTTCTTAATTAGCATAGGATTACTTTAATAAGTAAGTTATTAAATTAATTAGAAATAAAGAACAAATTAAGAGAAATAAAGCAATAATTATAAAAGCAAATAAAAATGCTTTATTAATAGAATATTAATGAAGCAGATTGCCATGAGCTTTAAAATAAATGCAAATATCGCTAAATAGGGTTTATTTAATGAAATTGATTTGACTAAATAGCTATTTCAAAAAGTGCCCATTAGCGCAAATAAGTCAAAGCAAACAGGGCTTTGAAAAATAGAGATCTAAACCTCATGGTTCTACAGTATTTCATTCAGTGTCAATTGAAATAGATACATATAGCATCGATCCAGAGTTCTTGGTTTTGTCTTCAAGCCGGAATCGGCGAAGGGCGTGCCAAAAATTCACAGTAACCAGTAGAGTAGATTTCTTGAGCTGTGAAATGCTGTCATGGTTGGAACAGGGGGCTGTCTTCTTGCCGCGCGCATCCCCCCAGACATACAAGAGAACCTCGAATGGCCGGATATCTTCGAGATTCACGGGGAGCGGTAAGCAAGATTTAGGGTCCGAACCTTTCCCCGATAGTAGCTCAATCAGCCCGACGGAGGTCAGAGAAGGCAGAGAACAATACTAGTACTTCGAGGAAGGTGTCTCAGCTGAGTCCTCTTTGGAGTAGACCAACTCTGTAGCGCTGAGTTCGAGGTTCTCCGCGTCGATATACGTACCTCCCTCCCCGAGACCATCTCTTTGCTCATGTGACCCGGCCTCGTCCCCAACTAGGCCTTTGGCATGAATGTGGTTGAAGTTCATGGCAAACCTGCGGAGGCTGTACGCTCTAGGGGAAATTTCGTGTTCGAGGAATCAATGAGTATAAAAAGAACACGCATTCTGATAGAGATCTCGAGGCTAAGAAATGCGTCCCGCGTGGCCAGGCAATAAGTCAGGCATCAACCCCTCTGCTCGCACCGTGACTTATGAATTCTTTTCATTTGATTCTTAGAAGATACTCGGAAAATCTGAAATTTTCATCTTAAGGACATTCCACCACGATGTTGAACGGAGTGGCACCACTCCGGTTGTTTTATCACGTGATATTTGCACGTGATAAAGACCTTGACCTAACCGAAGTGAACATATCAACAACTTGCATCTCAACCACTTCTCACTAAAAGAATGTGACAATAGTATCAGAGTGAGCAATTGCTCTTTACAATCTAATTTATCAACGACCTCTCACCTATCAATCCGATGTTATCAGATGATCATGATGCTTCGCTTAACACCCAGGGGCTCGCTTATAAGCGAGGCGTCTGAGGTTCAAGCTCAGACACAAACCTCATACAAACCCCGTCGGACTATATCCAAAATGGCCTCTTTTATCGTTAGATCAGCCCAAAGTGCGACGTTGGCCCGTTCGATGACCCGTTCCGAGGGTTATGGTTCAAGGGTGCCCAATCCTGAGCGCGGCTGAGCACCTGTCATTGTTTCATCTGATACCGGTACATATACCCTCCGCATCTACTCAGATAATGCGGCCCCATTGCTTGGTCTTTCTCGACCTTTTCTGTCTCTTCTCTTCTCTTCTCTCGCCTTTGCGTTCTATCATTCACGAATTGAATCGTTGCTGGTCAACTAACGAACAAATCTTTTAATCACGAACCCACCTCCACTTCATTTGCGCAAGCGACCCTTCGACCCGGAAACACTACCCTTGTCGACCACCATCTCCCTCTCCTCGTTTTACACCCACAAGCAAGATGGGAGCGAATTTGTCCTCAGCCATCATCACACACGTCGACACGTCTTTGGATGTCATCAGTCCGCAAGATGCCTTCAACACAAGGAATATGGCTCTGCTTTGGCTTGGTGCTTTTCAGGGCATTATGATGATATTGGCGACCACACTTCTAGTCGACCGATGGCGCGGACCGCAAGGAACATCGAAAGTAGGCTTCGTGTCGGTGGTGGCGGCGCTCATCTTATCAGCTGCGTGGCCGGTGATCTTTCTGTACATGATAATGGCTGGATAGGTGATTTACACTTGGTGGAGGAAGTTGGGTGGAGTGGAAGGGGTGGTGGTCCGGGAGGGGTGGGCAACATTAAGCATCGACCGTTGGTGAGGGAAACATTGTACGAATTCAAGATCAAATGGAAGGGATGTTGGCGAGATAGATTGCAGGAATGACAGGGACTCGCACTTCAGCATAATCGTTGTGCCACAAAGTCCACATCTGTTCCGACGAATTCTCTCTAACGGACGAATATCTCCGACTCATAATGTCATTGTACAAGTGTGCATTTACCAAATTGCTGAAGGTAGCCAACGACTTTGAGTTCGGAAGAAAGGGAAGGTATATAACAATCAGCTTGCGCACGGTAACCGAAGCCCCGCACAAGAACACCCCCCCAGGCTGCCCAAAGTGTCACAGAACGAACTTGATGCAATCCGAAAGATTGCGGACATACTTCGACATGTCGCTTGCTACAGACCTATAGAAGGGATTTGCTGAAGGGCACCGCACGTCGGGTGTCAAGCAGGAGGACTTCGTTTCGGAGTGCCGGGTGCATATGTCGAATACGAGCCTTAGTCAGGATGAGGAAAGGAAGCACTACAGCGTCACAGAAGGGACCCCTTTTGATTACAGGTTGACGTATTTTAGTCCTAAGTATCCGTACGTCCGGGTGGCTCTGTTTGAACTCAACGCGTCTTGGGGGCACTCGCAAGATCTATCCCGGATATGGACAGAATGCTGATGAGATCCGAGGCATCGGCGATGTCGAGCACAACGGCGAAGACAAACGTGAAATCGGTCTGGAACTCGAGATCAAGTCGAGCATTCCCAAGAAATCTGTCGGCGAAGATCCTTCAGATGCATTCGACCAATTCTTCGTCTTTGTCTGCGGCGTTGACGACCGTGGCTCTCCCTCGTGGGACGAAATCTCCCTACCATCACTGCCAGTCGATGGTTCATTGCTGAATCTCGATGACTTCGCCGTCTACACAGATGGGCTCGACGCTGGCAAACAGTTAGATTCAAAGGGGATAGTCGGACGACCAGCAGTTAGAGAATGGAGTGTGCTAGGATTCCAAGTCCGCACTGTCCTAGGTGCTGAAACGCTAAGGTTACCACTAACTGGTTTGTCCGGGGCAGTCAAAGGGACATGCATTTCAAGTTGCGCGCAAGCCGGGTAGCCAAAGATTGCCACACGGCAAGCCCGAGATATAATTTACTTGTTTCTTCAATCTCATTTTCTCAAGTCCCTTTCTTTAAATACCAGTACGATTCTCTCCAGTGATTTCAGCAGTTAGGATTAGGAGTCAATTGTTGTTATATTATGGCTATAACTACCGTATATCTGAAAGTAGCAGTTCCTGGGCCCAGACGCAGTAGCACCACGCGAGCTCTAGGCGCTTACATCTCCATCTTACAGCACACTCTGAGAACTGACGGCCGGGTCTCTTGTCCTGTGACAAGAGCATAGCCACTCTTTATACATCCCTATAGCAGTTGCATATTTCAGGGAAAGTCGACAAAGCAAAAACAGATCTGGTCTAAAGTTGATCTGTCTCTTGAATCGGTCTTCCGGTAGAAAATATACTGAAGTAAATAAGAGTGAGCTCGTCCAGGAAGCCAAGTTATTAGGGTTTTTATCTTTGCCCCACCAACGACGGTGCCTGTTAAGCATGCTCGCCACTTCCTGATTATATTCCCTAGATAGGATGTCCACTTTGTTGTCTGAACGGTAATACCCGGCATTCTTGGACTTCACCCAAAACTTGTCAGTTGTGCCGTCGGACATTGGAGTAAAAGTTCGAAATAGGTAGCGAGGTATGGAAATGAATCTTTCCCGAAGCCATGACCTCTCCCCTGTAGAGTTGAACAAGAGATACTCAGTTTCAAATTCGAAGAAATCTGAGCAGCCATGAAGCTAGGAGATTCTCAGCTGATTATACAGTCACATCAGCAAATTGCCTGCGCTTTGCCACACATAACAAGGCATTTTAATTCGCAATTCTGCGTAAGTGGCCTCCTTCATTGGCTTATAATTGTACTTTTCATCGCGAATCTGTGATTATGTAATGGGTGATGGATTAGTTGCATTTTCCGCGGTTCTCACTTACGAGCCTAGTATCGTGATTTCAGGGTATTTCGCTAAGAAACGAAGCCTCGCCTGGTGAGACATTGCCAGTCGCTAGCATGGGGGTCTCCCTCGGCTCGCGAAGATAAAATTATGTACGAAAGGGTACCTCTGCATACAAATTTGTTAGTAAGATACCAAGCGAGATCCCCCATGCTAGCGCCTGGCATGTCTCACAAGGCGAGTGGTTAACTATTCTAACCGCTTCTATATTATATTTAGAGTGAGGTTTAAAGGCCTCCTAAACGCTTTCTAACTTCTTTTTCTCGGGTGCGCTTGAATTAAATGGAGTTTTAATATACGGTTATGGTGAAACTGTGAAGTGAAGTGGGTGACTTTGGTTTTGCAAGGCCTGAAGATATCGCTAAAAACCCGGGGGTTTTGATAACCGAGATCCCTAGTCAATGCACACCCCAAATTTTCAGCCGACCTCGAGCTTAATTAATTAATTATTAAATAACCACATAATCAATCGGCCTAAAATTAAAAATATAAAGCAATTGAACTAGGTGCATTAAGTTGGCTAATTAGGATTTTTCATTTTCTAAGGCATTATAGTAGAATAATCTCCCTTCCCGATCGGGAGGTCTGTACCACCCCCACAGCTTCAGAATCGTCCTCCTCCACTATTCCTGCTTCCTGAGCCCCTAAATTCGATAAAATCGAAGACCCTACCCTCAATATTACTATACGAGAGGGTTTGGCTTTTTTAGTAGCATTTCTAGCTATAGTAGCCGCCTTTCTAGCTACTGCCCTTTCCAAAACCTCTAATTTATGCTTCTCCTTCTTTACTTGATTAGTAATTACTTTTTCCTCCGCCTTCCTAAGCCTCTCTAACTCTTTCTCCTGCTTTTTCAAGGCATCATCTATAGCCTTAGCAATCTTTGCATCCTCCTTTGCCTTTTGCTTATCCAATTTATCTTATTCTGCCTATATAATCCTCGCATCCTCACGTGCCACTGTAGCTAGTACTTTAGCTATTCCAAAGAACTGGGCCTTTCCTAATGGCTCTCCTATTAAATTAAGCTTTTTCCCACGACGTCTCTTTTTCTTTTCAAGCTATAAAGCTTCCTTCAAACTCTCTATATGGTACTCTATAATAGAAGCCTTTATAGCATTCGTCTCGTTCGCTTTAGTAAGCTTGCGAAAAGCAACCTTAGACGGGTTTTTTATATATATTTTTGAGAATTACTATATGCGTTTCGCAGTATAAGAAGTTGAAATTATATTAGGAGAAGCTTCAGGAGAAGTTTGCGGTCTTAGTAGAGTAATAGCTAATAAGATAATTAATAGTTAGTAGGGCCATATACCTGTCTTCTTCCAAGCGGATAAAATATTCGATTCAGATATATTTTTGTCCTAAGCAGGCTTGAAAATAGACCAAAATATCCTTTTTATTAAGCAAGTAATACCCTCGCTAGTATTCAAAACCCTATTAATCTCGGTAGAATAGTAAGTAGAAAGTAGTAAAAAACAGCCCATATCCAAAGATTAAAGACGGTATATTAAATACGGGAGTAAAATAAGAAGCAGAATTTTAAGCTAATCACATGTCCGAATAAACTCCATATTAACGTAGCTAGAGTACCTATCTACGATTAAAAGCCTCCTTCTACGCCCTGCTTTCGTACGGGTAGCAGGATTAAAAACTTGGGTAAGATATACCAGGCCCAGGATATTAGATAACTATCTATTTGTACTAGACGTAAACCAAGCATATTCGCTCTCTTTTAAATCGTCTAACCAAGTATCCTAAAGGTCCCCAGAAGTTCCTTTATAAATAAGAGCCGGTGGAATCTTTGTATTATCCGTACAGATAGAAGCAAGTAAGCTAATAAACTCTCGCGAGCCATCCTGCTTTGCTTTAGTAATTTTCCTATTATTATATACTTCTTTTATTATTATACGCTTTATTATACGTATAATTCTAATTAAAAAACCCTTCTCGTCCTAATTATATATGTTTTCTGCCATAATATTATAATCTTCGATTGCTTTAATTAACTAAGTAGAGGGGGGGGAATATTAGCTATTTTATCCACAAAGTAAGCAAAATATGAGGAAAATACTAAAATTCAACGCTACTAAATTAAAGAAGAACTAGATATGGGGCCCATATTCCGATTTTATCCGCAAATTATTAATATTATATAAATAAAGGCTCTTCAGGCGAGATAAGTACCGGTAAACAAAACCAGCTATCTAATTCTTGCTTATATTACGGCCAATAATCTCCTCTATAAGGTTTCTAATAATCTGCAAGGTAGGAGGAAGTCTATGGACTATAAGCTTATTAATTTGACTAATTAAAGCCTCTTCTTGCGTATCGGTAAGGAATTTATAGTAGAGGGAGGTTGCTTCTTGTCTGGAGGTATATATGCCTTTATGCCTTCGCATAAGGGTTATATGCTCAATACCAAATCCCTGGCCACTTGACTATAATTAGGGATTAATTACCTATCTAGCGCATTAATCGCTTTCTCAATATCTTGTTCGCTGACCATTTTATCGAATTTTGAAGATGGAGGGGTAATATTTTGTAAAATATGCATTCGCTTGGGGTGTGCATTGACTAGGGATCTCGGTTACTGGGTTCGTTACCTCAGGGGTTGTATAACGACACATGTTCCTAGGGATCTCATCCAGGAGGAGATGCACTAATATTCATGAAATCATATGCAAGCAATTTATAACTTATGATATATGGTATCTGCGCAGATTATCTGGCACCTTTCTCGCAATGTTGTATTGGAAGTATCATTTTCTGAAGTTTCTTCACGTGACTTAAGCCACAATTTGCGAGCGAAAATTGCCCCACCCCCTCGAGTCCGATGTTAATTCGACTCGAAATATTTCGCAGAGTTTCTTGGGGCGCATTTTTCATTTATTCCAAAGACAGCATTAAGAGAAGATAAAATAGTTGATAAAAAGCGCAAAATTTACTGTCTGGATCCAGTCACAGACATCTAACTACTCCGGGCTCAACCCTACAGAGGCTTCATCAACGCAACACATCATCATTTCCCAGACTTCTCATATCAATTACGAAACTCAAATGACTAAAGAATTCTGGCACTCCAGAACCAACTGGACGAATTCGGAAAGAACCAAAGCTTCCTCGATGCCCGCTTCGCTGCCCTCGCTTTTCCCGCGTTTGTCTCCACTTAAGTCTCTACCCGGAACCCGAGCTGGAACCTCCTCCCTGCTGCTGTGAGCCCTAGGTTGAGTTAGCCACATCTCTGTCTAGTGTTCACAGCGGAGAGTATGAGCGTACCGAGCCGGTTGAACCAACTGATGGAGCGTCCCCTTGGGTAGTCGAGAACGACTGCCGACGGACCTGTCCCGAACCAACCGGTGCAGGGTTGTTTTGATAGGTGTGCGTCGTATCACCGACCCTACATGTGACCGTCAGTTACGAGAACCTTTTAACTCCCCGAAAATGGTCAGGTTCACGAACTTGACTGTCGCCGTGTTGGTGCTCAGGTCGAGCGTGATATTGCTCTTGCTTGGTTCACTCATCGTGCAAGTGTGGCCTCCTTTACCATGGCAACAGGAGAAGGGGAAGGGGGCTCGTATTATATGTTTGCAGCAGGGTGCTTACCGACAACGAAGGCATCACCGCGCCAGCACACCCTGCTTCTTCATCTGAGCGTGCCTATTACTAGTGATGGAATAAACCGTGGTGAGTGTCCCCGCCCTCCTGAACGACGCCACGGTGTCACAACCGGCATCCTTCTCGTCACCGACGTTCGTTCCATGGTCAGTAGCTGAGAAGGCAAGCGGTCTGCTGATGAGTCGGCCAACCTCACCGATCTTCTCCTGAGCACTTCGGTGGTTTCGTTGATCACCGAAAATGGATCCTGCAAGGAACTCCTGAGCCGATCATGAGGGCGCTTTATTCGTTTTGAGGTTATTTTTTTTAGAGCTGGGCAGGGATGAGTTCCATTGAATGGGATGCGGTTTAGGATCACGAGGTGTTACATTGAATTTAACGTTGGGGAAGAAGCATGCTCAATTTTTCACGACCTAAGACAATGGATGTTTACAACTTTGGAGTTTGTGACATTTTTATAGGTTTTTGAAATTGCTTGAACCACTTCTCTGCACTTAAGAGATACACTAGATACGCCATAGAGAACACAGAAGAAAACTATTTGAACCCCTTTTCTATAACTTATGCAATACATTAAACACGTCAAGAACCACATAGAACATGGAGTCCACAGGGAGCAGGTTACTCCTCAGACTGTGGAACGTTGTGGGACCTTGGAGCTTTTGGGAGATTTCCTGTCGCCTTTTGGCGCCTTCTCTGCAACGAGCTTCCTGTAAATTGAGTCGTCGACATTCGAGTCAACAAGTATTGCCTCGCCTGAACTAACGGTTAGTGATAATGCAATGGTTGAACTGCATTCAGACGGAGACCTCTAAATTCCCAACTTACAATATTTCCGCTCCCGAGGGCACAACCTCGAAAAGGAGTCGATGAGGTCTTTATTATAATGAAGACCCTCGCTATACTGGACCACGGTCCCTTCCGAGAACAAGGCTGTGCCACGGCACCAAACATCATAAAGACGGGTGAAAAGAGCGTACATGTAATGGCACCGTCTAATTCGGTCTTCTACCTCATCTAAGGGAGACGTAAGTAAGTGAAATTTCATGAAATGAACGAAAGGCAAGGTACCTGAGGCAAAGCAACGATATCTCTGAAGGCGTTGTCGATACTCTAAACCTAGGCGCCGCAAGCATGCGCTCACCGCCAAGAAATTGCTTTTCGTTTTCAATTCCTTATCCTTCAGAAGGTTGTCGATCTCCTTTCCGAGTTCCAGTTGAGTCTTCTCGATCGCTTGGGCTGCATGGATGTAGAGTTGCGTCCGAGCAGTCATTGGAAGTTGAAAGTATGCCTTGCATTCATTGAACTCGTCGATTCCAAACCGCGGGAATGTCGGTTGCTGCTTTGTAATCACTTCCACGATTTTGTTATGATCGATGGGACGACGGCTGTCCAAATTCTTCCCGAGGCTAACGATTCGCATAGTGGCATTGACAATACTATACTATAGAATGGTCAGCATTTTTCATATCCGTTCATCAGAGATATTTACGCAGGGCAGTCGTGGGGTGACTTCGAGGTACTCCAGGAGGGCTAGATCATATAAGGCTTCCAGATTCGAGGGCCATTTGAGAGCCAGGTCTCGAATATCTTGACGACCCCAGTCATCCAAATCGTCGATTTCCGGCAGACAGTCTGGAACAATGGCATATGAGTTCTCTTCAGCGCCATCTCTTGGAGTTACCATACTGGCAGTGAGGCATGGAAGTTGCGTCGTGATCCAATGCTGCTTCTGCGTGGTTGTCGTGGTTTGGATCTTGACGAGAAGCACGCTTGATTCATCAATGTCGATGCTGATCTCATTTCCATATTCCCGAAGGCCGGCCCCGAGAAATAAATAGCGCATTTCGCCGTGCATTGACTCAATCTTACTCTTAATGCTATTGCCGCGCTGTTCAACGCCGTAGAAGTCTAGTCAAGCGATTCAAGTTAGTAACAAAGAGCTAGAAGTTAGAAAAACTCACCTGAGGTCACCAAAAACACTAGTTCAAAATTTAGTCGATAGCAAATCACAGGGGCCAAGTGTGTTTGACCCTTTATAATCATTCGGCATCTCTCGCAAAGCAGAAAGGCAGTCTCGCACTGAAAGAGCTCAGTTAGGGTGGAGTTCGCTTCCAGGTAACTGTAGTGGCCGACTTACCACCTTCTTCATGTGCTGGCAATCCACACAGGCATGAATTAATCGTACTTTGCGATAATTTTCTTTTCCACCTTCGGGGAGCGTTCTGGTTGATTTCTTTTTCTGAACGCCGTTGGTGGTCACGCTGGATGTTCTGTTGGAGCGTTGTGTAGGGGAGGAACGGGTTTTGAAAGGCTTCGTTGCAATTGGCCTCATGTCTTCATTGCCTCGAAGACGGTGGCATTGGGTGCTGCCGTGCGTTGGTATAATTTTGTTCGTGCCGAGCACGTTAATTTCGGCCGATGAGGAACTTTCGTGGTAAATCAGCTCCGTGTTTTCTGGTGAAGACGTTCGAGCAAGGCCGAATCCAAACCGACTAGGCAATGGGAGGTCTTCATATGCTGCAACATTCATAGTCGAGGTCTGCGGGTTTGTGAATAAGGGTTGAGATGTGTGTTGTTGCATCTGAGTGTTTCCTTGAGGCCAGTGTTGCCCGCTGAAGTCCTCGGTGGGCAATGCTCCGGCACGCGCAGGCCAGTCACAAACTTCACGGCTGTCTTGAGACTCTGGAATGCTAAGAGGATCGGTGGTGCTGGGTTTCTTGCACTGAACTGGATGAGGGCCGATAGACTCCCACGGGAAGCCAAGTTCGCGACCCTGGACTACGGAAAACAGATGGTCCGGAGTCCAGAATGCCCCAGGAGCTTCGAAGGACTGTCTATTTGGGCATCCGGATGCTGTCGAGCTTGATAAGCCAGTGAAGCCATCCTGGTGACGGTTCGAAAGCTGGACCCATGAGCACTCAGCCGAATTCTGACGAATTGCTGGATCAGATCCTGCCATGGTAGTATCATCAAGCTGTGACATGGCAGCGGCTAGTTGTGCTCTGTCGGTGACAATCACATAGTCTCTCGAGGTGACTGAGGAATCTGTCATGGATCGGTCGATTTGGGGAATCGTCTCCTTAGAGGACGTTCCTTGGATGGAATTATTTGAATCGATATCCATCTCCCAAGAATCGGACATATTGGTGGGCGCATTGCTTGCCGCCATACGAGAAGGTGTACTTTCGTTGCCATGTGAGGCGTATGAGGCACCTTTGTGTAGACTTTCGGTATCAGAGGAACCTGGCGGGCTAACATCAAAAGTGCTTGCCAGGATCCCACCGTTGTCCAGTAGAACGTAACCGGTGCTGTCAAAGGCGTACCGACCATCAGTAGCGAAATTCTCAAGCGTGCCATCGTGGAGAATAGAAGGTGCGCCGTCGCCAGGGAGTTGTGGCATCGTGATTCACGAGATAGACTACAGAACAAGTTAGCATCAGTTCTATGCTGGTCCAGAAGTTTACACCCAGGTAGAAATCCCTGAGAACTGTGGATCCCGACAAGGTACGGTAACTCACGAGGATGCAAATCCCTGATTGCCGATTTGAAGATAGATGCTGGAACTGAGTTCGGGTTTGGGTTCGAGGAGTAATAATGTTAACCAGCAAGCTTGGTTCCAATTTGTGATTCGATGTTGGCGACTTGTTACCCACCACTGACACTTCTCCTCCCGCGGTGGACATCAATATATATATACTCTTCACATCCCAACGCAAAAGAGGGCAATCAAATTACAAGTCCGTTGCAGTACAGTTTCCTCACCGCCTGCTCGTCTCCTGCCGCCTCTTGGCGTGAATCGAGACGTTATTCTTGATACACATAGAGACACCGAAAATAAGGAAGAGTGGGTCCCTAAGCATAAGTCGAGGTGTTTGCCAGCACAGCAGCGCGTTTATTGCAAGCTGCGTTTGACATCCCATTTTCCCAACCTCTGGTTGGATGAGCGGTGAATTAGGATATCGTTTGTCAGGGGTAGATTCTGCAGAAGAACTGTACCTCGTTGGATGGAGAAGGAAAGCTATGCGGAAATCCTAGACGACGGCGAGATCTCGCTCCATGGCGACTCGACACCATCACAGATATCCAGTAATCCGTCCCAGGGTCGGTCCCTGCTGCAGGGCCGTGCCAAGAAAGAGCACCATGTCGAGAAGTCTTGGCATTGAAATTGTTGAGTTTAGACGGCAAACTATACATCACATGGTTTGGGGTGTTGCAGCACGGAATGAAGCGAAGAAGGACAGTGAGGGGCTGGGATTCAAAGCTTGCTCGTGTTGGCGGGCCAGCCATCTTTGGGCAAAACGCGGGATAATGATGGGAACTAAGAAGCCGCTAGAGGAGAGGTGTGGGGGTTTGGAGTACGGGAAGTCAGGCTTACGTATGGGCTACTGCAGGGAGAGAAGGGAGAGTTCAGCCCTAACAAGCGGGGCGTTGATGAGACAGTGCGGCAATTGCGTTTCTAGCAGGGAATTGGCTTCTTGGAGCTCTTCAGTGACTCAGTGAGAGAAGAATATGTGCGGAACGGTTGCCATTCGCGGCAGGGCCGGGGGTTGGGGTTGGAACATCACAAGGCTGCGAGGCTGCAAAGCTATAGTACATATTGTTTGTAACGCCAACACATCAAGAGAGTAAAGTAAGCAAGCCCTCAGGCCTTGCACACTCATCTACGGCGGAACAGCCAATTCTCTGAAGTGCGCACGGCCGCTTTATGCCAAGTGGAGACTGCCAGATGCCACCGATGTTCAGCACATTGAACATAGCATTCTAGGGTGAAGGGATGAAACCAATAAAGGGCAGACGGTACAGTATGACGAGCATTTTTGGGGAACCACAATAAGGCGTAAGACGAAAAGTGGAGATTATGGACTCGCCGCGGTGGTGTTCAAAGTTTGACTAGAACGGGACAAATTGAACTTCGCGTTATCACACACATTCCCCAGAATCGTACCTGACACTATTTTGCCGAACCGTTTCGGGAAAACTCACGGCGGCGGCACGTACCTTGTATGCACGCGTGAGTCTCCTTAGTGGAGTGGTGGGATCCGTCACCGCGCCCCAATGATACCCGCATATGGGAGAGCGGCAGAGCGGCAGAGCGCGGTGAGAGGGCGGGATTGCGTGCGTGCCAATTTGGACGTTTCAAGTGTAGTAACTAAATAGTTGGTCAGTTCCGCAACTTCCGTTTTCGGAAAAGCCCCGTGTAACGATCGAAAATACCGTGCATTCTCTGTGCAGCAAGCTCAGCAGGGCAGGGTGTGCACGGTGTTTATGGCACTTTTTCAGCTGAGTTGCTACTGTGGGCTTCGTTTTTATCCAAAGCCTCCCTGTGCGTTTCGGTCGAGTGCGATGGTACACGTCGCTGAGGCAAGCGAAGGAACCGCGATTTCTAACGGTAAGAAGAGAAGCCCACACTCCTAGTGCTCTTTCTGTAGTGATCCATTGCAGTCCGGAGTGCCTTAGTCTTTCCGTTCCCCACATGAACGAGGAAACCACAATAAGGTTATCCCTGCCTGGGGGGCTACCAGATGCCGGCACGTGCCCGGTGGACCGTTGCTGGTGTCACGGACAATACGAAAGCGCGCGGCGTTGAAATCCGTCCAACTCGATAAGCGAGGACCGGCGTAATTTTAATGCTCGCATTACAAAAATTCTCATAATTCCGCATTATATTCTATTATTATAAAAATTTCGCCAAAGTTAGATCTGCTTCTTTTCTATTACATAAAGCACCTTTGAAGAGTTTCGGGCATTCCATTGAGATTTGGTGTGTTTTTCTGAACGTAGCGATTTTGGTGTTCCTCGCATTTTGGCAAATGGACGGTTTTCAACGCCGCGCGCTTTTGTATCGGCGATCACCAATACTCCGTAAGCGACCGATCATCGACGTCCCGCGGTATCAGATGGTGCTAGTTAGGGATGCGGGAAAATAAAAAACATGGCTGTTTTATATTTTTCTCGTAATAAAAAGCCTGTTTTTCATAATTTCCGATAGTTTTTTATTTTGTATAGCAATCACGTGTATATAATTAATTGGGAAGAAGATAATGAAAACACCAAATTAAGCTAGCAAGTCACGCTCTACTATTGCGTGAAAATATAAAATTCCTGTTTTATATATAGCTAATAAAATATAATACAAACCTGTTTTTTATATAAAAAACCCCCTTTTTTACGCATCCCTGTGCTGGTGGTGGATGGAACTTGGATGAAGGATGCAGCGTATCCTTGGCGCTTCTGGGCTTGCAAAGCGGCTCATGCAACCTTTCGAGGCGAGGAGATGCGGGTCTTCACCGCGTGAGACTGCTTCGTTTTGTATCGCCCAGTGCTGTCCTGGCCACACTCTCCCCCTCCTTCGATTTCGAGTCGGCCCGTCGGTGATGGTCATTGGCAACACGTATCGCACGGCCCAGCGAGGCATGGGTTTGGATGCTGGCCAGACCGTCCCCAAATCAAAAGACTGCAATCTTTTCCCACGACACGGAAGATTCCATTCGGGGTTTTCTAAAAAAAATCCTTCACGCTTCGATGCGGATGAAGGGGGTTTCGCCCCAAATCTGCAATCGTCATCCCAGAAGATTAATGGTGTTCACGGCTTTGCACAGTGGGTGGCTCTTCGGTGAGTCTTTCCCAAAGTTGGATGACGCCAGAGGCGCATGTTTGGAGGCCAAAACTCGGAGGAAAAACAGTCCGTCGGCGAGCGCAGTGTGGACATGAAATCTTCACATCTGCTTCTACCAAGTCGTGATTTTGGCGACTTTGATTCGTTGATCAGAAGTGTTGCTTTTTGGAAGAAGGGGGCTGCCCAGCACTAGGTCATCACGGAAAGAGCCTCAAATCACGAGGTGTTCTGATCAGGAGCCTAAGATATCAAGCAAGACTGCTGAGAATTACCATTAAGTGTCTCTACGGTTGATGGGAATTCGCAGATTATTTGATTAACATCTCTCTTTTGTCTCGAAGCTCGTATAAGTAGATGATATCGAAAATGGAAACATTAATTAGAAATTCCATAATATTTAACTACATTCTATAGTTTTCTCCTCGAGATACGAAGGCCGCGGTCAAAGGTCTGGGTAATACAGGGGATTGGCGCTTTTGGCCCCAAAAGAATAGGGAGTAATCGCTAAAACTATAGGGCTTTATAGGCAACACTAGCGAATTTTACGCCGTGGTGTAGTCCGTGTGGATAAGCGAGGTTAAGTTTTTGAGACTTTATAGGCTCTCAGACTACAATCATAGGGACTTCTAGCGCTGAAGCAAGAATTTTACAGGGCATTATAGCGCCTAACCACTACGGAGCTTCAGCCTATAAGTATTACAACGCCACTTGCAGGGATCTCAACTTTACCGCCTTATGTTACAACCACAACACACTACTAAAGCACAAAAAACAGACGTGGATATAGGCCTCCTCCTAGGAATTATTTTAGTGTTTAAATAGAGGCTTTCGATAGTATATAGGGAAATTTATGAGTGTTGAATCGCGTGTGGTGTTCAGGCCCTTGTAGCGCGTCGACATACTTATGGGCTGTCCCTCCGTATGTTACCCTGACTTCTAACCGTGGCCTTCGTACCTACCTAGGTTCGGGTAATTGATACAAGTTTACGAATTTAGTCGTGTTTCCAAGCCAAACTCTTTAGTGGTTGCTAGGCTCCTGGGCTGCGTTTTTGAATTTAGAACTACCTAAATTATTGGGATCACTTAATGGTTTTTGGATCTTGTGGGTTTGTAATTGAGAATAATCAAAGGTAAGGAAGTTTTTCATTAGGCAAGTTTTAAGAAGCATTCGCGTTTTGAAATTTATTTTGTAAAATCCCTTAACACCGGCTTTGGCCAGTACGCTCGTTACGTCGCTGCCCACTTACTGCCGCACTACAGGCTCTATGCGCTGTACCGAGGTCAGAAAAGCGCCTGCAAAGCCTGAGTAGGGAGGTTGTACGCCAGAAATATCGCCAAATTTGTTATTACACCCCACGAGACATTCAGGAGCCGACTCCCTGGGAGCATTGTTACCCACACAAACCTCCAATTATAGTAGAGTTAAAGCGCCTACACCTTGAAGTAGCATTGGCAATTGCAATGCTTTTACTTCACACGTCAGATCAACTGTGCCCTCAATTGCTGTGATACAGGTTAATGCTGGTTCAATATAGAAAATCACGATTGAGTGGAGACCTACTTCTAGATGATTTGTACTGTCCAGCGGACTTTTGCGCCCATCAATCGAGAATGCATCCGCAGCAATTTGCCTCTTGAGATCTTGAATTGCTGCCACTTTCTGGCGGAACCGTCAGCATGGCTCTCATCAAAATCCACGGGAAAACATCTCTTAGTGGTTCAATTCATACTTCTTCGAAAGACCCTCTGATTCGATATCGGATTGTTTTGACTTCTTTCGCTTGGCCCAGTCGGTGGATCCGGCACAGTGCTTGTTCTTCCAACATAGGATTCCACTGTGGCTCTAAAAGATAGGCGACAGAAGCCGCGGTGAGATCAAGTCTTGGTCAAGTTTCAGCAAATCTTCTGGAAGGAAGGTGAAAAGACCGGATGCGAAGAGGACGGTGACCTACCCAGCGCCTCCACAAGTGATAGAGACAAGTATGACTTGAACTTTTTCATCGGTCTGAAACTTTTCAATCGCTTCCTCTCGTCTCTCACCTGAGTGTTTGCCGTCTATACGTGTGTAAGATATATCGGATTGTCGGAGCAACGACTCGATAATGTCAAGAGTAGTTGTCCAATAGGAGAACACAACACTGAGCAGCACATTAGTATTCGTAATTTCAAAAGAAATACAGTCATACCTCTTCTCTCCTAGATAGCAAGTTTGTAGGCTCTTCAGAAGGGTTTTGAGTTTCGTAGAGACCCGTTCTGGCTGTATCGAAGGAAGGACCCTTTCTATCCGAGCTTGCCCTTCATTTTCTGACGCCCATGAAACCTCGATACTTTTACAAAAGGAGTCGTGTGGGCATCTGTGTGCAAGCTCACCACCGATAGAATGCTTGACACACGATCCACAAGTCAATATAAGGCACTTGGAGAGGATCGGTTTGGGAAACTCGGAAGAGGACCCTCCTCCGCCCCCATCTGTAATTGAATTTCCACACATCGAGCAGATGGCCTCATCGTGACAGACAATGGTCTCGAAGGCTCTATTGGCCGTAGATTTGTTCCAATTCTGAATATCTTGGGGGGTGATACTAAGAGGCTTGTTGACATTTATCTTCGCGTGTGCGAGGCCGTGGTTGCAGAGGAGTCGCAATTCGTTAAGCCATTGCAAAGCATTCAGGTATTGGCCTGGCCGTACTGGAGTTGATCCCACAGCTTCGTTGAGCTTCCTCAAAACCCCTTCTTTCACCGTGTTATAAAACTCGTGTTCTTCTGCGCTGAAGTCAAGATGATGAATTAAATCTTCTCGTTTAGGAAGATCAATTATCGATTTCGTTCGACTCAAAGAGATGCAGTTTACTAATTTCTTCATCGAAGAGATATCTCGATCACCACCAGACTTAAGCCATGGCCTAGCAATATGCTCATCGAAAACTCTGGGGATGGAAAAAGGATATAGCTGGAGGAACTGAAGCAGACTGGCAAAATCAGTCACGCAATTTTGTATAGGTGTGCCAGTGATTGCCCAGCGGTTTGTGGCATGAATTGCGCATGCGGCTCTGGCCATCGATGTTGTTCGATTCCGGATTATGTGAGCTGCGTTAACAATTAGCAGAGGGTTCTCGTGGAAGCTGTTGAGTAGGCTTACCCTCATCTAATACAATCCTATGCCACGAAAACGAGAAAAGTGTATCGTTTTGGTACTCAGGATTGAGATGCCTGCTCTGCTCACTAACAAGAGTCTCGAAAGTGGTGATCACTATATCGTGTCTGGCCAGGTCAAGGGTTCTCTTTTTTGTATTGCCATGGAACTTCATCCAAGTCAACGTGTTAGGTTTAAGATGTCTGAACGATCAGTTCAATTCTTTTACGACCAGAAATGGTGCTGTACCTTTTCAACTGCGTATTCCAAACTTCAAGAACTAAATTTCATTAGCCAATGCTAGTAAATTGATGTAGCCTTTCCGCTCACGAGAATATGGCACCACCACCATTGTTGACTTTAAGCGTTTGAGATAGCCTTCTGATGTAAAAGTAATTGGTTCCCGCGTTTTGCAAGTGTTCGAAGCAATGAGGGAAATCACAGTTAAAGACTTTCCCAACCCCATCTGATCAGCGAGCAGACCACCTGGGCAGGCTGGGGGAGGAGCATTCTGAGAGATCTCTGTGATCATGTTCGTGTATCTGCTAAGGTTAGAGACAACGATAAAACATCTCGGACCAAACTCACGTCATCTGGCCGGTCTCATCGACTTCTTTAACCCAAAAATCTTCCATTGAGTCATTGTATTGCCACCCTTCTTCCCTCCTTGTCATGAAAGTAAGTGCTCTCTTCTGATGACTATATAAGGTCGTTAGATAGTCGAGAGTCTGGCTACTCTGGTTAAGACTTACATATAGAGAGGTGTATTGATGGCATCAGGTGCTTCAGTCAAGAGGAGATGGTCGTCCTCACTTAGCTCCGCGAAAAGATCTTTAGTCCGTATCACCTCTACATCTGATTTTGCTTTGAGATTCATGAGAGAAGAAGTCATAGCTGTCCCTTCTGACCGTGATATGATGTGAGGATTCGAATACTTGTAGTCCCCATCACAATGCAATGGATCCTGAAGATAGACGCCGCATTTCGTCAAATATAACCCTACTGCGTCACAGAGTTGTTGAGGACCATATATAATCGCATTCAACAAGTATTGCAACTCATTAGCTCCAACTTTACGCGCCACTTTCTTGCTTTGGGCAGCTCGGCACTTGATATTTCGACAATAAATTTGGAACTTGATTTCTTCTCCGGAACCGAGATTAACTAGAATCTTGGACATTCGGTCATCCAATTTTCCGAAGTGGCCAGGCTGGCCGGGTTGAACAAGAAGGTTGGGTTCCACAAACAATAGTGCAATATTTGAAGTGTCGGTGGTTAAAATACTTGAATGTGTTGTTGTCAAGGGCACATCGGATATCTGAGAGGATTAGTATGTTTTATTTGGAAAAGAAATCCATTGAAGGTTCACCATGCCAAAGCAGAGCAAGCTTTTGTCCCTTGTGACTGACAGACAGGCGCTTCCTTCCGCAATGTGCACGCCAGGATTTCCCTCTACGACAAGAGAATGGCAAGTTTGCCGAGTTCCGCTCAATAGGGGGTTCTTTTCCCTTGGTAGATCCGAAGGATGGTACAATGGTCCTGTTAAGTCACTATGTCCCTTCGAGTAAGATGTAGTTTCCGAGGTTGGACTTGACCATGTCGCAGGCTCTTTCTGTGAATTGTGGGGTCCGGGATCCCATACTCTCTCCGATAAAAGCTGCTCTCTCTCCTTGAAAGCCTGATCCTTCGAATCTAGCCGTGCGATGGCCGACGCTTGAAATCTTAAACCCGCTGAAGGGAATGAATGGTGATCTAGTCGTCGTCGTTTTTGAGTCGGCTCTTGGAAGTTACGACTCCCGTAGGGAGCCGCAGCTTGAATGTCCATGGCTGAACTGCAGCGGCGAGGTGCCTCCACTTCGATCAGACAGGAGCACTAATCACGAGCAATGCCAAGACGTTCTAGAGATCGCAGAGATTCACAGACACCCGAAAACATTGACGCCTACCCGGTAGACGAAAGGAGTTTGGAGGTGATCCATCGCCGTTTGCGTCTTGAGGAGGCTTTGCGGAGATGTGAAAAGGCCAGGAGCAGCCAACAACTGGGCGGCCCCTCGCCACGTTTGCAAGCTGTCGGCAAGCTCCGCCACGGCCCCAACTGCCTGCTATGGAAGAGACACCAAATCCGTAACCGAAACAAGGCCCTGTACTTTCCCGGGGAAATTTCGACACCGCTCGTTTATCTCGTAGCAGCATGGCTGCGGTGTTAGTGAAACATTCCGAAAGCCTTTCGGTTCACATGCGCTTGAAAGTTGCGGTACCTGTGCTTCGTGGCTGGACGGCGTCAGCCCCACTGAATACTGTACTGTAACCCTATGCCCATGTACTTGTCGCGCAAGAAGGAGGCCATGGGCCAGGCAGGGTATTGGCATTCCTTGGTCGTTTCCAAAGCCGGCCCGCCAGCCCCCGGGCCTTCGACTCTCAGTCCCTTCCCGGCAATAAGCTGTCGACAGCATTCTTTCACGGTAGACCAAAGCAGAAAATCTAGTGAAAATTCACAGATCTGTTGCAGTTCTCATGCATTCGTGCGCAACTACTTGAATTCTTGCCCTCCATAGCTCCGCCACTATGTCTTATCACGTTGCCTCCGCCACGAGATCTTCTTATGGGCTGTGTTCTCAGCGACGATACTGGCCTTCGCAATAAAATTTATGTCCTGTTAACTCCAACAGATAATTCCACACTATTTCGAGGCTCTAAAGTACATAGGGGTTAATATAAGGATTAATCATGGGGGCTCTTCTGCCAGGCCTCAACACCGTTCTCAATGGCGCATGAACACCATTTTTCTGAACTTTTCCATATCCGGAAGGCTCATCCGAAGAAGTATGCACTCCAACTTCCAAGTTACACCTCGTCGCCCAAGTACGTAGCAAGTCACATTCAGGGCTAAAAGGCGTAGATATAGTAGGGATGTTGGATCAGTCTTCGTGTAAAGGTCAAAGGATCAATGCTTCTCCGGCGGGAGACCCCCTCAACACCTTTGTTTCAAAAAGATGAGAAGTGCGAAGACGGAGTATAGATCAATCACTTTTCAAGTGACATCACCCTCAAACTATGCTTTGATAAGGGTTGGTCATTGCGGAGATCGTCTGAAAATTATATCAAGGGAGGTTCAATGAATAGGGTCCCCTCCGAAACTGCTGGCATTGAAGGATCTTGTTGGTACGAACCACCCGCCAAAGCAGGTTCAGGACAGACGGATATCCCGCTCTCATTGCCAGAACTTTAAGTATTCGAAAGCTAAGATTCATCCATTATATTTTTGCTGCAATAGTCAGCACAGTAGATCAAATTAAAAGAAGGGCAGCCCACTGCTGAATATTGTGTCGCGCAAGCAAATCAGAACGATAGAATGCTCGACTACAGCCGGGCCATGAGCACCAGAACTTTGGGGGTTGATGGCTGAGCTTGTGTCGTCTGCTTTTGTCAGCGCTGTTCGATTGTGGAGGCACAGAAGACATACTCGAGGCCTTCATTGCGTGTGAAGACCTGCTTGCGTTAGCCTGATATCGGTTATGTTGCAAGGAGAGGAATACCTTCGGACAAAGATCACAATGATGAACTGGCAACCCTTTTTTGGCCTTGCTCATTCTCTCCTCTCTCGGCTTCGGGGTCTGCCTCATAGGTTTCTGCGGTTCCGGAGTGGAAAACTGCAAGAGTGGACTTGGATCAAGTCGAGGTTGGAGTGGCGGCGGTGGTGCCTGCGGCGCCGAAGGCGCGGTGTCCTCTGGTTCTGGCTCCTTCTCAGGTTCGAAAACAGGAAGTTCTTTCTCCTCTAGTGTGGGATGGTATTTGCGGTTATGCTTATTCAATCCGCTCTTACTTGTGAAACCTCTGGCGAAGAAATCGCATGATGGATCGGCACAGCGGAGGGGTTTGTTGTGGAGTTTCTCGTGGTAGTCGCGCTCTATTGACGACTTAAAGCCTCTAGAGTAGCGGTAACATTCGCGGTAGCGGCAAATGAAGGCGGAGTCGAGGTAAATTTCCTTGAATTTCTCGAGTTCCTCGGCCCCGATGCCCTCCGGCAGGTCCTTAGCAATGTATTCCGTGAGCAACTGGACTATGTCTTGGTAACGCTGACTGATTGCGCTGAAGTGAGTTGGGTCGCGTTTGATTTCATCGCTCTTTAGATCTAGGATACAAGCATGCAATCAGGACAATGTCTCAAAGCACGAAGTTTCCCAACTTACCTTTAATATCTTGATGGCTGTTATTTTCTTGCGATAAGAATTTGTGGAACGTTAAGATATCGATCCCCATTTTCTGAGCCCGCTCTATCGATTTCAATGCCTCCAACTGAGATATGATGCTTTCTGCAGACGTCGTATCGTCCAGCTTTAGGGTCTTCGCGCCCTTGCCTGGTTCGTCTTTCCAGAACTCCCGAAGTTCTTCCAGAGGGTCATCGAGGTCTTCGTCTTCAACTACAATGCCACTTTTGGCATACTGTAAAAGATGTTGGAACCAGAACTCATTTGCGTAATGATGCAGGTTATGAAAGCCTTTGACGACTCTAACCCGCAGGGCGCTCTCGGTATATCCAGGATCGATGAGGCAATGACTCGTGTTCATGTAATTTATACAGGCAAAGGACAGATCGTAGTGACATTGGTAGTATTGTAGGAACGGCCCGCTTTTCTGATCGAGAATATATCTTGGAGAATCGTCTGTTAGACGCATTGAGCGTGGGGGAAATGCATGGGACTCACTGCTTTGCAGAATAATGTACGAATTGAATCGTATTCTGTGGCCCTTCCTCGATAAGCGGTTTACATAAGTCAAAGAATCCGTCAATTAGTTTGACTTTTGTCGTATCGTTTAGTTCCATGCCCTTAGTATGGAATTGTATGCCGTCTCGAATCTCGTGTGTCTTCATAATCCGGAATGAGCAAGCGATCCATCCCAGTATTCTAAGGGCTTTGTCTCTGCTTTGCTCTGTAACACCTTCCACCACGCGCTCAAGGATTCGGCCGTACCTGAGTTGAGTTCAGACAGGTACTAAAATAGTGCTCAGATAGACCCACGCTTGCTCGAGCCCATCGGGCAAATTGTTGACTGTGTTTATCAAGTCCTGTTCACTACCACAATCATCCAGACCCCGCAGAACTAGACGCACCCATAAAAACATGCCTGACACAGAGTTAGCAGAATTGAGAAAATGATTGTCTGGGTACTTCCCATTTGCCCTCTGAACGATAGCACGTTCGATCCAATCAATCAGATATGCGTTGTCTAACGGCCCTTCACGCAGAAGTTCTAGATTAGCATGAACATAGGTTTCAATATCCTTATTGAGAGCATTCTGGTCTCGAAGAGATATTGTAGGCTTGCTACTCAAGCTCTTATTGAATTGTTTCCCTTCTCTGTTGCTAAAGAGTATCTTGCATTGACTCCCAGGTAGCTTCGAAAGTGCAAGCAGATCGGTCAAGATTATTCTTTGGTCAGTCTCGGGATATTCATCCAAACCATCGACAATTATGCGGGTTGAGGGTAGCGTGGCAATGAGCTCCGGTAATAACTTTCGCATTCGAACGATGGATGGAGCTAAACCTTTGTTCGCGTAGTTCTCAAAAATAAATGGGGCAAGCTCAAGATTGGAGCGCAAGAACTGGACAGTGATACTTCTCAGGATTTCTCCAACGAGGTTTTTGCCTGCTGTATAGCTGTGGCATATGTGATAAGCAGTCGTGAAAGCCTCCTCCTCTTGTATGCGCTTGATTATATAGGTACTTAATATCGTTTTTCCTGTCAAGATGAGCGAGCGCCATGCACAGGGTTCCATTAATGAAATGTCGACTAACCTGCTCCTGGAATTCCTTTGACCCAGAGAATTGGCTCGCCATGTACATCATCTTTCCAGCTTTGGAATCGATTGTTTTTAAACACCCACTCGCATGTACCTTCTTGCCGTTTGTCCGCTAACCTCTCCAGTTCGTCATCTTGTTGCTCATCCGCCACTTTGAACCATGAAATACAGTCCTGAAGGTAGTAATCATGAATCCTCTTTTCTTGTTGTACGATCAGCTCTTTAGCCTCAATCCTCCATTGTCGTGCTGCTATAATATCGATTGTAACGGCTTCTTTAATCAGAAGTTCCTTGTGATGGGAAAGTCGCTTGAGAATGCCATTAAATCGAAACTCAAATGACTTCCAGAGAGAGTCGAAGAACAAATGCCATGCTGTCACAAAATCAAACAATGCAGAGACTTAGCGTAACAGATTACTAACCTCTTCTCCGGAAGAACTTATAGGCACGACGATGAAATTCTAGGATATCCTCATATACCATCGCCAGGATGGCTTGGAAATTGGTTTGGTCACCAAATCCGCGTTGCAACCTCTCAAATTGAGGCATCGCTTCTGCAATTTGACCATACGCATCAACTAGCTTATCAAAGACATTGGTGTATTCGTCGGCGAGCTAATAATTAACAGTGGTAATAATAATACCACGCCAGTAGACTTACCTGGAGCATCATCTTGATCGGAGCCTCAATGACATTAGCCAACTGCGTTTTAGTGTGTCAAAGATCACTTACCCAAACCCAAGGTAGATAGGAAGTCCCATTGCAAGCGACTTCGATAACTTTTGAGTACTGTTCAAGGGTCCTTAAAAACGGTTCGACACGTCGCATGTTCCGGAGAGATTTTCGCTTTCTTTGGGACTCTTGTATCTCCTCCACGGCCACCCAGACATCTTCGATAAGTGTTGATTGAAAAGCTGCCGCATCCGGGGAACTTATTGTCTGCTTAAGTTTCTCGATGGCTATCTGAAACACTCGAGCATTCCGGTCGAGAATCAGATCCGAAGGACTCGCTGCTTCGCAAGCCATTGTTTTCAAGTTGAGCGCAGGGTCGAGTATTTTCATCAACAGAGGCTATCAAAGAGGATGCAAGCCCTGCCGAAAGATCAGTGGGAAGTTGCAGTCCAGCCTCTATCAGTCTGCCAGTGCTACTATGCCACAGCCCAAGGCTGAAGGGTCAGGCTCTTAGCCTGTTCAGTCTGCCTTGTTATGAGGACTCAGTGCCGAGACAAAGTTGCAAGTGGTCTTCCACTGGATTGACGATGTGACGCGTCGGCGGGCTCAGTGCTATCTGCGCCGACATACCCTAGTTGGAGGCGGCAGAGCTTTCTCATGATGGTATGCGTGTCAGGACGGCGGATGAGGTGACAGCTTGCAGTTCATGTCACGTGAAGACTCTCGCTAGGGAGATAAGGGCTTATCAAGAGCTAAGAGAACTTTTAAATCGCTAATTATTTTAAAGAATAAGCTTAAGATATTTAACAGTAACTTATTTCTTTACCCAGCTTATTAAGCTTTAAGCTTTAAGTATATTAATAAGTTTAATAAAATTATATTTAGAGAAATATTTTATTAATTCTTTAAAAAATTATTATAGTTTTTATATTATTTAAATGTAAACTTTATTGCTATTTATTAATTTAAAATATAATTAGTTTTGAACTTATTATTATTTTATAATAATGATTATTTTTACTATTAGAATCTTTTAGGAGTCAACTCAATTCGTGACTGTACGAAGAAGGCGCACAGTTTTGAAAATCGTCCATTTCGCTAAGCGAGATCCTCAAAAATCTCCCCCACTTCTTTGAAAGTCGCAATAAAACTCCCTAGAGTTTTAGAATCACTGAAACACAAAGGAAAGATACTTGAGATTCTTCTCTTTTGCCTAGAGCTTAGTTTAAAGTGTTTGGACGGAGTAGCATTGCGATGCGCAATTTTTAAAAGTGTGAGATTTGGTATTCCTCACCCCGCTAAAAATGGACAATCTTCAAAACTGTGCGCCTTCGTATGGCCCCCTGTCCCTCGGCTGCTAGACTCGAGGGTGCTGCACGCAACACAGCCCCAGCCCAGGCTCGGCAATAATACCTGAGGTATCAATACCGGTATCAATACCCCCTGGTACTTAGTATTGGTAGGATCGATCCGTATTAATCCAGGATTGATTCTAAGCGAGAAATTTGCTAAGTACCTTAAACAGTAAATTTATATATAGAGGTACTGTACTTTCCTTTGCGAGAGGGGTCAGATAGCTAATGAGGGGTAAGGAACATCAAAAAAGTGGACTTTTTTAAAGTCCTTAATATAAAAATATCTAAAACTATTAAAGCGATGTTCCTAATTATAACGTTATACTTACTTTTTTAATTAAAGGTAATAAGTATAATAAGAATTATAGTTAAAGGGGTTAGATAGGGGGGTCCGCGATTCTCGCTTGGAATCGATAGGATTGGTACCTTACAATTCTGGTATTAATACGGATCAATACCCGGAATTAGGTACCACTGCCGAGCCTGGAGGGTTTTGCTTAGGAGGTTGGAGGATGTGCGAAGAGATAGACTTGTGAAGGTGTACGGGGTGACATGTACGCGCAATTCTTTTGGTTTGTGAGTGATGTGTATTGGCGTTGCTATATTTGATTACTTTGGGTTGAAATGCTTGCAGAAGACTGTGTATACTGAGCGGAGGTGCTTTCATGTTATATATATACAGCCTCTTAGTCTAAACCAAGCTATATAGAGCAATTATATGGTGAATAAGCTATTCAATATCAGAAGATGTTTTCGATGGTTATAATTTGATCTCTGAATTAGACCCTTTTCCGAACCATGAGGAATCTTCGTTTAAATGACTAAATGATATAATGAAAGGGAAAAATTCAAATCAGTTATTTGTGAATCCGTCTTCATCCAAGATTTTCCAGTCATCATCATTCCCTTCACCTTCGTGAACCACTCTCTGAGCCAATACTCCCATTATCATACCACATCACGAACATAGTACTGTGGTCCACAAGAAGGAGTGCATTTCGCCTCCCTCCCCTTCTGGAAATCGATTCACTTCTCTTCCTCCTTCGCGACCCCCTTTCCCCACCCTACCACACGAATAAAAGCCGACCCACCTTTCCTCCCTACCCTCGCGCGGTCCGAAATAACAACCACAGGAATGGGCTTTACACCTCCCTCTCCACTCTGATCAATTTCAGCATATTCTCGATGTGGATACTCCTTCCCGACAAACAACTTCACAGCGCTTTTCAGCCGTGAAGGCTGCCATTCCGTGACCAGAACACCACTCGCCAATCGACCCTTCACTCGCAATGTTCCCCGCTCACCAAGCCAAAAGCCCTCTCCGACCTGCAACTTCTCCAGATCCCAGCTCCAAGCCCACGTGGCGGAATCCGGGGCGTCTGTTGACCCGATTTTTGCCTTGAGAGGGGATTCTGAAAGTCCGTTGGGTACAAGAGCCGTCAGAAAAGCTGACTTGCCAACCCCACCACACGTAGCTCCGCCATTGTGCTTGAACTCCAAGCACTGGTCTCCGAAAGCCGCCATAGCACAATCGGTAGCGGTGTCTTTCAAAAGTCCAATCCAGTTGTGCTCGGTCGCTACCAGAGTGGCGAGCTCTGGCTTCGGTGTACATGCCGACGATAGGAAAACCGTGAAAGCATTGTTGTCTTTCCGGTCTACCCCGGTCTTGCTTAACATTTTGAGGCAAAGCATAACTGCTTGCTCGAACTGTTCACGGAATTCGGAATTTAATTGCCGCAGTTCTCGAGAATGATCTTTGAGTGTTTCAAAATGTTCGTTCTTGTACTGTTCGGATTTCCAACTGAAGCCGGACAACAACGAGGCCATACAATCCAAACCAAGGAGGTATGCTAAGGAAACTCGCTGGGTGTTATGAGTACACGGAGATACCTCAACTCCGTGTAGGTCTGATAACATTTTTGGGTCTCGGAGGTCAGGCTCCATTGACCAAAGCTCTACTAGAACTTTCTTGAGTGTTTGTCCAGAATTTCGTTTGTACTGCTTCGTTGCAGATGCGTTAACCCCGCTATACCCAACCTGAAGTTGATATTGGCTTCCGTCACTGTAGAGATACGGTCTTGCAGCACCAAGAATACAAAGCCGTCCCATATCTCTCAAATTTTGCCTTGCTTGGCTGATAGAAAGTCGGCATTTGCTGTTGATTTCTAACTCCGCTAGCGTGGGCGCTCCGATGAGGAGTTGTTCTGAACCGTCGAAGGATCTTTGGTCTATGTTTGAAGACAAATCAAGACCGAAACCTTCATCCCACACATCATCAGAAACCCAGTGGCACAGAACTTCCTTTTCTAAGGGAGGATCTCTTTTTGGATCGTGCTTCCAAGGATGAATGGATCCGTTGCCGACAATATAAGCAGCGTGTTTGCTTGGATCTTTCTGGTCTACACCCTTCCATAACGGTCCCCAAATGTCCGCAAACGCAGTCATAGTAGTAGACAGATAGAGCCCTTTATTCACAAATCGGTCATGATGAAAGACCAATACAGGTTTGCCATCGTGGAATCTGTTCAAACATCGTAGAAAGAAACGACTGACGGTTGTGATAGACACGGGAGGTTCGTTTTCCAAAAATGGAAATGGGGGAGATTCGATAAGGATGCCCCGGCTCTCCCAGCGATACTTTTCAGAACGGATGTCGTTCAAATGAGCGCCGGCGTAGATCACTACCCCAACATCTAACATGCAAACATACCGCCAGACCAGCTCTAGTCGTAGTTGATCGGATCCGGGCTGTGCTGCAGAAATCCATGTGAAAGATGGAGACTTTGAGAGCGCATGCTCGAAATTAGAGTTCGTCTTTATGTTATAGTCTTCCTTACCGAAGTTCCCGTTGCGATATTTCAGCACTATGTCCTGCAGCCATGTCTCAAGAGCTTTTAGAATTTCAACAATTTCAGAAACTTCAACTGTCAGAAGCCTTACGACATTCTGCCGATTTTCGTCTGCAATGATTATGCTGAAATGGGGACCGCAAAAACCAGCAAGTTGTAACCGCCGTAGGTTGAGATACGTCCTCGTGATGATATTTCGACATTCGGCGTGTCGGCAGAGAACTTTGGGACACCGGCTACCCTCTCGCAGAGAAGTGAGATCATCATCAAGTAGCGGTTTTAGAAAGTTCATTGATTTCTCAAGGAGGTGGGGAGAAATCTCGGGGTAGGTCACACACGTTGCAAACCTACCATACCCCAATTGAATTGGCGATCCCAATTGTATTGACGTTTCCAAGTCATGGCGTATCCGAGAATTGGCTGCACAGAGTGACGAGTTCAACCATATGTTCTGTTCGAGCTCCGACAAGGAGGTGAAGTACGCTTCGGAATCAAGTAGCCGAGCTCGCAGTGGTTCCAGATAGGTCAAACGATCAGCTGCCCGAGGGTCTTCAACTAATGGAGGAGGTAGAATAACTTCGTCGAGCTGATCACCCAGCAGACTGTTCAAATTTTCCATCACATCGTCCGCGACATTCTCTACCGCTGTCTCAACAGTTTCCGGTGGCGAATTCGTCCGCTTGCTTGCGCGGAATTCGCCAAGTTGAGAGCCTTTAGTCGAGGAAAGTGCTTTACTGTCGGAGTATCTCTCATCTGCTGGTGGAGGCGCGCGTCCGTCGACGTTTTGGCTGTGCTTTCCGCACGCGTATCCGACAAGGACTGTCCGTTCCTGAACAGTGTGGCCTCGTTTCCCGTACTTTTCGCACATGTCTACAGAGTGTTTGTAGTACAAACACCTGCAGACGCTGTATCTTTCCACGATGAGGAAGCACATTGTGACCGAGAATCAAGAATCGAAAAGAGCTTCTTCTGACGTGCAGGGGCTGCCGCCGCGGTTCCCAGACTAATAGGTGGAGTTTGGACTGACAAACTATAAAGTTGAAGGCTTCCGCAGAGTCTTGATTGAGTAGAGATTCTCGCTCTCTTGGTGTCGCAGGAAGTGGATGTCTTGAAATCGCTTGACGAGGTCGATATTGGAAGCGGTGGCCCAGGTTCCGAACAATTTCCAGGTCTGTCAGATGCACCGATCATAGATCACAAGAGTCCACCTCGATATGGAGCAGCAGGAGTGAAGAGAAGACACGGGAGTCTCGTACCCGCAAGCTCAAATTCAGCTCGATTGTTCTTTGAGACAAGCTGAACCTGCCCACGAAGTTGAAGTGCTGAGCGCTCGCAGAGATCGTAAACCAGCGTCGTTCCAGAGTAGTCGTGAAGGGTTAGAGAGATGCTCTTGAAGAATGTTGCAATGGAAAGCCCAACCTTAAACATGTGGTGCGGAAGGCAAGGCATTCTGCGGGGCTGAACACTTGCAGCCGCTCGGTCAGCGCTCCGCCAATAGCAGACACTTCCAATGTTTCCTTTTTCTGAGAGCTTGCTGCGGTCTCTGCTCAAAACAGAGAAGGCTCTCATAACCATGAAATTTGTAAACATTACGCTGCGAATCTCCCAGTGCCAGGTGTGAATGAATGAGTGGCCGAACCTGTCAACTTTGACACGTCAGAAGTGGCCGTTGGGAGGGATTCGGGAACAAGAATCCGAATGAAACTTCGTTTAGAGTCTCCCTACTTAAAGGGTTGTTACAAGTCGCTGTTTGATAGAGATGCTTTTGTGGATGTGTGGTTTGATAGGATCTTAGAATCATGAGCAATTCATTGGGTGAAAGGGGGGTGATCACATGACCAGAGCCTTGAAGATCCTCAGGTAAGATAGGCAGAAGTGAACCAAGTACCAGGTTACTGAATTACCAGGTGAAAGTCACGTTACGTATGAACACAAGAGATTTCTAGAATTACGTTCAATTCCAGAAGAGAAGCCTGGAGCTCGTAGAAGCTTGGGAGCGAGGCTAAATACTCCTTAGCGCCATAATTAAGCGAAATGTATGCCTAAGGCTCAAGCGAATTTCCCCCCTCACAGCCTGACTTAAAGCTCGAACTGTGCTTCAAGTTCCTCAAACAACTACGAAACTATCAACTCAAACAATGACCCCTCAATCTTCGCTACGTTCCGTGGGCTAGTCCTATATCTTTACAATCTCTTCCATGTCTCACGCGCAATCTCCCAGCACGACAACCTCCTCTGAAATCACGACATCGGCTAAAGCAGTCAGACCCCGCCATCGCATCACCGTCTTCCCCACCTCGCGCCGATCTTTCGTCGACAATTCTACCTTCTTCGTGTCTTCTAGACGCACAAATGGCACGCGGCGCGGCGCACTGCCCTGCTCGGGAAGTCTCCTCTTCTGATATGTGGCTGTGGTTGGCGGCCAGGTTCCTGAAGCACGGAGCGGGGCATGAAATGTAAGGTTTTGCGAAGCCTGCAGAAGGTAGGGAGGGAGGGAGGATGGATCCTCCCTTTTCTTATCTCTAGAGTTTTCTGCTTATATTCATAAAGAGACCTTCGTTCTTCTCCAATGCGAAAGGAAAGTTGCTCCTGAGGATCTGCCGAGTGGATGAAGTCATTGCTCTTGAAGATCCTCAACCCAAAGCACACTTCATCACCATCTTCTTCGTTCTTCAATCTTCGGCCATGGCGTCAGCAGATCCAGAGAAAGATATTACAGGAGCTCCAACTCATCCGGAAGCTTCCCGGGAAGCTCAAAATGCAGATGAGATCTCACCCAACCTCCCCTCGATCCACGTCGATGATAATTATGCGCTCTATAAGTCAGGGAGAGAGATCGAGGTCTCCCCAGCCGAACAAAAGCGCGTGCTCAGGAAGATAGATTTCAGAATCATCCCAATATTGTTTGTGACGTATATGTTGCAGTACCTGGACAAGAACTCGATTAATTTCTCAAGTGTGTATGGATTGCAGAAAGGCACGCATTTGAAAGCGCAGGATTATTCGTGGCTTGGTATTTCACCTACCTCCCAACTCTATCTTTCGCGTTATCAAGTTTCTAATGGTGGTGGTGGTGGTGGTGGTGAACAGGTTCCATCTTCTACTTTGGCTACTTGCTCTTCCAGTTCCCCTCCGGATATCTGCTTCAGCGTTTGCCAATCAGCAAATTTCTTTCTCTGGCAACGATTGCGTGGGGCATTATACTCATTACAACGCCGGCATGTGTTTCTTTTGGAGGCATCGCGACAAACAGATTCTTTCTCGGGGCGCTGGAGGCGACGGTAAATCCTGGGTTCGTGTTGTTGATGAGCATGTGGTATACCTCTGCTGAGCAGCCGTTGAGGCTGGAGATCTATTAGTACGTGACTTTCCCTCTGTCATTGCCACCCTGCCTATCACTCTTCTTCTGGATCACCTCGTTTGAACCTCCCCTTTCCTTTCTCTGCAACCAGAATGCTCCAGCCAATTATGGAACTTCGCCCTCTTTGTTCAACTTCCAAGACAAAACTCAATGCTCACCCTCTTCACCAGCTGCACAAACGGCATAGCAACCATGTTCGGCGGCCTAATCGGCTATGCAGTCGGCCACATCACCACGGGCCTTCCGCAATGGATGTACGTCTTCCTGATCTTCGGCGCCCTCTCGATAACCTGGGGCATCATCTCCCTCCTCATCCTCCCCGACCTCCCCTCCACAGCAGCCTTCCTCGCCCCGCACGAACGCATGCTCGCCATCCAGCGCGTAGCCGCGAACCGCCAAGGCGTCAAGAACCACCACTTCCAGGCCTACCAAGCGCTGCAAACGGTCCGCGATCCCAAGACATGGATCCTGTTCGTCATGGCGGTCGGCGCGCAGGTGCCGAACGCCGCGCTCACGTCCTTCACTTCGATCATCGTGGCCAGTTTTGGCTTCGACACGCTCGGGACCCAGTACTTGCAGATCCCTGGCGGTGCGGTGCAGTTCCTTGCACTGCTTGCCGGGGGGTTCGTGTGTACGAGGTGGCCGGACAATACACGTTGCATCGTGATGATTTTTGCGAACAGTGTATGTATTCTCGGGGCTGGGTTGCTTGTTGGACTGTCGGATGAGAATAAATGGGGACGGCTTGTAGCGTTGTGGTTGTGCTATTTCCAGGGTCTGGGGTTTAGCATGAGCTTGACGATGGTGAGTAGTAATGTGGCCGGGTACACGAAGAAACAGTTGACTGGCGCGGTGCTGTTTACGGGGTACTGTGTTGGGAATATTGTGGGCCCGCAGACGTTCATTGCGAAAGAAGCGCGTATGTATCCCATCTCCCTCTTTCTTTTCTTTTCTTCCCCGTTATTTTCTTCTCTTTGACCATGGCATGTTGTTGATGTTGATGAGAAATAGCTCGGTATCACAGTGCGTATATAGCGATGCTTGTCGGGTACAGCGTCAAGTTACTGATGGTTGTGATCCTGTACGTGTACATGAACAGGAGCAACAAGAAGCGGGATGCCGAGCAGGCTGCTCGTGGCGAGCTATCTGAAGAGGAGGAGAAGGAGGCGATTGAACGCGGCATGCTCGATATGACGGAAATCGACAACAAGGGATTCCGATATATTCTATAAAGGGAAGTTCACAATAGATCTAGATCCGTTACAACCTTCAATGCCGAATGTTTGCAATCTTGGTTCGCGTTCTGAGGGTTTGGACTTTGCTCCTTTGGTACGGATGACTAGGTGCTTTGAATGCTGGTTCAAGGAACGAACTTCTATGCTCCAACACCACAGACATACTTTACTTGTCTAATTTCTTTGATGCACAAAAAATATCTCCTTGCTTCATATTCGTAATTCACCTTCTTCTCCTTTTTTTTTCTCTAAGATCATTCATTCAATCATCGGAAGAAAAAGCAACCAACATCTTCAACTCCGGCTCATAGGCCTCACGTAGTAATACCTAGCCAGACCCCCCTCTCTCCCCTCGCTCCCTCTCCCCACGTCTGGAAAGACAAAGACTCAAAAAAAGAACCGGATCCGCGTTTTCTCCTTCTTCTTAATTTGCGACGCATACAAAAAAAGAGGATCGAGAAATGGAGGAAAGTGTTTATTGCCTTGTAAGATTTATCTTTTTGTCTTGTCTTTTGCAGTAATTCTGCATGCTGCATGCACGCGTGTGAGAAATAATAAGGATAGCCGTGGAAATGCGATAGAGTATGATGCAGAGAGTGGGATGAGGCTCTCTCTCGACGTGAGAGGATTGCGGTGCTGGAAGGACTTTGAGGTCGAGCTGATCACGTGCTAGCCCCCTTTCCCTTCCTCGCCTTAAACAAATCGATTTGATTCGAAGAAAAAAAACAGTGCAAGTCTCCGAGGTATAGCAATAGCGACGTAAGTAGCACGAGTTGAAGGTACCCGGAAGCTATCTATGTCTTGATTCCTGATCTGCCTATACAGCGAAAGCCTTGACTCCCGTGAACCGAACTGTTTGTTTGTTTGTTTGTCGCCTTGCCTTGCCTTGCCTTCCACCTCAGTCAGCCTCGTCACTTGCGCAACCTCGAGAGACGCTCGTCATCACCCCGGACCACCTCCCTGAAAAAGCCATCACCCTCCCCTGGGCGTCGCGGAAAACACCCCGATCACACACACGCACACGCACATACAAGCAGGGAGGGGGCGAGGGCATGGGCACCTCGCGAAGGCCCTTACTTACTGTTGAGATCGCGCTCAGCTCAGCCCTCCACTCGCTCCCCCGTGCTTGCTTGCTTGCTTGCTTGCTTCCCCGCGACCTGCGCTTACGCTACGCTACCTTACCTTGCCTATCTTGTCTTGTCCTTTCTTCCCAGGCAGGCAAGCAGGCAAGCAGGCCCCGAATCCCCCAATTTGCAGAACCAGAAATTGAAACGGGGAGACTTGCATCCGCACCCCCCCATACATACACGTTTATTTACGTACTGTATGAATTGGTAATTTTTTCTTCCTTAAGGGGTCTTTCCTCGTTGCAACTACTCAGTTGTGAGATGGATGGCCCTCCCCTCCGAGATGAAGAGGCTTGGAGGCGTGCATGACGTGTTGTATTACGCCGAACGCCCCGATGGGAGGTTTGACGTCAAACATGACAGTGATGATTAGAAGGAAAGGATTTTTGTTGGGAAAGGAGTTGGTGGATATTGGATGGAAAAGCGAAGGATTGCGTCTACTGGCACCACTCACATTTACTGCCCCCTGAAGTCACGCCCAGAAGCGGGGAGCAGGGCGGCGAAAAGCAGATGTCGTTTTGCATGTGCGCTCAGCTGTGGAGGAGGGTTGGGGAGAAAGAGTACCGATCGTTGAGTCTATCGAGAGATATTGTGGCTTTCTCATCATGCAGGGTTGCTGCAGGTCGTCTTCACATCCACAACTTGCGTTGAATACAATTTGCGGTACCCAGATATCATGCACGGCAGACGATATCGGGAAGGGGAAGGATTCGATGATGTGGTGCAGGGCAGAGGCACAGCTGCGTGGCTTGCGGACCTCTTCTCCTGAATGATCATGTGGAAAGTGGCTGGGAAGGAAGAAGAACGGCTCGCAAAATCAAACGCGGTGTGGCTGGTAACATCGGCCCTAACCGTCGTTTCGAGTGGTGAGGCAGGTGTTGGCGGTGGGCGAGGGGAGGTATAATACCTCCACATATAGGGCTGCGTTGCGTCTTATTGGCGCGAGCGATATGTGGGAAGGCGGAGAATGTCATGTGTTTTCTGGTCGCTGCTTTTCGGAATGAAGATGGGACCCGACCAGTCAGAGGGGAGGGAGAGCGAGCTCCGTTTGCTTGGTCCAGAGCAGATCACGGGCAGAGAGAGGAGCGGTGATGCACCACATGTGGGGTTCGAAACCCGGATGTCTCGGCTGCAGTTTCGACGTGGCATTTGCTGAAAAAGAACAGGTACTTTAGATCTGGAGTTTTGAGAGGTGGAAGTTCTGCGTTGAGCTGCGTGCGTAAACTCTGTTTGCTGTCGGGGGCGAGTGATGAGGCGTGATTTGTGGAGGTGTTAAGACTTCTCAGATCGGGTATATGTGAGATGGACGTTAGGGTAGGCTGGGCACGGATGGCGAAGCGGTCTAGACGGGGATGCAAGTGGAGCAGCCTCTCTGCCTCTGCGGCTGCATGGGCAAGGACCAGGACCAAGAGCTGCAGCCTCATCTCCTGCTGTCGAAATCAGGCGGTTTGCATAGAGACCCGTATCCATTATTGTTCCTCCCTGCGGAATATTGGCCTGGGATATGGGTTTTGACTTTTGAGAAGGTTTCGGGGGATTTATTTCGAGAGCACGTCGCGAGCAGACGCAACTGTGGAGACGAAGCCGGCTCCCAAATCTCTGCCAGCATGTTTGGGGCTTGGGGATCCGGAGATTCATTGATCTCGAAACTCGGGGAATTGTAGAAGCGAGGCCGTGATGCTTTGTCGCGGGACGGACGAGGCGTGCGCTTTGGGCACCGCGGAGCGTGGAAGGCTGTTTGTGAAACGTGGTGAGAGTGGGAGTTCTGATATCTGCTGGATCAGGACGAGGAATCAAGCCCGGTGGAGCAATTGAGGTCGCTGCTGCAAGTGGACAGTCAGCGCTAGCACGCTTGCGGTGCCGTTTGATGAGATGATACTGATGCTGAAGAGATTTTCTTGGGCAGCTTCAGAGATGCAGCTGCAGAGCTGCAAATGTCTAAATAAGGAATAACGCCCGCACATGACTCTAACGCGTTTCTTGTTATGAGGAGGTGTTTGTTGATCAGTGATCGGTGTGGTCAGGTGAAGCTAAAACATCTTCAAACGGCTATTTTAGGGGTCGCGTCGCTTAGATGTGAAGACGTCACGTCGTCATCTCACTTCAATTTCAATATTTCCAAGACGCGCATCGTATGCATCGTGAATTATTGAATCTTAACTGAATAGAGTTGCGATCTTCGCCGCCCCCACCGGAGTTGCCATTCTTCGGGACTGTCAATTTCAGAGTTTTCATGAGAATTTTCACTGGGCTGAAGAGGCATTTGATTGCGAACCAAAAGACCGCGCTCGGGTAGCGACATCCAGCGAGCCCGCCGCGATCCAGGTACCGACTCCCGAGGTATTATTTCGCCCGATGTATTTTTATTCTTTTGGCGCGCTTGCAGGTTAGTGCGTCCGCCGTCCGTTCTCAGCGCGGGCCAGCTCTGCTTGTGATCTGGAGCAGGGAGATGCTTCATGTCAGGTACGGATCGTGTCGTGCTGCTGCTGTGGTGAGGTTGATATTGGCGTTTGCATGTGAGCAAGCATTGCTCGCGCGTGCCACACTGCCAGGCCTCAGCAGCTGTCAGGCAGGGGGGAGTGCAAGAAGGCGTTCAACGGTGGAAGTGGGTGAAAGCGGGTGAGACCAGGATGATGGCGTCCCCTCCTGGTCTGCGCCGTTCGAGTGAACCTTGCAAGAGGCACACCAGGCCGGCATGGCACACACCAAGCCGTTCCGCACACCCTCGTTCGCCGACATGGGCCTAAAGAAGTGCACGGAGATGTCAGAGAGAAACTTTTGCCGTGCAGCGAGAGAGGACTCGGGCGCGACTTTTCCAGTCCCCGAGTTAGGTTTATGATTGGTCCTGCCGCCTCTGAATATACTATGCGGCAGATCGTGTTCGTGTTCTAATCTGCCGCGGTGCTGCGGATTCTTCCTCTGGTCGGGCAGGTGGGGAAACAGTTGTGTTGCAAGAGTGAGATTCTGGATGTCGCGGGTTGATGTTGAAAACTTTGAAGCCAGCCTGTCTTGCAGGGCGCTGTCCCCCCCCTCCGTCCCTGGCGAGGCTGCGGTAGGGTTTGGTGAGCCTCGAGATCGCCCGACCGGGCACCATGTTCATGGCCTCCCACTCTCCACCGCTTGGACATGGCATGTCGACGCCTGTTGCCAACCCTCAAGGGAGCAACAGATTAAGAGCGGTAGAAATTCTCCGATCAACCCTCAAGGGAGTCTCTTGGAGTCTGGGGGCCTGGCCTTGAGCACCGCCAGCCTTACGAATGGTTCACGATGCCGGAGCCTCTCCAGCCTGGCAACTGCGATCTGCCGGCCATGGGTCAGTAGCAGCAAACTAAACATCTTGACCGTTCAAGATCCATCCGCACTTATTGAACGTCACTTGGTGAGGCCGCACACACGAGCCGTGGCTAAGTGACCGTCCGAAGGCGAGCAAGTCGCGCAGCACGCTCATAATCTCGGAGTCTGGCACTCCTCGAGGCAAAGTCTCTCATTCCGGGTAAAACGGGCGACAGACCGGGGGAGTGATTGGCCCGCAGAGTGACTTGTGAAGGGACATCCGAGAAAAGGAACAAGTTGGAGACTGGAAGGAAGAATTAAGCTGAGAATAATCGTGAGAAACACACAGCTCTACCCGAGCATGACACAGGGCTCTCAGCCAGGCGGCGAGATTCTGTTCAAATGAAAGGCCGAAAAGTATCAGCGGTGGCGGCGAAGGCGTTTCTCTCAAACTCGCGGAGACCGGATGGGATATCCAATTATGTTTGACATTTCGGCAGTCGAAGGACGGCCTTTGCTGATGAGCACAACTGCAGTCCGGCATCACAATCTATCATTACAGCGAGCGGAAGGGGTGTGCCGGCGCCACGGCCCTGCTGTGAGACGTCAAAGCATGAGGAGCGAAGAGCTGTGCTCTCTTTGCATGTTTTTGCATGATGCCTTCAACTGGAAGAGTGCGCCGCAGCAGCGCAAAGATTGCCGTTAGAAAGGCCAACTTTGCAAACTCTCCCGACTTGGCTCGAGCTTGGTAAGAGCGTAATAATACATGGGACACATGAGCAGGAACGCACATCTCGCATCGGATCAGACACGGGATGGGAAACGATTCCCATCATATGGTGCTTTGCCGCCCGAGAAATGTTCGATGCAGGTGTGGGTGTTGGAAGCGTGATGCGTGACGATCGACGGCTCCCCCTCTGAAGCCCCTTTGGGCAAGTCATCTCCGGAGCTATTCATGCAATAGCGCAGCCATCTGATTCGCGGGTTGGGGCAGGGTGGCAGCCGAAGCATTGGGTCCTGGCGGCCAGATTGTGTCGGGAGACAGCGGTGGCTCCGGCGCTGGGCGGAAAGCCTCATCCACCAGCACGATAAGTACGGTAATGCAATATCTGGGCGTGCTATGATTCGTGGAGGCGGCAGCAGAGGCGGGGCGCGAGAGGGGGGTGACTCAGAAGAGCGGGTTAATAATACCAACGCGAGCGGTACGTACATTTACGGTACGGGTGCGCAGAGAGGCTGCGATCTGGAGGGAGTGGGTGGGGGGGTGGATGTGAGGGAAGTGGGTAGTGGGTGGTGAGTGATGAGTGGTGGGTGGTGCCTAGTGCGAGTGCGAATGCGGTTTTCTGGGAGGATGGACCATTGGCCATGAATGCAGATGGACCAGCAGCAGCAGCAGCAGCAGCAGCAGCAGCAGCCAGAAGAGGGGGTGGAGTGAGAGGGCGAGAGGGGCGAGAGGAGCGCGAGGAGCACGAGGAGCAAGAGGGAGGATATCATACGGAGTAGTAAAGGGGAGGGAGGTGTGCAGGTGCAGGATGGAGATGCAGAGGCGCCGCGCTGATTGGCCGGCATCTGACTCGAGGAGGAAGTATCGCTCCTTTTTGCTCCCTTTTGCTCCTTTTCGCTCTAAGTAAGTTTCTGCACGCCGCAGTCAGTTGGAGTGCCGCCCCCCTGCGGTGCCTGCGCCTGCGCCTGCGCCTGCGCCCGTGAAAAGTCAAAGACCGTTCCGTCGGTCTTGCTCAGTAGTTGCTAACTTGCTGCTGGCCTGGTGCGTGCCGAGTGCTGGTCTTACTGAGTAATTAGACGACTGGACTCAATCTCTCCCTCGGCTCGTCTTGTCTGTCTTGCCTTGTCTCGTGCTCCACCTCTTTCTTCAGCGGCGATCGTGCACTACTGTGCTGTGCGGTGCTCTGCCAAACTCGAACTCTTTTTCATCCTCTCTTCCTCCCTCGCTCCCTCGCTCCCTCGCTCCCTTGCCACCTGTCGCCGCTGGCTGAGTGTTCACTTCAAATCGTGTGTGCAGCACTGCACCCAGCAAGCAGCTCCCAGACCCAGCTCCCAGCACCCGCCAGCCCAGCCAGCAGGAAACACCACCACTCTCGTGCCTCCCTCCGTGACCCCTTGCTGCTCCAGCCACCTGCCCACTGCTGCCAGGCCCCAAACCAAACCCCCCGCCCAGTCCCCTCCGCCATCCCCAATCAAGCTTTCGACAGCTTCCATCTGCCTTCTTTCACCAGGATCTCCAGCAACGGGCGCGCAACCCATATCCTTGCTACCCGCACCCACAGCACCGCCGACAGCTCCAAGCACATGCGATACCGTTGAGGCTACGACATTTGACATCTGCCAGCTGAAGCTATTCACAACATCGTTTCGACCTCCGCGACATCCACCTTCCCTCTCGACAACGCAATTGACGTGACACCGTCGTCGCATTGCCGCCCGCAACCCGCCGTGACACAGAGACGATATTACAGTACAGCCAGTACACGTGCGATCCTTTGCGCGCCTCCAGCAATTATCGCAGCCTGCAGCCTGCAGCCTGCAGCAACTCAGTCGCAACGAGAACCTCGAGTCCGAATTGCTCTGCTGCGGCATACCGAATCTGCCGCAACGCGACAGGCACAACTTGGCCCCCCCCCCACCGCGTGGGAGCTACACCCACAGATTGTTGCAACCACAGTGGCTGGCCTTCAAATAGATCAGAGCAGAGCAGAGGTGAGATCCCAATAATTTCCTATTTCCCTGGCGAGTTGCGGTTGCTGGCGATGTGTTTGGATCATCCTCGACGCCTTCGAGTCTCGTTGCGGGACGCGTCTCGGCGCCCTACTGCTTAGCGATCCCTCGTGCGAAACGGTGGGCCTCCTCGCGAAAACCTCGTTGCGCAACCTCCCTACAACGCCAGCAACAACGTGGTGAGCAACGATCAGGACATCGGCGACCTGTCCTTGATCATCTGCGCACAGGGAATGATCGCGTCCTCGCGACTGCAAAGCGCCGACCTGCAGCATCCAGAGTCTCTTCGCCTCTTGGTGCCGCCTCTTGGTGCCGGATCCCCAGGCTGTTGATCTTTGAATGCACGATGCTAACATTTGTCCCACCAGATCCGATAATCGTGTATCCCGAGTCCTGCCTCTATCCTAGCCTACATATCCGTCAACCATTCCCCAGCAGCAGCAGCAGCAGCAGCTATCCTCTGCGTATCCCACAAGCATATCCCAAGTGCATCCTCGAGAAGCAGTTGGGAGGATCATCCCTCTTCCAAATAGCTGGACCTGAGATCCGACGAACTTCGAGTCGACAGGGAAGGAAGCCTTCCAGAAGGGCTCTGAGCGACGGATAGAAGGCACACCAGCTTCTGTGCAGGCTTCGAGAGTGAATTACAGCATACCAATCTATCTGAAGGAGACTCGGCACACCTCATACCAACCAAACCCAATCACTTCAACGCAAGAACAACACTGCCGTGCTTGGTCACGCTTACAAGATTTTCTCTCGCGACCTTGGACGGTCGGAGCACGCAGTTACTCACGGAGAGGCACTTCCTGCAACCATTTTGAGACGTCACAGTTGGGAGCACAAAAGACGAGATCTGGAGCGCGAAGTTCAGGTGGTACAAGAATCACCTACAGATCCTCCGTAAGCCTTGCAGGCGCCGCCCAGCGAGAGCCGAATCCTGGTCGCGCAAGGATCACATGTTTTACTGACATTTTGGCAGAAATCCGCCTTTAGCCCTCGCGCACGACAAGGCCTCGAGATCCGATTTGGCAGCCCACCAGAACTCGGTCAACGACGCGATTGCAACGCTACATCATCGAGGTACGTTCTGGGCCCTGGCTATTTCATCTATGTGCACGATTTCGTTTTTCGACAGGTCGCGCGATGGCGTTCCACATCCTTGTTTTCTCCCCACCACAGTTGGCGTTGTGTGTAAGCGAGGTGCCATCCACGATCATGGCCCTGCTGCATGACCGTCTTTGGCCCCTGCTGTGGGCTGCAACCCCATCATCTCCTTAATTAATGTGCCGAACGCCTGTGCTGCTTGGCGGTCCGACTTGGGTGGCGTCCCTTGCCCGATGTTTACCATCCACCCATGCCTGTATATTATAACTCCAAAGCCCAGCGACTCCAGCTGACCTACCTGGTCTTCCAGACAACGGTCTTCGTTGAGCCCTCACTCTTCAGCCTCGTTCGTCTTCTTGTTGCGTCATTCTGCACTTACTGCTGCTGCACATCGCACTGGACGTGCCAGACCTTTCTGTATGCAACTGCCCATTCCGCGCATGAGCTAGTCTGGCTCTGCTGCAAATTCTCTACCTATCATCAAACCCTGGCTTTTGGACACAAAGCTAACCCGAGATTCACAGGCGCGGCCACACCCAACGGGCTCACGGTCTTTGCGAGTCATTTTCTTGGGACTGAGAAGTTTTCCAGAAGTAAGTTCAGATATTCCATCATCTCGAATTTTGTGGTACAGAGCGCGACAGAGTTCCTGGGCCATGGCCCGACACGCGAAAGGTCTGGTCTAGTGGCCGGCTCACGGTGTCGAAAACGTGGGTTTCCCTTGGAGGCGCACGCGGCTGCCCCACCTCCAGTCCTCCCATGAACACCGATGTTCAACGTTGTGCGCCACAACCTTGCACCTTGTCCGCCCTACACCACCCCTCTCGATGAGCATCGAGGGTAGCTCTGGCGGACTTCGGATCGTCCCATTTCTGTGCCATCTGGCTCCCGTCGCTTACCCCACAATCTTCCATACTGTCCCCCCCCCAACACAACCTGCAATCCCATTTGATACCCGGATTCTCCGAAGCCAGTACCCGCCAGTGGCGGTGCCCACTTGGGAGGATTCAAGAGCCAGTAAGTTTTCTAAGAAAAGAAATCATGTTGTGTGTTCCGCTGCATCGATCGCATTACGATCCTCCTCCTCAGTTTTTGCCCCCGTGTTTCCGTTCCGTGATCTGCACGGGGACTGCTTTTAGTCTGAAATGCTCGTTCTATTTTAGTACCACGATGTGCTTTTCATGCGTTTCGACGATCGCATCGCGACGACCTTTCAAATTGCTGTGTCATGGGCAGGCGCTGACTTGTACTGAAGCAGATAGGTCGGATTTTAAAGTGCAGCACACTCGGCAGCCGTTTCATATTCCATCCGCTGCCCCACGCTTCAGGGCCATCGAATCACCGTTGTGAGAGCACCTGCGGCACTCAGGTACCTTAAACCGTTCCCGAAGTAAGTTGAGACGGACCAAGCACTCCCTGCACTCCGATTTGCAACGCACAGATGTTGCAGGCATGCATGGCAGCATGAACGCTCCTTGTTTGGTGGTCGAATGCCGGCCTCGCATTCCAACGGCGAACATGTGGCTTGATGGAACCCATGGCTAACCGATCAACAGACAAGGACAGCTCCCAACTACCGAGATGGCTCATCGACAGAGTGGCGGGTACAAAGAGGAGCCCGGCGTCGCTGTGGCCAACGATCACGTAAGCACACCGCTCTCTGCATTTTACGCTGTGGCCCATTGTTGGACTTTGCATTGCCGCACTCGTACTCGGAGCTGCTCCACAGGACATGATTCCTTTGCCTGACCGGTTACACGCGAGAGCTCGCAAATTGTTCCCATTGAGCTCTGGGCTGCAGGGATGACGGCAATTCGACGGCGAAGGGTGTGGCTTCGATGCTTTCCAGAAGATCACGAGCAAGCCGTGCGGACTCGACCGCGAATGTGCACAAGTCGTGGGCGCGTTTCAAAGCTGGCCAGGGTGCATGCATGGGGCAAGGCCCTCAAGTGCTGCCCAATCCCACGCGGGCGAGCAAGCCGGGGGACCGCACAGACATCTCGCATCCGTACTCGCTTGGCGGATAAGCTCTAAGCTCTGCAGAACCTGCTTCCAGTTGGCGTAAGGGCTTGCGAGCGCCTTTTGAGTGCCGCGAGAGTGCTGGGTCGCTGGGTGCGGCGCACAGCTGCTGCCGAGTACCAGACAGATGCCCTTCCACCGCTCGTTCGCGCCCCTTTGCTCGCAAGTTCTCGCGCAAGCGTGCGGCGATCGTCTCGTCTTCCGAGGAAAGGCGCCCAGCGGCGGCCGATCTTCTGCTGGTTTTACTGGTTTTGCTGCTTTGTTCTATTCTGTCCAGTTCTATTTTTGCAGCGCATGAAAACAACATCCAAGAGCCCTGGCCGGCAGGGGCTTTCCCCAAAGGCGTAAACGAGATCAAGGGGCCTGCACGGTGCAGCCATTTGCAGCTATATTTGTTCGGTGCTGCGACGCTAGGCCGTCCTGGGCACTGGCGCTGCTCTTCTGCTGCAGTCCCATTTCCCGCTGCTCGCCAAGATTAGCGCCGCAACAACGGACTGCTTTGGTGGCGGGCATGGCTGGCACACCACACCCTCGCCCTCCTGGCCCTCCTGGGCCCCCCAGCAATTTGACACAGCGCTAGTCACCGCGTCATCTTCCTGTTCTCCTGCTCCCACGGCGCCCCCTGTCCGGCTGCCTGCCCTCACCGCCGTAGCCTGACCACTGACGGCAGCGGAGGCCAGCATCCCCAGCAGCCCCCGGGAAATCCTTGTTCTGCTGCCCAGCGGCCGGCATGGCCATGTATTTCATTGGGCAACCATCCCGGCCGACCCCCAAGACCCCCCGTCCACCTCATCGCAATGCGATATCAACCTTGTCACGCGTCTTCCATGCGTTGGCCCCCTCCCCCCTCGACTCTCTTGCTTGACCTTCAACTGCCATATCACGTCGACCCCTACCTCTTTCATGCCCACCATACCCATACCCAGGCAGGCCCCATACCAGCGCCCAGTCCCAAAGACTCGACCCTCCTTCCGTTCTCACGCCCCTCCCCCCCCGGTCGCTCTTCATCTCATTCCTCAATTCAACCTGCCCTTCCCGCACACATTTATCCTCGCTCCGATCAATCTCTATCTGCCCTATTTGGCTCCTATTCTCCGGCTCCGCAACGCATCGTCCTTCCTCATCTCATAAGCTTCTTGTACCCTCGTCGCTCCACTCTGTTTAAAAAGTGAGCCCTGGGAGAATCACGCAAATCTCGGACATTGGCGCGTCGCTTGTCCCTCCCGGTCATTCGTCTCAAGATTTGGTAATAGACGCAAGGCATCTGTTATACTGAGGTACCACCTTCGTACTCTTCCCATGCCCAGTCCTACGCCCCAACAATTTCTTTGACTCCATTGTTGCTCGGCCGCTCCTGTCAAAAGGCAGAAGATCGGACTCAGGGACCCGAGTGCGGCAGCCACCCTCGTAGTCAAGGATCGACGTCTTTCTTACACCCGAAGTGTCATAATAAACATCACGACGCGTTTTGCTTCTGTTCTCAATGGTTGTTAGATTTTGCCACTGCATTTACCAAGACGGTTGAGGAATTTCACTGACAACTGGTCTCTATGCAGCATCACCCCCACCACGCGCAGCAGGGTCCTCCACCTCCGCATCATCTCCAACAACCGCGACCCTCGAGCATCGTACATCAACAGCACCAACAGCACCAAGCACCTCCTCCTCAACCACAACACTCCAACCCATACCCCCCATCCCACGGTCTGCCCCAGTACACCCAGAGTGCGCCAGGCGCTGGAGGACAGCACACCCAGGAGCTTCCAACCTACTACGCTTCCCACCCGAGTCCATACAGCACACCAAGCGCATCAGGCACATACTCATCTGCAGGTAAGTAACCGCCTGTTCTAGACGCGTTTTCTTGATGAAACAGACCATTAACTAATTTACAGCACCAGAAACTCCAGACATCATGGCGGCCGCGCAGATGACGCGCCCGTATCCCCCTATCTACCATACTCCACAGTCGAACTCTCCAGCCTCCGTTGCATCTCCTTCCGCACACGACCAGCACAGAATGTATGGCGCGCCGGCCTCCCAATTACAGCAGAACACTCAGATGTACTACCCTGGCCCCCAGCAACAATACCCCCCAATGCCACCCCAGGGTGCTCCGTCATATGCTCCCCACCCGCAACAGCAGCAACACCACCAATCTATGACTTCGCAACCGAACCTGCTCATGTCACATCCCTCTGGTCAACACCAGATGCAGCAACATCCGGGTCAGCAGCAAGGTATGACGGGTAGCCCCAGGACGAAGATGGAACCGCATGTTCCGCAAATCTCCAGACCATCAGCACCATTGGGACCTCCACAACATCCAGCCAATGGTCCGCAGATGAATCAAAACAACGTTCCAGGGGCTAACGGCGGGGTCAACCCAAATGCTGCTCCAGGTCCTATTCCAGCAACAACCCCATTGGTGGTTCGACAAGATAACAACGGTGTTCAATGGATCGCATTCGAATATTCACGCGACCGTGTCAAGATGGAATACACTATCAGATGCGATGTTGAATCAGTCAATGTTGATACTTTGAGTCCGGAATTCAAGACTGAGAACTGCGTCTACCCCAGAGCTTGCTGCAGCAAGGATCAATACCGTGGAAATCGATTGGTCTACGAGACTGAGTGCAACACTGTTGGTTGGGCTCTAGCGGAGCTGAATCCATGCCTGCGTGGAAAGAGAGGTCTGATTCAGAGAGCTGTTGATAGTTGGCGCAATAGCAACCAAGACCCAAGATTGCGGAGCCGACGTGTTCGAAGAATGGCCAAGATCAACAACCGCAAAGCTGTTCAAGCGGCGACACACACCCCTCACATGGCTGGCCCCAGTGGTCCAACAGGGATGCCACCATCTGGAAATATGGGCCCAGGCGGAGCGGGAAGCATGGGTAAACCTAGCTTGGGTGGGATGGGTGGTCCTCAACTCCATCACCATCACAACCACCCTGATGGAAGTACTCAAGGAGGGGATGATGTCGGTATGTTTCACCAGATGTGATGCCTGCCGTGATTGATATTGTCTGTTACTATTATCTGTGCTATGATACCTTTTGCTATATACCTGTTGAGAGGGAGGGCACAATTATTGGGAGCAAAGAACCATTTTGTTTTGGGTCGTCCTTAAAGGGCGCAATCTTTCTGTATAATACATCATTGGCACTTTTGGCTTCTTGCTTGGCTTGTGGCTGGGCACGGTACCAGATCTGCACCAAAACCCCAAACACAATCATGTCTACACACTGCTGTACTGTTGCACTTCCCATCCTCCTCAAACTCGTCTCGCATGGCATGGCATTACTTTGGCTTACTCTCTGCTTACTACACCTTTTTTCTTTTTTCACGCTTCGCTTGCCGGTTTAAACGTGAGGCTAACTGATCCTTCCCTTTTCTTAGGCGACGACGAGTACATCGACGAACAACATCACCACCACCACGCAGCTCCCGGCGCTCCATCACAGAACCCCGAAGATGATGTCAGACAGTCGCACGTCTTCCCCGGATACTCGGGCTCCTACCCACCCAATCCCTCCGTAGGCGGCGCGTCCATGGCCCCCAACATGCACCCTTCTCACAACGCTTCTCACTCCTCGCACCCCATCACCGCACGCTCACACTCCCACTCTCATAGCAGGGACACTAGCTCGCTCAACGATGAGGACCGTGCTAGCCTCTTTGGCGATATCCCCGATGCGAAGAAGCGCAAGTTCATCCTCGTCGACGATCCAGGCAAGGGTGGGCGCGTCAGAGTCCGGGTCACGCTTGATACGGTCGATATTAAAGAGATCCCGGATTCCTTTCGCAAGAGCAATTCCGTGTACCCGCGCTCCTGGTTCCCGTTGCAGATGCAGTCCCCTCCACCATCCGCTCATGGCTCGAGATTTTTCGAGGGCGATGATGAGGATGATACTGTTGAGGTCGATGCTGGAAGAGGACCGAGGGCCAGTGGCAAGATGATGGTTGCTGTTCCGCTTGCTGATGGAGGCGAGGCGGAGGTTGGCGTCCCGCGGATGAGGAAGAGTGTGAGGAGTAAGGAGGTTCGGTTGAATGATCTGGGTTACAGAATGACCTGGCATCAGAGTCGGGTTTTCGCGGACAAGACGGTGTTTCTGCAGAGGGCTTGTGAGTTGTCCCTAGCTGGTGAAGATTTCCGCTCCCAATCCCCTACCCTTGTTTTGGTATTGATGGTTTATAGTGGACGCATACCGCAACAAAGTCCGCAGTACCATGGACATGGTAGGCAAAGACCTCGAGGCCACGGCGCCGCACTTCGAGACCCGCGTCGGCAAGAGACGCTGGAATGAGCGGACCAAGAGGGAGAGGGGTGGAGAGTCATAGAGCACTCATCTCCCTGACCGCTTCCAGCTTCTTTTTCCCGCAACCGACTTCTGACCGACACAACAAACACTAAAATTTCAACACCGCTCTTCTTCACTTCTTTCAACGCAAGCGAGCGAGCGAGCATCGATTCAGCATACATGTTTTTCCTCATTCAATCAACTCGCATTAGCGCTCACGTTTCACGGTTTACTTTACGGGGCTATGGTTTATGTCGAATATGACAACATACTTACCTTTGTTTTTGCCTTGCCTCCTTTTCTTTTACTTTTACTTCCGTTTATAATGGCATTGGCGATTGCGATAGATTATAACGGAGGAAAACCTTGGTGGCTTTTTTTTTTTAGGGGGAGGTTTTTTTTTTTGGGAGCTTTGCTGGGTTGTACTGTACATTTTGCTTGGGATGGATGGATGGGGGAGTCGAAAATGGGGGGAGGGAAGACGTGGAAAATTGGGTGGCATGGTATATGACTTAGAATAGCGGGGGTGGGTAGATTAGACTATGCAAGATGCAAAAATGCAATCACTTGCTAATTATTAGTCCTTTTCTTTTCCTTTTCAACTTGGGAACTTGTCAACTTGTCAACTTGGGGCTTGTGGGTAGGGGGGGAGGGAGGGGGCTTGGGATATGTAGGTGCGAAGGTGCACTTCTACTTACTTACTGAGTAAGTGAGTAAGTAAGTAAGGAAGTGTTATACCTTGCCTCTTTCCCATATCTCGAGTGAGGAGGGCAGGTGAGTGAGTGAGTGAGTAGGGAACGTCGACTTGTCGTCTCCGGTCGAGCTCGGGGTTATGCTGCGGAGCCACCTTGAGCTTTTGATCTCTGCTTAAGAAGGAGGGGGAGGATGGGATTCTAGCTACTTTTCGTCGTAGGTGGGAAGTTGAGAAGAGTTGCTATAACGAGGTGTTTGTTGTCTACGCGGTGCTGGTTTGGCTTGGATTTAAGATAGAGAGAGGCTGGTTGGTGGTGTCTGTTGTGGATGGATGGATTGCTTTGAAATGGGGATCGTGTGGAAAGCTGGATTCCCTGGGTGCTGAATAATGAATGGTTGGCTATTACTGCTTGGCTTCCGAGATGGCATGGGTCGATGGGAGAATCGTCTGGTCCGGATTATTGGTGTGTGTGATACCCGTCGGCATTCCTCGCTTTGTTGGGGCCGACTTGCCTGCGCTGGCCCGAACCGGATACGGAAATGCCTGCGGGTAGTGTGGCCCTGCTGGTACAAGTATCCATTTCTCGGATTTCTTTGGACATTGAACAATGGTGGATCTTGATTGGCTGCCAAACCTTGCCTGGTTTTCCCCTTCGGCTGCTGCCTAGGAAACCAATTCTTTGGGGAGGGGGGCGGCAGCTAGCAAGCGATTGGGGAGTGTTGGGTTGGGCTCTGTGGGGGTTCGGAGGGGTTGCTCTGCAAGGGGATTATGTGGAAGCTGGATTCCCTAGGTGCAGAACTATGAATGGGTATTGCTGCTTGGCTTCCGACTTGGCATGGGTCAATGAAAAATCGTCTAGCCTGGATTATTGGTGTGTGTGTTAGTGTGGCCCTGAGACTTCCGAGATAAATTGTTGATTTTGGTGCGTGGTGAACAACTGTTGGCATTCATTGGCTCGCGAACCTGCTGGTGGATTGACGAGGCTCTCCGGGCATTGTGAACCTTGTTCCAGGCAGACTCAAGGTTGAATTTCCTGGGAGCCGAACAATGGTAGACACACATTGGCTCACAAATTGCGGCCCTGTCGAGACTTCGGTCATGCTGACTTTCCTGGGTGCTGAATAATTGTTGATACTCATTGGCTCTCAAAACTTGCAAGTGGGCTGACAAGGCTCTCCAGCCATTGTGGCCCTGCTTTGCCCAACGGACATATTCATGATTTCTTTTTTAGGGTGCTGTGCTGCATTATAGTAGTAAGAGGGGGGGGGGGTGGTGGGCAAACAAGAGGGTAAGATCGGGTTCTGATTATGTGTAGGTATAGAGGGGAACGACGGTGGGACAAAAACCGGTGCGATGCGGGTGTGAATGAGAATGATAAGGAATAGCAGGGGAGGTGAGGGGAGAGCGGTTTCCTGTATATTTGCAACAACGCGAGTGTGGCCCTGTCTATTCCAGTTTGAATGCGCTGGATTTCTTTGGACACTGAACAATGATGGATCTTGATTGGCTGCCAAACCTTGGCTGGGTTTTCCTCAGGCTGCTGCCTAGGAAACCAATTCATTGGGGAGGGAGGGAAGGCATATGGGGGAAGAAGTACTTGGTTGTGAGTGGTGAGCGTTCATGCGTTGCGGCCCAATTGTGGCTCTCAAGAAATCAAGCAGATTTATTTAACAGCCCAACTTGAGAACGGAGCTGTTTGTTTATCAGTTAGGATCGGAAGCAAGCGTTCCCTAGCTAAGCACACAAGCAAAGGGTTTAAAGGAAGTGGCAAAATGGTGATTGTCTTGGATTTGGAGATATGGAAGTGTGGAGGGGGGATATAATAATGTGAGGGCTGGGTGGGCAAACGGAGTTGTTAGCCCCAAGGCAGTGTGGCCCTGAAAATGCGGCTCCATGGCCAGGTCTCCTCTGACAGCTCAACCGGAGAAGCAGTCGATTGGCTGTTAGTTTGGGAAGGGTAGGGAAGGGTAGGGAAGGGTAGGGAAAGGATGGATAGAGGGCGTCCTCGCGTGGTACTTCGTACCCTGACCTCAAAGGTTAAGTCTCCACGGCTGGACCAAACTAAATCAGGTAATATGTCACCGAATCTGAAAGAACAATTGGTTGATTATCCCTTCTAGCGCAGAACCTGCCAAAATCAGATTAACCTTTGTTTCTACGAGAAAGTAGAGCACGATGGTGGCGCGGGGACGTGGGGCGGAAGGACGAACACTTGATTGTGAGTGGTGAGGGGGCTCAGTGAGTCAGTGGCGGTGGCCCTGTTCAGATACGTGAATTTCGTGGTTTCCTGTGGAAGTTCAACCGCGGAAGCATTTGATTGGTGCGTGGCAGTCAATCCTCATTCGGAGCCTACACCAGCCAACCCTATGCGTGGGGGGAAGGGGGATGTGGTAAAAGAGTGATCATGGCACATTTGGAGATGTTGTGGAAAGATGGAAAAGAGGGAAAGCTTGGTTGTGAGCAGTGAGGAGGAGATGCGTTCAGTCTCATTGTGGACGTGCATCTAGGAGGCTTTCAGCAATGTTTCCCTCGCAGCTCAATCGGAGAAGAAGTTGATTGGCTGCCAGACTCTCAAACCTCGTTAGAGGGGCTCATTGGCCTAACTACACCTGTGGAGGAGGAGGAGGAGGAGGAGGAGGAGGAGGAGGAAGTGGCACTACGGTGATTGTAGTGGATTTGGAGATGTAGGGAATGGATAGATCCGAAGGAGAAGCGGTGAACAGTGTAGGAGGGGAGGGTCGCGCAACCAATAGGGCGTGTGTGGCCCTGAAACGGCACATCACCTCCCCTCAGTTTTGCAGATTCATCTTGCTCCCTGAGCCACCGCAGGGGTTGATTGGCTGCGTCACTGTGTGACTATTTGTAAGGGAAACTGGATGATGAAGGCTGGATAATGAGAGACTCGAGTGAGTATTCTGGATCTGATATGGGGTAAGTAGGCATGTGGTTGCTAGGTTGGGGCGGGAGCGCTTTTTAGCCTGGAGGTATGAGGGACACAGAGGTCAACCGAGGAGCCAAAACTCGATATGAGAGTTGGAACTTCAAGGGAATAAACGGGAGGCTTTGGATGTCATCATGGTGGTAACTGTTTGGGGCATAAACTCCCAAGCATCTTGTCCAACCCGCTTCTTGTGCCGGCCTCATAAATCCATGCAGCAGTTGAGGGAAGACTTTTAGCTAGCTCTCATCGCCAATGAAGTCCATTCAATTATCCAGCGTTAATGAAGAAACCAATTTGGCAAAGCCTAGTTATTAGTGATCCTTGGCAAAATTGACACAATCAAATATCCAAATACCCAGAAATGTCACTGATGAACGTGCTCAGTTGCTCGTGGGTCCGACTGACGACATTTGTGACCCAATGCTGAGCTGAAGTGACGTGTCAGGGCATCAGCTCGAGTGAATACCCGCCCACATCCCCATCTGACCCCAGGGGCCAATTCTCCACTGCAAACAAAATTTCCTTCGTAGTGCGAATCTTCGTGTCTTCGACAGTCCTTTTCACTTGCGAATGCTTGACTGCATTTCCCGCAAGAGTGCGGCCGCTCTCCTGTGTGGACCCTCCTGGTGTGTTCCTTGAGGGTACTCCCTCTGGTGAATTTCTTGGAGCATTCTTCACACTTATGCACTCCCTTCGGAGGTTTAACCTTGGCTTGAGTCATTGGCTCTGGAAATAACTTTGCAGAAGCTTCTGGCAAGAAGTGATTCTTTTTTATATGTCTTTGCAGATCTGCATCTGAGGAGAAACCGGTCTGAATTCTGCTGCAACCGTCTATTTTGCAGCAAAAGGCTCGGTTGTGAAGTTGGATATGTTGATGTCTTAACCTTGAGTCCGCAAAACCTTCGTGAAAGTAGTAACACATATGTCGTGGGCATTTGAACAGCAGATCGCCGTAAAATTTTGAGAGTGCCAGTATGGAAGCCGAATCCTCGGTTTTGATTAGTCGTTCTTGGTTCTCTCTGACAGAGGTCAGAATGCTTCCCAGATTTCCCAATCCGTCTAAAGAATTCTTTTTCCCTCTTAAGTCTCGTGCATAAGCAATGAGCGCTACAAACGTCTCGAAGCTTGCTTGGTGGCCAGCTTTTTTGCAGCGTTCGCGCAAACTTTGGAGGGATACCCCAACGGACGTGTCAGCATCTGATGGGCCGTATTCCGATGAGAACTCTTCGCAAATTGGCGCCAGCTTATCAAGATCATCCAGATCGTCAGTTTGAAGATGCTCCAAGTAGGACTGCAAGTGGTCGACCCAGTGTAACATTGCATAGTTTTGAAAGACGTAGAATCCAGTCTTGAGAAGTTGGCAAATTTCCTCGTCATCTGCCATGAAACCAGGAAACATGAGATAATGTAAACATAAAGATGCAAGCTGCCCTTCGGCCCGCGATACTCTGACATGATTATCTTGCATAAGATATCTGGGAATCGAATTAGAGTGTTTCAATAATCAAAGTGGCTGGGAAATTTGAACTCACATTCTAGCTGAGGTATGGACGAGCTCTATGCGATCGCCAGGGAGTCTTTCGACTAACGATCCGCAAAGCGCTCCGATATCTACGACAAGCGATCGTTCTTTGAAATCCACAATCTGATCTTCGATATCGATAGATACGGCGCCCTGGATTTCCGGCCATGTCAAGGGACGTTTGGCAGTAACCACCCAGCCCAGCAACGTGAGTGCTTGATCTCTCTCAGCGACGTTTTCATTTCGTTCAATGCGTTCCACTATTCTTCCATAGCTAGACGGACATCTGAATCAGTATAATCCAGTGGAAGCCAAGTTAACAAGAAATGAAAGGTTTAAACAGACGCTTGGTTCAGTCCCAGAGGAAACCGTCGAGGCAGGAGTGATTCATAGAGTTGTGCACGCGAGACCTGAGAGTAGAGATTCTGAAGAACCAATTTCGCAAACAGAAACATGCCTAATAATGTCAGCTAAAATCTTATATGCCTTAATTAGCTATTCTCACCTCCCGCACTCCCACATACAAGTGTTCGGATCAAGTCGCGCTTCTCATCAGCGAGATCAAACTTGCTTTGAATTTCCAAACAACAGTGCCTTGTATATTCGGCAATGTCACTCATATTGTCCGTTTCTGACAGCCGTACTATCGTGGCCGTGCGAAGTAAACTGCGAATGCTGGGTTCTGGTTGACTGACGAACATGGCCCGAATTCTACCAGGCTGAGGATCCTTCCTCAAGATTTTCGCAATTTCTGAAATGATTACCTTTCGTTCCTTATTCTCGCACTCATCGAGCCCATCTATTATCAAATGTATGCCAACATTTGTTGGAATGCTTCCTACCGCTATGGCTAGAAGCTCCGTGCACAATGATTGCGACTCCAGGTATCGCTCTCCGCTCTCCACAGATCTTTCATAAAGTGCCTGTAAGAGATCTGAGTCTTTACTCTGTGCGAGCAATTGCGATATGATAGCTCGAAAGACCGCAACGAAAGTGTTTCGCTCTTGATCCTTATATTTGCAATAAAAATAAGCGACGATAGTGGATGATAGTGACTTCGATTTCTCAACAATCACAGACGCTAGTACCGTTTTGCCTACAACCACGATTAGTCCTGTCCTATTATGTTGAAGTTCGTGCTTTACCTGCTCCTGGAATGCCGTGAATCCAAACAAGGGATCCTGAGGTGTGCTGGCTGTCATGCCACGCAACAATAGCGGTTTTTTGGAGCACCCAAAGTCCGGTACTTGGGTATAATTTTCTCACTCCAGTATACACTTCATGATCTAGTTGAACATTCCTAGCTGATAACCATGTTCGTACTGCAATTCGCTGATTATCTTTCCTTGCTATATCAGCTTCTTTGAAGGCCTTCTCGGCCAGTTCTCGGGCTACTTGGGAGGCTTTGATCTGGAGTACGTTTCCGTGGCTTTCGATCAGGGTTTTGTGTCGTTGCAAATTCAACAGTAGATGCTGGAACCTCGTATCAAAGTCTTTCCAAACAGCGCGAAATATCTGCTGCCATGCTGTTCTTGATAAGAATGTGTATTGATTAAGTGTCTGCCGGGGTTACTCACTTGGTTTCCCAAACACACGAAGAGCTTGTTGATGGAATTCGAGAATATCTTTGTACATCATTCCCAGAACTCCACGCATGTCTGAGCTCTCGGTAAACACATTCTGGTATTGTAATAGGAGAGGGATCTGCTCCGCAATCTGTTGATAAGCGTCGAGGAGAGCATCGAAAGACACAGCCCAATTATTCGCAACCTTACAGAAGAAATGTTAGATTGTTTTTATCCAAATATGACGACGAATAAGGTAAGACAGAGAATTCGTACCAAAAGAAGGAATTTCAAAGGCCCCCAAACGAAAGCGAGGATTTCAGACGTGTTCAAGAAGACCTCAACAACTGCGCCAAATTGATTCATTGCTTCCAAGAACCCGAGAATCCGCGAGAGATTCCTCATCTCTCTCCTCTTATCTTGTTGTGCTTGTATATCTATGATTGCTTGTTGCACATCTTTCAATGAGCAGAATTTGAAATCGTCTAGCTCAGCCTTGGAGAGTCGCGATCTAAAATTGGAGACGACTGTCTGAAAGGTGGGGACCATAGATGATGGAGTAGCCATGGTTGGAGAGGGATATTCAGCGGCTTTGCCTAGTCTCTCGCCATGCAACGATATGCTTGAAACAAGAAGTCGCAACCCTATGTGTTTTGAGGAATGATGTTGAAAAGTTCGGAGAACTATCTTGCAGCAGTCGGGCATGGGCTGACGTGGCGCAGTGGTTGCGTTTTTGGGCCGTGGCTTGCTGCGGTTCCACAACAGCACCCGATGGCGGAGGCTCAGCTCTCTTGTCACCAAGGCAGCTATCCCAGCTTTCATGTCTCCCAAAAAATTTCCTGCCTCGGTCCAAGTTTCCGTCAAGAAATACGATAAACATGAGTACCTTCTAACGACTTTGCTTGCCATCATGCTTCCGCTGAAAAGAGGTTTCGTGGATATAAGCTCCACTGGCGAGAGAGATAATTTCACGAATGTTGCACCCAACTTGACCCATAGAGAGTCAGGCGCGCGTTTTACTCCACCCAACAGGATTGCTGATTCGGCTTTAATATGCCTTGGCATGGTCAGTGAACGTCTTGGTTCTCTTGGCAGCCCCAGATCTCCTCTTTATCATATGCTACCAGGCTCTCCCGTACCTCTTGACAAGCTCACAATTTTACAGCTACCCGCCGTTGAGATCAGGCTTCTCACCACCTCTCTCTCCCTTTCTGAAATCACCCATGCAACAACGAGGTCTTTTGATAACTCAAATTATCACTTTGTTCTTCAGCGAGAGGATGGAGCTGGATACCTCGCATGCAGTCCAGGCAACCTTGTTGCTTCGTTGAATACTCCTTTCAGCCAGGCCACCAACCAAATCTTACTGGAGATTCCATCAGTGGATTTTGACTTCTATGTCACACGCCAATCGTGGTCCAAGGTGTTTCGTTCACAGACAACTGCCGAAAAGAATCCCATTTTGAATGCTGGGGTTAATGTTTCTGCAAACGCGTCCACGCTGATAGACGTAGGCAGGCTACTATCGGCCAAGAGATTGTACCTCCAACGTCCAGCTTGTCAAATTCCCGGTCAAATATACCAGAATCCTCACTATGTCAAATTCCCTGGGATAGAGCCGCGAACACTTGAGGAACGCAAAGCCGAAGCTCGATCTGATATTGATAGCATTGCGGAGACAAACGCGCAGAAAGAGATTGACAAAGATGACCTGAAGAATGAGTTCGCAGTTGTTTTTGGTTCCTTGATCAGATCACATTGCTTAAGTGAATTTGCAGCCGACAGAAGGATCAGAACCAGTCTTACGCCGTACGTTCATTGCCCACTCCGTAACCCGTTGCCAGCTACTCGTCTGACTGGTCAGAAAGGTACCAAAAAGGAGGTCTGGATTTCATTTCTCAACGAGAGTTCGGTCCTGTACAACCACGGTTCTCACTTTGGAAAGATATGCCTGGCGAGTATGACGGGAAGACTTGGTGAGTAGGGATTGGTATCGATGATTCAATGCAGTCGCTGAGGAACATCCAGTTATTCCCATGTAATCTCAGAAACTAAAACTTACGACAAACCTGTTGAGACTTGGGGTGGCATTTTGGCAGACGACATGGGCTTAGGAAAGACTCTCACAATGTTGGCCAACATTGTTGCGACTTTGAAGGATGCAGCAACCTTTCAGGATTCGTCAACTTCGACGAGTGAGGCCCATTTGACAGACGAAGAGATACTTCATCGATCAAGAGCAACATTAGTTCTCGTTCCTTCTCAAAGTATGTTGGAAGCAACCGTAAAATCAAGGAGGTTCATTGACCCTCGCTGCTATCTTAGTGCTCATCAAGTCCTGGAATGAAGAAATAAACAAGTCTGTCCCCCTCGTCATCTTATATTACCTATATTTTGTACTCATTCTCCATAGGCATATTTATGGTGGTCTCAGAGTCTGCGAATATCATGGCCGAGGCCGAGAGACAAAGGTGGAGGCGATCGCGAACGCTGATGTTGTGCTGAGCACCTACCACACAGTCGCTGGTGAAAGCACGAAGACGACTAGTCCGCTGTTTCGGATCCACTGGTTCAGAATTGTTCTAGACGAAGGTATACACCATGTATGGGCAATTATGATACTCGCTTAACTAATTGTCATATTCAGCACATATCATTCGTACAGCCTCGACCCTCTTCTTTGAGTCGGTGAGACGACTCGAAGCCAAACTCAGGTGGTGCGTGACAGGTACCCCGGTACAAAACGGACTAGAAGATCTTGGCTCTTTGGTGGCATTTCTGCAAGTGCCCATGCTTGATACACGACTCGAGTTCAAGCAGCATATTATAGATCCGTTGGTGAGGAAACATGGAAGCGGTGCATCCAGTCTCAGGGTACTATTAGACTCTATTTGCCTCCGTCGACTTAACAAACTTCTCGATCTCCCTGATGTCAATGACATTTATGAGGAGATTGATTTGTCCGATGCAGAAAGACTGCAGTACGACAACGCTCATACGGAGATGTCCAATGAGATCAAGAGACAAGTAAACCTCGAGAAGTCCAAGCGCGGTTACTTTGGAATCCTGGAGCTTGAAATGCGGCTCCGTCGCATGTGCAATCATGGCACTTTTGAGAGATCACGACTGGAAGATAAAGTATCGGAAAATTACAACAGTTTTGACGCAGTAAGCTCGACGATGTGTGATTCTTGCAAAACGGACTTGTCAGATAAAATACTGGTGGACAGTTTATGCAACGGGCATTATACAACATGTGGTCATCTAATTTGTTCTGAATGTCTTCCACAGTTCGAACAAGCTCTTGCCACAGCCAAGGATGCCAAAGATAGAGTCTGCCCACTCTGTGGACAAGAGTTGCCAGGGGATTATCTTGTGCTAAGTAGAGCTGAGGCGATGCTTGGCCAGATTGGACGCCAGCTACAGGAGTGCCCTTTATCTTTCCGACCAGACGGGGTTTCTTCCAAGATAAAGGCTCTGCTCACAAATATCGAGAATACCAGCGCTCAAGATAAGAGGTTTGTCGCTCTTGGGCAGGGAGCGACGGAGTGATAAATAGGCTAACACTGTGTAGCATCATTTTCTCTGGTTGGACAAGAACCCTGGACCTGATCGAGCAGCATCTTAAGAAAGGCAACATTAATTTCAGAAGAATTGATGGAATGTCCTCTCTCCCTGCGCGAAACAAGACACTCGAAGAGTTCCGAAAAGATTCCAAGATTCGGGTATTGATAATGACTACCGGAACTGGTGCAGTTGGGTATGCTTCTGTCCAAAACTTCTAAAATCCCCGACAATCAATTACAATAGGTTCTTGCTAAAGGTGTAGCGGTTAGTCTCAATCTCGCGGTGGCCAGCTCAGTTCACATCTTTGAGCCTCAATGGAATCCTATGGTAGAGTCGCAAGCAGTAGCCCGAGTCGTGAGGCTTGGCCAAAAGAAGAAAGTCTCGATCATACGCTACATTGTTCGAGGCACTGTAGAACAGGCAAGTCACCTGCGTTGCGAGTAAAGCACCTAGCTAATTTGATGCTGAAGACTATGCGTTCCCAACAACAGCGGAAAATCGCCCTGGCAGACCTTGGATGGACTAAAAAACATGGCTAGTAGATATCAAATTGGAATCTACTTGAATGTCAACCTGGAGATGCAAGAATGTGTGTGGCCTTCCTGTGGCCTTCTAATTTTCACTTACATTCTGTATCACATGTTAGTTTTAATCGGAATAATACTGCTTTAGATTTCACGGGGCCACGGTCTACTAGAGAGATGAAGTTAAAATGCATTCCCTATATTGTCTATATTAGGGCTAACTCTCAAAAGCAAATAGCTTTCAAGAAGCAATCTTGCTTTGATTAATTATTTAGCTTTAAGCTTACCTCTATTAATTAATTCTCTTTTACTATTTACAAAACTGAGTTTACTAGTTAAGGAATATAAGAATATAAAACTCGCTTAATATATTAAATTCAGAATAAGAAAGAAAATAATAATAGAATAGTTTTAAGATACAAGTATAGAATTAAAGGAATTAGTAAGATTAGTAGGATATTTAATAATATAAAAGAGGTATAAAGAGATTATAATAAGTAATTTGCTTATTAAAGTAAGTATAAGTAATATAAAGTAAAGAAGTAAAAGTAAAATAAAACATTTTTTAATACAAATATTAAATATAAAGCTTAGAAAGTAAATAAGAAAAATAGTATTTTTGGCCTTAAAACCTTTAATTAAATTTTTTACAAATAGCTTTTGTAACGGCTAGTGTTATATAATTGGTTTTAGCTAAGGTTCTAAGCTATAGTTCAAATCAAGCTCGCTTTAAACCAAGCTCGGCGTTCAGTGGTCTTGGCCGCACTTACTTATCCACTGCCACACCTCACCCCTTTTCTCCTTAGCTTTAGATTCTGTAGGATATTGGAATTATAGATCTTTGAGCCTTGTTCCATTGCTTTGTTCCTGCTATTACCGAATTTAGGAAATATAAGGAGTTATATTAAGAGTAAATAATATTACTCTAATTAAGTTATTCTTACTACTATTCTTACTAAAAGACAAATAAATCGTGTTTAGTGTCTTTATAAGTAGCATATATATAAGGACAGAGTCGTTTATTTATCTAGTAAAGTAGGATCCGGAGGATCGACCCTTGTGAAATTCATACTCCACTAAGACTAATCAGGAATGTGAGAATTGAAAGCTTGAAGCACATCATGTGGATACGAATAGAATATGCTTCTCAAATTAATATCAAATTGCATGATCTGCTGAATCGTTGTGGTAAAAGTAGAGTCCGATAGTGGGCTGGGCATCCACGTTTGCTGGACATCCAACCAGGCAGATCATCTGTTGATGAAAGAGGACGAGTTCTCAGTTATGTTGTTTTACTATGTTTCCACTCTGGAGCTCCACCAAGTATCTCAATGATGAGATCCCTCGGGTAAAGCTCTACGTACCACCGGAAACTGACGAGGCATGTCATAGAGCGCGACCTGATAGAAAATACTCTTCTCTGCGCTGGCGCTACGGTTGCCTTCCCACGAGCCAAAGAGCAGGAAATGATTCGCGAAAAAGAAGAAGAAAAAAAGCATATCGGTTTGGGCTAGATCTTCTGACTGGTGCGCGCAGAGGGCTGCCCCTATGAACACGCTGAATCGAAGCGTTCACGTATTGGAGGGACCGACGAATAATCCCAAAACAAGAATAGTGTTGATTAGCGAGTGGATCAAGCGTTGGCTGGGTTTGACGCAAGATAACGGTTCGAGACTCACCTTCGAGCTTGGCGAGGAGGGCGAGGATGGCGGAGACTTTCTCATCACGTGTAAGACTCAGAATGACTTTGGCTCTGCCACTTATGAAGTCGAAGTTGTATGTAGAAAGTGCCAGGGTCGTCGGGATCGGTCATCGATGCGGCGTTATTGCGGGGGTAGACCGTGGCGCCCCACTACGCATCTTCGAGCAAGGCTCCTCGCTTGTGCCTGCGGAATATCTACAGTGGAAAATTCCAGGGTCACTTAGCTTCTGCACATTCCAGGTTCTTCCCAGTATTAAACCTAGCAAACTTCCAGTTCATCTGAGCTTTGTCTCCAGCACTGTGAGCCACCCTTGCGTAATATTTCCGTAAGATGGAAGCAGATTTGGTAGTTCGGTAAAAAATCCCTGGACGCAGGTACCGTTGCGGGGTGGAAGTACGTTTTTCCATCAATGATCGTTTTCATCACGCTTTCCCCTCTCGCAAAGTCAGACTGGGTTATTCCGAGTCATTTCCAGACTCCCAAGAGCCTTCCCAACCCTTCCTTGGGTGCGTTATGATGGCATATGACGAGGAGGGTCGGCGCGGCGGCCCGAATTTTACCCTTCCTGCAAGTAGTTGCATGCCCGAATGAAAAAAAAAACAAGGGAGGTACCAGGGAGGAGTTCATATGTGACGCGCAGTTCCTGACTTCAGAAATTTCTCAAATCCTCTTTAAGACTTGACAGAAAGGAACAGGTAAGGCATGTTATCTCGCCAATTCCATGATGGACAACAACAATTGCAGTTCCAAGCTCGGTATCTTCTGCACTCTCCTCCTCTGGGTCAATGGCATTACAGGGGCAGCTACTGCCCCTCAGCAGGGCACGCAAGACTATTCCTACAAATTCAGCTCTGTGGCAATAACTGGCGGAGGGTATATAACCGGCATCGTCGCCCACCCAACGGAAAAGCACCTGATGTACACTCGTACCGACATTGGATCTTCATACCGCTGGGATGAGGCCAGCCAACAATGGATCGCCCTGACCGATTTCATCGCCCCCGAGAATGTCAATTGGCTCGGTACCGAAAGCATTGCGCTCGACCCACACGATCCCAATCGGTTGTACCTCGCACAAGGCCAGTACGTCACGGACACCCTACCAGCGGCGTTCTTCGTGTCAGACGACCGAGGCACAACCTTCGATATCTACGAGGCGCCATTCCCGATGGGCAGTAATGATCTGGGGAGAAATAACGGAGAGAGATTGGCTGTTAATCCTTTTAACACGAACGAGTTGTGGATGGGGACGCGAACTGAGGGTTTGTGGAAGAGTACGGATCGGGCGAAGACCTGGACCAATATCACGAACTACCCTGATGCAGCTGGGAACGGAATTGGCATCGTGTTTGTGATTTTTGATCCGAAGAATAGCGGCACAGTCTACGTTGGAGCCAATGTTCCCAATGGACTGTATTACACGAAAGACCATGGCGCGACATGGCACTCGATTCCCGGACAACCTACGGCTTGGGATCCAGAATTGCTATATGCAGGCCATACACCAGCCAGTACGGCCCCAATGCCCATGCGAGCGATCTTAGCCTCTAATGGGATTTTGTACGTAACATTTGCGGATTTCCCAGGTCCTTATGCATCAATTATGGTGTGTTCTTGAAATTCAACACCAAGACTTCTGTTTGGAGGGATATCACGCCTGGAACGAATAACACTTACCCCGCGCCTTACAAGCCACAAGCTTGGCTCCCGGGAGGGTTCTGTGGCATAAGCGTCGATTCGAAAGATCCGAATACATTGGTGGTCGTCACGCTTGATCGCGATCCGGGCCCAGCACTAGACAGCATGTACTATTCACATGATGGAGGGGAGACCTACAAGGACGTGTCGCAACTCTCGACTCCACCTGTAAGTGGTGGGTATTGGGGACACCCGGTTGCTGAAGCTGCACTGAAGGATGGCACTCCTGTACCGTGGCTCAGTTTCAACTGGAACTCGGAATGGGGAGGTTATGGAGCTCCCTCTCCAATTGTTGGCTTAACCAAATTCGGCTGGTGGATGTCTTCTGTTCTCATCTATCCATGGGATTCACACCATGTCATGTATGGGACGGGAGCGACTATCTGGGCTACTGACGAACTTTATAAAGTAGACTCGAACAAGGCTCCGCAGTGGTATATCCAAGCACAAGGAATCGAAGAGACTGCTGTTCTAGCCCTGATGAGTCCTACCGACGGAGCACATCTCTTCAGTGGTTTAGGAGACATCATGGGAATGCGCCATGCTGATCTCGATCTCCCACAACCCATGTATGAGAAGCCAGTGTTCTCTAATCTCAACAGTCTCGATTACGCAGGCCAACATCCCAACGTCGTCGTTCGCGTGGGTGACAGTGGAGTTTCGTATCCTAACGGTTGTGGATCTGGTCTTTATTCGAAGGATAACGGAATATCATGGACCATGTTTCCCACATGCGTGCCAGGAGTTGGCAATCAAACCAATTTCGTGGGCCTCATCGCCCTTGATGCTTCGGCGCAGTCCTTCGTCTGGGCCTCCGAACTCACAGCAGCGCCATACAACGAGACTGGTCCTTATTCCACGCAAGATTATGGCGCGACTTGGGTCGCGCCGACTGGGCTGACTGTCATGACGGGAAATTTATCTGCAGATAGAGTTCAACCGAAGACCTTCTATGCTTTCAACGATGGGATCTTCTATATCAGTAAAGATGGCGGCCTATCATACAAATCTACTCCTGCATCCCAAACCGGTCTCCCAGCCGGCGCTGGCGCCGTTCCTGTCTGCAATTTTGACACTGCGGGCGAGCTCTGGCTGCCACTCGGTACGTCCGGCCTTTGGCACTCAACCAACTTCGGCGCTTCCTGGACACAGATCGGACCCAAAAGCCTCGTCGCCACATATTTCTCGATCGGAAAATCAGCTCCGGGAAGACTGCATCCTGCCCTGTTTCTCTGGGGTCAAGTTTCGGCGGGTGGAGCAGAGGCAATATTTCGGAGTGACGATGCTGGCGTGACGTGGGCGAGGATTAATGATGATGCTCATCAGTATGGGGGCGCGGCCATTATCCAAGGAGATCCAAGGGTCTACGGACGGGTTTATATGGGGATGTTTGGGAGGGGCATTATCTATGCTGATATTGCGGGCGGCGGTAGGGATCCAGTTTAAGGGATGATTTGCCTTACCGACAAATGCCAACGAGGCTTCGCACACCGTTCCCTGAATCGCTGAATAATTGGACCTTTCCGGTGTGATCGACAAAAGGCGCCCGCCCCAAATTCATTATAGAACCACGCGAATGAGGTGGCCAAGCTGTTGCTGTAGGAGCGCCTTCCTGTTCCCATGTAGATTGCCAATACAAAGTCATTTGTCTGATGATCCCCGTCTGCTTACTGGTTCTGCTGGTATATATAAACAAACAAAAACATAGGAGGGCTAGGCTCGCTTAGACTGCCTAGTTCAGGTAAGGCAAAGAAAGACCCCTATTTTTGCCAAGGGCTTGGAAGGTGGGGAACAGCCAACCCGCATCCTCCAGCAAGGCTTGGCTCCGGGGAAGGATATTTCGAACTGCTTCTTGGCAGATAAGCAACATCGAAGCTCGCAATTGTCGACCTGCGTCATCTGTGAAATGCTTGAACACAGCAAATCGCATCAACTAATTTGATGGCCACGTCTCTGGCCGAATCCCGGCTATTTATGGAACCGCACGAGTCAATCCCTGCTGAGGGGTAAGCGACGTCATACTGAAAACCCAGTATTACTGTATCTCATCCCCTCTGGCTGCAACATCTCACACAGCGCCAGGCCGACTACCTTCTCCAAATATTGCCAATCGCTTTCACGATCACGATGGTGTCCGAGAATGTTCTCCAGCTCTGTCAAGCAACAGAGACAGTCAGCTCTGTCCTTGCGAAGGATCCAACCAAGGCTCCCGGAGACGTCGTCAAGAAGCTCTACGGACACCACAAGAAGATCTTCAACCGTGAGCCCGAGAAGGATCGAGGAGCTACATCTGCTCGATTGCAGGAGCAGGCGCTCAAATGCGGTCGCTGGGGCCCGACGCAACCAAGCCCTCTCTTCTTGCAGGCCTATGCCGATGCACTGATCTGCTTGGACGCTGACCCCATGGCCGGGGTGGTCTCTCCTCCTTTGATGGGCTCTCATGGAACTGTGCCTCTTACCGTTATTGGCCCATTGGCAGATATCATTCGACACTGTTCGAACATGATTGTGCGCGCTGAGCGTGAGATCTTTTTCATCACGTGTTCTTGGTCGCCGTCAGTCGCACAGAGACTCATCAAGGATGCCTTGATCGAACTTTCAAGGAGAGCTGGAGAGAGGGGACAGAGAGTAGTGGTCAAGATGATGTACGATAAGGCCGCAGCTGCGAACATCATTGACGCGCATCAGCTTGTGAAGCCAGCGGCATACTCAGGCGAGAAGATCCAACTCCCAAAGCCGGAAGAAATACCAAATATCGATCTGGAGATTATCAGTCTTCACAAATTGGTGTTGGGAACGCTGCATGCCAAGTTCTGTGTCGTAGATCGCAAGGTGGCGGCGATCATGAGCAACAATATGGAGGACAACGACAATGTCGAGATGATGATCCATGTGGAGGGGCCGATTGTGGATAGTATCTACGACACGGCGCTCATCACCTGGAACAACCACCTCAACCCGCCTCTTCCTTCCCATGCCACACCGGCAACTGAAGGCGGTCTGCCCACTTCCGATCAAACGCCCATATACTTGGACCGCGGCCCGGCACGAGAACAACACGAAATCGCGGCTGAAGGACAAGCAGTGCGTCTTCCAGAGCACATGCCCGGGGACCCTCACTGGGACACCGATATCAACCAAGAGATCACACGCATGCAATCCGCCTACTCCATAAAACCTAACGAATCCCACCTCCAAGCCGCAAACCGCCAACTGAACCTCGCCTGCAAGCACCCCATCCCCCCATCCGGACCGGAGATTCCTCAGGGCGAGGAAATGACCCCCTACATCTCCTCCATGACAGCTACACCTGTGCCAATGGCTCTTGTCTCGCGGCCCCCCTACGGTCCCCCAAACATGCACAACGTCTACGTGCCCCAGAACGAAGCCTGGCTCTCCTGCATCCGCAACGCAACACGCACAGTCTTCATCCAAACACCTGACCTCAACGCCGCGCCACTCATCCCTGCGCTCGCTGCGGCGCTGAAGCGTGGGATACGGGTCACGTATTATATCTGCTTTGGGTATAACGACGCAGGGGAGATCATCCCGGGGCAAGGCGGGACCAACGATCAGGCTGCTCAGGCGCTCGTGAAGTCCATCACTGAGGAAGAACGCGAGCTTCTTCATATCTGCTATTACGTTGGCAAAGACCAAGATCATCCTATTCATCAGAGCTTCAAGCAAAGGAGTTGTCATATCAAATTGCTGATTGTGGACGAGCATGTCGGTATCCAGGGCAGTGGGAACCAGGATACGCAAAGTTGGTACCATAGTCAGGAACTCAATGTTATGCTTGACAGTGAGGAGATTTGTCGGAAGTGGAGGGAGGGCATTGAGCGGAATCAGAATACGGAGAGGTTTGGGGTTGCTGCGAAGGATGGGGTTTGGAGGGATGGGGATGGAAATCCCGGGGCTGGGTATATGGGAAACCCCGGGAAAGTGGAGGGGCTTTTTAAGGGGGTGGGCGGGATGCTGAAGAAGATGAGGGATAAGGGGGGCTTTTAGGATTGAGGGGTGGGCATGGGAGCTGATTGTTTACGAAGTAGTACACGGCGATGCAGGATGGTGCTGGATCTATTGAGGTTATTTTGGGAAAAGATATCCAGTGTTAGAATATTGGGAAACGAGCAATTGAATGAGAATACAGAAGTCACCTGTACTTAAGTCGTGAAAAGGAAAACATTGTTCCAGGCTCAGAATATGGGACACAAAATGATCACGTGATACTTTCATATCTTTCTGCACTTACATGCCTTTCTTATTAAGGATGGGAACGCATTGTATATCACAATTAGCCTTGATCCAACCGTTGGGCATAATAGGCCAAGTTTTCAGTATTCACTTGAGATGGAGATGGTGTGTCTGCTCTTGGCAGAGCACTAACCGAGCAGCTGCAGGTGCCCAGCCCCGCACACACATATCTCTACTTCTTCTTCAATGCTCTCTAAGAGCAAGGCTGCAACTATGAACAACTCCTCTAGGTAACGCATGTCACCAGCTTAATATGCTTTAAACGAGCGCTCAGGCCATCGACTTTCGAAGCCAGGCTGTCAGAGTCTCGTGGGCAGACCAGATGCCCGCTGCAGCTGGGTAGGCACCCTTGTGGCTCGCCCCTGAAGATGGTTGAAAACTTCGTCGGCAGCGACCAGCTCGTGTCACCTCCACAGAAGAAACCAAGTAAGCTTCGTTTGCCCCCAAAATCGGAGACTATGAAAGCTAATTCAGCCCACGAGGATCCCCCCCAAAGCCAGTCCGTAGATTAGAGAAGCCCTCCTCTTCTTACTCCAACATCTCACCCTGCATCTGCAGAGAACTGCACTACCAATGCAATCCCGTATCATGTCCTCAAGCTCGCTTCTGCCAGCCAGCGTATGATGCTTTGAGGAAGGAAGAACGGTTTCAGATCTATTTCGATATTTCTGTGGAGGAATTGGCAAGGACGACGGGAGAGGGATGTAGTGTGTGTGGTGTTTTTTATGAGGGGTTTCAAAAGCATGTTGAGAAGTTTGATGTGGAGGGGATATTGGGATTGAGAGAGGAAGAAGGAGAAGGAGGCTTAGAGGAGCGGGATGTATTTTTAAGGGTGCCGCTGGGGAGTAACTATCGCTTTTCTTTTGACGTTGGAAAAGAGAGGAGGGGGGAGATCAGACCGAGTATCGGGCCATTGGAGTTCTTTAAACCACAAGTTTCAGGTACGTTACGTCTTTCTTGTGATCTTTGAAAGCTTCATCTGATCAAGAGGAGCGTAGAATGGTCCGACTCATGCCGTGTCTTCGAACCCGCTGGATACGTTTCTCCGTCCACGAGCTCATATCACACCTTTGAAAACATTCATCACTGGATCGATACGTGCCGTAGGGAGCATCCCATGTGTCCCGGCTTAAAGCTAAAACCAAACGAACTACCTAGCCTGCTTGTTGACGTTGGACCACATAGCGATGGTGCCCATTGCAAACTTCGTGAGACGAGAGGGCAGAAAGGACATTACCTTACTCTCAGCCATTGCTGGGGCAAAACCAAGATGTTCCGTACCACCACTGCAACACTCGAAGCTAGGAAATTGGCGATCAGTTTAGAGGGGCTGTCCCAGACGTTTCGAGATGCTTGCTCATCACGCGCCGGTTGGGCTTCCGATATCTCTGGATTGACAGTTTGTGTATCATATAAGATGATCCGAGGGACTGGGAAGCCGAATCGGCAAAGATGTGCTCAATATACGAGCTTTCATTCCTGATGATATCAGCTGCTCACGGATCAGATGGAGAAGCTGGCTGTTTTGTAGAAATGGCCGAGGACCAACAGTCCTACGAGATCCCTGGAGTTTCTGGCGGTGGCAAGTCAGGTATCTCCATTCGACGGCAAAAAGGACATCGGGACTTCGACGGTGAAGGGATGTACGATCATGCTTTATTCAAGAGGGCGTGGACGTTCCAGGAACGTTTACTGGCACCAAGAATCATCCACTTCATGAAGAACGAGTGTGTGTGGGAATGCTCAAGTGCGATTTGGTGTGAGTGCGGGTCTATGTCCGTTGTTCGACCGAATATCAAACTATCGACTGCGGTGGCGTTACTCGAGAGCAAAGAGGTCACTGCGCAGAGGCTGGGCACGGAATGGCATTGGCTGGTTGAGAATTACTGTTCGGCGGATATCACGAGAGAGAGAGTGACAAGCTCCCCGCTCTGTCCGGTCTTGCGCAGGCATTTTCTCGCGCAAATGTACTAGGCAAGTATATAGCGGGTCTTTGGACGAATGATCTTCCCGATGGCTTGCTTTGGATGGCTGACGAAGATGCGATGAGGTCTGAACAGTATCGCGCGCCGAATTGGTCGTGGGCTTCCCTGGTTTCAGGTGGGATTACTTATCCTAGCTACAAAGACGAAGGGTGGGAAGAGCGAAGAAATTTTCGCTCTATTATCAAGGAATCTAGCGTGAGGATACTGGAAGCGAAGTGTGATCTTCCGGTTGGAGGGACTGATGTCACTGGTGCAGTCGCAGGCGGGCATATCGTGCTCTTGGGACTGCTCGTTGAAGTGACGCTGGAAATCGTTGACGACGGCGAGGGGGTTGATTTGGCAGGTGGTGACGTCGAGTTTAGCGTGAGCAGGGAGGGCATGACTGAGTATGTCAGGCTCGATGATCCGTTTGGAGATGAGCTGCTGGAGACGCAGAGTGTGCATTGTCTCCTAGTTGGAAGGAGCTGGACTGATGAGCTGTGTGTGTTGGTGTTGAGGAGAGAGGATGAAGATGTTTATAAGAGGGTTGGACATAGTATCTGCAATTGGCAGCTTGGCGATGGAGGAGGGTTTGGAAAGGAGTTCTTTGAGGATAAGCAGCCCTGTGTGATACGGATTATTTGATGGAAAGTGATTGGCGTAAAGCTTGAATTTAAGACGACTCGGGAAATAGTAGAGTTTTGGTGACAGGTGAGGAAGTGCGCGGGGGAAATATGATCGTGACTTCTCTCTTCATTTCTGATTCGGAGCAAGAGCATCGCTTCCTACTGAAAGTACCTCGTGTGGACGGGGCCATGTGGAGATTGAGAGGGATTGGAGGGATTGGAGGGATTGGAGGGATTGGAGGGATTGGAGGGATTGGAGGGATTTCTGAGAATAGCACGATAGATTATGAGAGGGGGAGTTGGAGTTTAGATGGTATCTGCATATCAATCCATTGTATACGCTGTAATGCGACATGATAGGGAGTGTTGATGGTGAACGTGTTGTGGAGGGCGTGAGTGCAAGATGGAACTTGGCGACTCATGGGGTGTGGAAGTGCCACGTGTGTAGAGGATGAGGGGTTGCACTCGGCTATTATCAGGAGAGGGTGAATGCATGAGAGTGGTATCGCGGGAGGAAGCCAAAATACTAGCTATCCACCTCGATTGAAGGAAAAGGATTTAATTCAGTCCTTTGGATCTTGAGTGGACCAGTGGCAATTGACCAAATTGTGCGTTCGTGACGATCGTTGTGTAACTTGTGGTGGGGCTGCCTCTGCGCTGTGGCTGAATAAGACATTAATGACGGCAGTGTCATGTGAGGAGGTCAAAATACGAAGTAATTCATATTGACACCTATTTCTCCAATCGTAGATGTTGCAATCGTGAGGGCTTGCAGTCGACAAGTTACCGTTTGCGAAATCGCACATGCATGAATAACAGTTGCTGTAGGGCTGTCTCTTCGCTCGCTAAATTCAAGGGGGATTGGTGGGGTCATACGAGGGAGACCAAAATAGCACCTGCCGACCTCGAGTCAGAAACAGAATGTAAGTTATTTATTGCAGCCGAGAGAATCTGAAGTCGAGAAGTCACGTTCAGTCAAATTGCACGTGCGAAAAAGGATGGCTTGGTGGGGTTGATACACCGGCGGCGGCTAGCTTAAGGGGGAGGGGTAGCAATGAGTGGCAGTGGTGTTTGAGGTAGGCGGGGTCGCTGAGCGCACCAATAATAGGCTACCTAGAAATAAATGCTTGCTGCATTTACCGATGGTTTCATCGAAGCGCTAGCTCGTGGTTGGCCAGGTGGAGGAGATTCGTGTGCATCTGGGCTGAGGTGAGCATAGCCTGAACTGGGCCAGGGATGGAGGGAGGGGCAATACAAGGAGCAGTTAAGTCATGAAGGATGAGGGAGTGACACAATGTGTCCGACTGTGCCGGAGGGCTGGCTGAAAAAGCCAGATCGCCGGGATGTCCGGTAAGCTGCCTGGTGGAAAAGGAAGTGTTGGTCGGACATTGGGGAAGGGCTAATCAGCGTCTGTGCAGTTGCTTCTTCGTTATCTAAAGTATTTAGGAGTTCGGACCTGCCCCCGAACTATCTATGCTTTTGACACCTTTGTTTCGGCCGTCACACCACACTGTAGGATCTTTATTGGGATTTATTTGCGATTATTCTTCACGATTAGGACCCCTGGAGGGATTATTTGGAGTTCAAGCTACATTCAAAGATCTTCACGATGACTTTGGGGAAAGGGAAGGAGACGGATGGTTCCGGAGCTGCCGTGCAGGGTGCGGATAAAAAGGAACGGCCCTCTGATGCCAAGTTTGCCTCAGAGGAGATCAAGGATAAGAAGAAGGGAGTTGAATTTGAGGCCGATGGGGAACTACATCTTCGGGGAGGGGCTGGACGGGCTAGTACTCGATATACAAGTACAACAATACGAAAGGGTCCAAGGACTAGGGCCAGTACAGGGTCATCCCAGAGTCGCCAAAGTTATGTGAGCTATGGCGGTAGAAGCAAGTCTGACAGTTATGCAAGTTATGGGAGTGGGCAGGAGAAAAAATACCGGAAGTCCTATACTGCAAAGCCAAGGTATCAGATGATGTGTTGTGCTTTTATGTGATTGAGGAATCACGACTGGTGGGAGAGAAGAGGAGGTTGTATGATTTGGAGTCTTTAAGGGCATACACTTTGTGAATTATTTGGGGCTTGGCGTTGTATGGGGAGGATTCGAAGTGTGTCACATCATTCGTACGACGGTATGTCAAATTTGGTGATTGTTTTACTACTACACTGGCGACTTGGAGTTCACATTTAACTTGTTCGTCCTTCCTACTCTTGGGGCTCTTTCGTGAACTCAAGCTTGCACCAGCACCCGAAAGCTTTCCAACGGCAGGACGCAACTTGAAGCAACCGAAAGTTTTACTCTTCAGTCCTTACAGCACAATATGCCTCGAGATGGATATCCCATGCAATTTATTTAGGGGTCTGGTCCCGGACATCACGGGCACCAGCGAAGAAGTCGAGAAAATCGTGGAAACGATTGGCATTGGGGAAATGGTCGTGATCAAGGACAACGCAGACCAGACCGAGGGCATAGGACCGATGAGATCGGAGGTGGGGGGTTTGGACAACCTAGACCAGGTCGAACGCACAGGAGTGTTCGATTCAGAAGTGGAGGGTATGGGAGTGATAGCGACAGCTCGTGCAGTCGGGAAAAGGGATGTTGTGCCATGATGTGATGGGAGATGATGCTTGGTAGTTCTCCAGAGATATATACCTGAATCAAATAAATATGATTTATCGACTCTCAAAGTGAGTTTCGTTCAGTGCTGTGCGAACCGGCGGAAGAATGAATGGTTAGAGTTCGAATTCACGAATCACATAATCTAGTGCCGCTCCCCTATCTCCATAATTTTTTCATTTCCCTCTTCGTCGTCCTTTAACACTCAGCTTCTCTTCGAGCTATCAAGTTTATCCCAAATCTCCCTGGACCCCGAGGAATCCACAAACCATTTATCAAGTATCCCTAAAATGACGGTTGAGATGAGAAGAAAAGCTTCCGGAGAGACTGAGTCAAGTTCTAGTCAGTGTGTGGCTGCCCCAAGAAGTCCATCGTTTGAAGATGAAGTACCCAAAGATAGGCCCCCACAATCTAATGCATGAGCCTCAGATTACATTTACTCATAGTCCATCGAAGCTTACTTAAAAGCACGATGGTAACCTCACCGTAGCGGCTACACAAATTACACTAGGAAGGAAAAAGACAAGGCAATTATTCGAGGCTTTGAGGCTTTGAAGAAGGAAGCGGGCAGGGTATAAGTGCTCATATCGACCTTGCCATGGAATACGCAGGCTGGGATGGAGGTCTGAGCGGACAAGCTCAGAATTGATGTGAGTTCGGGCAGGAATTATTGGCAGCATGAGTCACTTTGGGAACAATGTTCTTGAGCGTAGTATATTGGAGGGAAATGCAACTTACTAATGGTCTATAGTTTACTACTGGGACATTTAACAAGAACCAAGGGGGGGGGTTGAATATATCTCTGGCTATCTGCTAACTAGAAACTCATCGTATTTCCTTCACCTCCGATATGCCCATCCGGTATCACAAATATACCCCTTGCCTACATGAGCGCGCATTTCTTGTCACTCTTTTTCTCCTTCCTCTCATGCTGAGCTTGCTTCGCTGCTTTGTCTCCCTCCTTCTTAGCAGCCTTCTTCCTCTTCTCCATTTTCTCTCCAACTTCGGGATCCAAGGGAGGAAGTCCCTGGGCGTTCTTATATCTTGGAGTATTCGCCATTTCTTGGCTCATTCTGAGACCACCCTTCTTCGGATCTCTCTCGCCTTTACGACGCACCTGGCCGTGTATACCAGCTTGTTCTCCCGATTAGTTATAGAATGTACATAAAGCCCACTACGCATTTTAAAGAGAGTGGGAGAGGAAACTACTTACTGTTATCTCGTCGCCACTTCGCAGGGCCAGGTCCATCTTTGGCACTCCAGATTCCTGGTAATGGACCCCGCTTTCCGTTTTTCTTCTTCTTCTCTGCTGGAAATGGATCTACAAGCGAGGTGGACGACATGTTTGTTTGTCCAGTTGACGGGGGTTTTGGTCCTGACGATGTAAGTTTCTTAGGAGTGAAACAACGTTTTCGAGGGGGTTTTCGGATTTAGACTGAATTTGTTATATAAAGCTGAGACACATTGTGGTTGATTGTATTTGAGGAAATATGTCATACGGATACAAAGTGGTAGAGTCATTACTGTCGAACTGGAAAGCGAGGGTGTTGTGAATGGGCTTTGTACTTTGGTTCGAGATATCAGATGCTCTGTAATATTATTATGTGCTTGCATCGCACCTCTATCTTCAGAGAATGAAAGCTCGAGATAATGCATTAATGCTTTGTTTAAGTGAGGAAGTTGTCCTTTTATCTTTTTATAAAAAAATTCAATTTTATATAGCAAACCATGAGACTTGGCAATGTCACTTATGAGATTCAAGGAACTGTCAAATGCCCAACGCAAACAGATAAACAAATGTAGTCACAGAGTTGTAAAATTTAAATCACACTGAATTCGGGCTCTTGTGGTAGTATAATAGGTAAAGCCGGAGCAATAGAAAACCATGTAATATCCAAATCAAACAGTCTTACCAATGTTTGTAGCATATGCTGGCGAGCGCCTCGGCGAGATATTGCGAGTCTAGCTTGGTGTTCCCGAGTTTCGCTTCCGATGATTGTCTCTATCTCTTTCTTCATCCCGCCCTTCCCAAGGTCTCTTCTCTGGGTTATCTTCACCAAGGCAGCACTTCATCGCGACCGAGATCCACAAATTCCTGGCTGGGCACCCTCAATTCGCCTAATTTTTCTTTTGGCTTGGGGTTGAACAGTTTTTTGGCTGAGGCTGAAAACTTGGAGATAGCCCCTCGGATTGGATCTCCAGTGAGACTGGTGCTCCTCCTCCGGTCTACAACTCTCAGATTTCCACTTGATGTTCTCCTCACAACACGTGAGTCGTGATGATTATCATACTCGTCATTGTCATTGGGGTTGGCGCGAATAGAGCGCCGAAGAGCGAGAGTTCGGGCGGCCCTCCGTGTTTGTTCCTGGATTGGTCGAATGGCGAACGCTTTCAGCTTCCGAATGAAACTTCGTTTCGGCGGTGTTTCAATCATTGAGTACCGACTGAATTCGCTGTCATCATCGATATCTTCAACATCTACGAGATCATCCCAGAAATCCGCAGGTCTCCAGAGTGGATGCAATTGACTTTCATCAGCTGGGCGATCAAGAACGGATGGAAGGATTGTTGACAGATTATCGGTATCTTTCAAGGTCTGCTGTTGTCCTGGAATCTCCGCCGAGGGCTTTTTGAACCCTGAATCTAACTTGGAAGCTCTGGAGACAGCAGGCTTACTCGAGGTTGCCGAGCCATCACCCACGATCTGGTCTAAGCTCAAGACTGGTCCGAGATCACCAAAAGTTGATACGATCCTTTTGCTAGCCGTTGATCCTGTTTCGGATGTGACACTGAGTTTGTAATCTTCGGTGGTAGCGAATTTAAATTTGTTCCCGAAGCGTTCGTTAATGTCTTGTTGCGTGTGATACGCAGGGACAATATAAGCAAAGCCAGTCCCAATATTCCCTGCCACAATGTGTCCGTATACATTCCCGTTGGATGGGTCGACAACTAAAGAGCCACAATCCCCCTGTTCTATTGAAAAAATATTAGAGTCCCGATTCCATAGGCACGGGAAGACTGTCAGGGGGAGGTTGTACCTATATTGCCATCAAGTTGGACAGTCCAGATTTCACACATCTTTGAGGATCCTGGCAGTCTCACTGAAACAGCCGTGCCGAATATAGTTCCTGTGAGAGAGTCTCGTTCTAGGAGCGCCAATACAGGAGACCTAGAAGTTGGAAGTGTCTCAACAAGCCCGCTAATTTGAACTTGTCTATTCTCATGCTGGGCGAAGTCGCCCATTGAGAATGTGTTGACTGATAGAAATCCATCGTGTCGGATCTCGATCAAAGCCCAGTCCAAACCCAATGAGTCGTTCACTATGGATGTAAAAGCTGTCGTTCCAAGGAGGGGGGCAAATATGTCAAGATCTTGCCGTGGCACAGTTGCCACACCTTTCCCCTTCTCATTCCGTGTTTGTGGCTTTCCAGGTTCTTCTTGACTCGTAGCAGGAGATGATGATAGGCTAGTAACATTCCTGCCCATCTGTGAAGGCCCATTCCCCAATACGAGCGGTTTACCAATCGGCCCCCCGATTGCCTAATCGGGTAGGCCCATTTACTAATAGGGGGTTGGATACGATTCGGGACCCACAGTGGGTCCCGATTTAATAATCGCATAATATTAGGGTCTCGGCCTTAAGGGAGGCTGAAACTAATAAATCTACTAGTATACCCTAAATATATCTTTACCCCTATATGCCCCCTTTTACTTTGGAATTACTATTTATGCCATAGTATGGCCTTATTAAAAGTATATCCTCAATTCTCATTTCTTTATATTATTATATCTTACTTATTTATACTATATCCTATAGTATTATAGGCTTTATTTTAGGAGTTCTAAGCATTAATGGAAGCTAAAGTATATGCTAGAAAAGAAGTAGAAGTATATATTAGGGGCTATTTGCTCTATAATTTATATACTTTACTAACCCTTTTACTAACTTATTATACTTCTTCTTAATTTACTTATTATATCTCTTAATCTACTTTATTAATATGTCTCTCTTAACCCTTTATTCCTCTCTATCTTTACGTATACTACGCCAGTGTGTTTATGGCCGTATAGAATAATATTTTAATATTACTATTCCAGGAGCACGTGCTTTAGGTACCTAATTCTTGCCTTCCCCTATTGCTATTAAGCCTACTAATAATTAGTCCGCTAAAGATGAGATTGTATGGGATAAGAGACTTACTAAGGGGGATAGTAAGAAGATTCTTACTGCTCTTAAATAATACGAGATCAGGTAGTGGCTAAAGAACCCCGATATAGTTTCTTTTAGTAAAACCAAGGCAGAGAGAAAACACTAGTCTAATATAAAGCTTGAGTCTAAGAAGTACGAGCTTTAAGATAGCCAGGTATATTACAAGAAGTACTATAATACTCGCCTTGGGGAGATTATACCGGCAACTTATATTATTTGCTATAATAATGCCTTTGAGATCCTTACTACTATATACGAGAAGTTAATGTATACAGGTAAACTACCTATTCCCTCTCCCCTCCCCTCCCAATCTTAGGCTAATTTTACTATAGGCTTTAATACTATATTTAATTACTAATATAAGCTTTATTATGGCCCCTCCAGGGATAATAATACCTAGATATCTTTATATTATATATACTATAATAAATAATAGATTTAAAGGAGCAATATTATAATAAAGCCGATTTACTCTTATTATCCTGGATAGCGTATGGTACTAGATTTAATAGATTTTCATATAAGTGTATTTTTAGTTATATAATTACCTCCAAGTCATATGCTTTACCCCTATTTTTTTAGCCTTTCTTGCATTTCTTATATTTCTTGCATTTTTGAGCTTTTCCTATAATTTTTACGATTTTTGCGATTTTCGCGATTTTATTAATTTTCCATCCATACCATTTACTAATATATTATTATAGTATAATCCAGACAGAGAATATATATGGATTTAGTAATTGAAATGCCACTTTTCCAAGTTTGTCTGGATCCGGGGGCTCAAGGCTAAGTCTGCGGACGAAGCTACTAACGAGCTTATTAAATAGCTAAATAATAATGGGTATATTACTATTCTAGCCTGTAATAATGGGGGTGAGTTTAAGGGAAAAGTAATTGAGGTTTATAAGAAGAGAGGAATAAAGATTATACGGGGATGGGCTTACTATCCCCAATTGCAAGGCTCTATTGAGATTGCTAATCGTATCTTTAAGAGACGATTACGAGCTATACGTGCAGATACTGGTATATAATCCTGGATGTAATTACTTCCTTTAATTATATGGATAATTAATACCACGTTAAGCTCTGCTTTACCTAGGGGTAGTATATTATACGAGGTATGGTTTGGAAGGCAACTACCGGCTGATTTCCAGGAGTATAAGACACGTGCTATTTTAGGGGGAAATTCTGAGGGATCAGGAGAGAGATTAGGAAAGGGATTAGGAGAGGAAGATATAGAGGAAGGCTTATTTATTAATGAGGATATTGAAGTTAAACAGGAGCAGGAGGAGATGATTTTATCTGAACTAACTAAGAGGGTTGCGGAGCATGTGAGGAAACAGAAGGAGAATATGGTAAAGAGAGCTAGTACGAAGGCTCTGGAGTATGAAGCTTAAGAAATCGCTACCTTATAGATCCCAAAGCAATATCGCTTTGGTACTAAATCTGTAAGGATTCTAGTCAGAGTCTTGGAAAAAATAGCAAAGGTACGTAATTTACTTGAAGATATATTATTACTTGAGCTAACTATATTTAGGGGTATTACTTAGTAACTAAGCATGGCGAACTTACTACTCTCTGGCTAGCTAGTACCCTTAATAAGATTGCTTCTCAAGTAACTTATAAACTTCCAATAGAAGGGGCAGCTCTCAAAAAAGCTAGAATTACCCTACCCAAAGCAATTACACTGGAAAATAATCGTGGTTCGATTGCATTAGTTTAAAAGGCAGGGAGGGCATCTGAGAGAGTAAAGAAGAGAGTAGCGATTAAAGAGCCACGTGAGGATGGGGCTAGTATAGAGGAATTAGCTGATTACCAAGTCAAAAGGGGGGCAAAAAGAGCTAGGGGAGCTAAAGTAGCCCCTAAACGCAATGTAAGAGCAAGAAAGTAAGGAGGGTAAAAGAGGGGGAAAGGGGGGGGAATATGGAATATACTAATATATCTTCAATTTTCATAAAAGCCGAAACCGAAATATTTCCCGATTAGGCAATTGGCCTCCCGATTAACCAATGGGAGTAAACGATTGGGCAATCGGCCTCCCCATCTCGTATTCCCCTCCCATTAACTAATCGTAGTGCGCGATTGGTTAATGGGGACGCCCAGGCTCGGCAACGATTACTGAGTAATTAATTAGCAATCGATTATGTACACTATTAATTAGCTATCGATTATAATCGATTGGTAATCGATTACTAAACGATTATTCCACCGCTTTTACCCCGCATCCCCCCATTTTTTTCTTCTCTCTCTCTCTCTTCTTCTCTCTATTTTCCCTACCTCGCATACTAATTTTTTCCAAAGATATTATTAAAATATCTTCTTTACTTAAACCAGATTCGTTATTTGTGCGATTAGTTTTAGTAGATTCCACTCCAAGTACTCTAGATATATCAAAGTTAAGAGCACCTTATTGGGAATTTTGTCATATTCCTACTCTAGATAATCTTAAGCAAGACATTCTTTATTATACCCTTTATAAAACTAAACCATATAGTATACGAATATCAAGAAATATAGGGGATTATTTGAGCCGCCACTACCAAATTATAATATTAAAGGCTAAAAGTAAGAGCCAAATTACTATAAACCAGTAACTCAAATAACTCTGGTATAAAGCTCAAGCTAAGGAGGGAAATAGGATTAAGGAGTTTAATAATAAGGTCCTTAGAGCTTGCCTTAATATAGTAGTTATTACTAAAGCTCTAATCTCCCTAATTATTATACGGAATCTGTCTTTTACTCTTATTAAATGGCCGGAATTTCATACCTTTTACCAAGTCCTAAATCGAGCTTATAAAGGCAAGATTATAATCTCTTACTCTAGAGTTTATAATAAAATTAAAAAAGCTTGGGAAAAGCATAAGATTATTATATAAAAAACCCTTTAATTAGTAGTCTTACTTATCTATATTTCACTTGATATTTGGACCTCCCCAAATCAATTACTTTTTCTAGTAGTTTATATATACTTTACTATATATGATTATAAAAGGCAAAAAGCTCTTCTTACTTTCTAGAGAATACCTGGCCATAGTAGAGAGAACTAGTTCTCTATTCTTTGCCCTATTCTTAAGAATTACGGCATTATACGAAAGCTTGGGGCTATTATTACTAATAATACTTCCTTAAATAATATTCTTTATTAATATATTCAAGCCTTCTTAGTAAAGTTATATAATAGAGAGTAAAATATAGAGAAATAGCAAGTTTGCTATATTAGTCATATTATTAATCTTATTATTTAAGCCTTCCTATTTATGGATATAATTAGAGCAGAAGAGCTTGAATTATATAATAGCCAGGAGAAGACTAGAGAGCTTGCGGATAAGGAAGTAATTAGGGCCAAGTTTAGGCTCTTGGAACTACTTGGCCAAATATATAATATTATTATTTATATTCGTAGATTACCAGGCCATACGGCAGCCTTTAAAGCTCTTGCAAAAAGGCTAATTCCAATAAATAATTAAATAAAGTAAAATAGCTAGTATAATATACTTTTTATATTTCTCAATTTGAGGCCTATAGTAGAAAAGTATTACCAGAACTACGAGGAAGAGCTAGAACTAGATCTTTTAAGCCACCAAGACTAGAAAAAGCTTTATATAATTAAGGAATTCCTTAGTTCCTTCTTATAAGCTACTTTTACTATAGAGGAAGATTCCATATCTATTAATACTATACTCTTTATAATAAATATTTTAACTAAATACTTATAAGAAATAACTATAAGCTTATCCCTTTTCCTTTCTCTCTCTTCTTTCTTCCTTATCTTTACTTAATTAACTTTTATAGGCTAAGTATAAAAAGAAAAAGAATAAAAAGAGCCAAGATTTCCTTTAATACCTAAATATCGTATATATAGTACTTAATAAGTACTATATAAAGACAGATATGTCTCCTATTTATACTATCGCTTTAATTCTGAACCCTATATACCGTATGAGATATATTAAAACGTACTGGCCAAAGAAGTAGATAAAGCCAGTTCTACTAAGGGTAAAAAAGCTCTGGGAAAGATATCGGGACAAGGGGCCACAAGCTCTAATTATTCCAACTACTAGCTCTTCTCAGGAGCCAGAAGCACTCGATACTTATAATCAGCTTGCCTTAGCCCTTTAATCAGCTACTAGGCCAGTAAGTGGGGACGAATATATGGACTTTAATATAGAGGAATTATATAATCCTGGTAAAAAGAAGGCCCTTATATAGTAGTACCAAGATACACAAAGGTAATACTGGCCTAAGCTCTCTCGTATGGCTATTAATATCCTCTTAATAGTACTAATAAGCAATAAACCAGAGAGAGTCTTTTCAGGGGCTCGTCATATAGTAAGCTGGGATAGGGGGCAGCTAGAAGCCGAGATAATTAAGATACGGGAGTGCCTTAAGCACTGGAAAAGGACTAGAATTCTAAATACTTTCTTTAAATAGGTAAATAATAGAGAGCCTTTCCTTTATTATATATAGTATAGTACTTTACTAAACTTCTAAACCTTCTGGAATTAGAAAAGGGGTAAAATCGTACATATATAGGGATTAGCTCGCTAAATAATCGATTGCACTATCGATACAATCGATACCTTACGATTATGGCATCGATTGTTATCGATAGTGCAAAACGCTAATCGTTGCCGAGCCTGGGGACGCCCGATTGGTAAACCGCAGTTATTGGGGAATGGGCCTTCACACATCAGTTCGTCCTCATCCGAGGAGTCTTGGCTCGTTGATTATTGTCAGCCTCCTTGAAATGTATACATAGAGGCATTACATTCGTGACGACCGGGAAACACTCACAATGCTCGAAACTGCTAGCGCTATCCCCATCGTACTCAACGGACCGGACCATGTTTCTCTGAGCCTCTGAGCGTTGAAAGCCCTCCAGCAGTCCGTGAGCAGCAGTCAAACCGTAGATTTTCCCATTTAGCAGAATGGCACCACCAACTGTCGCAGTAATATCTCTCTCATACTGTATAACATCATCCACATAGACTTTAACCGCACATAAGTTCTGTTTTCCAGGTTTGTAGAAGACCTGCCGGCCAGAACCACTTCCTTCTTCTACTATCCTATGTTCTGTAATTCGAGGAAGAGACGGTAGATCTAACAGAATGTTGCTTTGGCGAAGCGAGACTTTCGTTTTGTCTATACGTCTCAAACTCATAATTCCCCCCAGGTTCTTCAATGGACTAGGAATGGCATCCAGAGTATCAGGTGAAATCTTCGGTGGACTAGGGATGGCATCCAGAATATCAGGTGAAATACTAAGTCCAGCACTGCCTAAGCGTGGATGCGATAACCTGCCCGTCACGAAACGAGGTGGAGCGTTGAGCTCAGGTGGAAAGGAAGTATGTCCCAACCGAATAGCTGGGTAACTTCTCGTCACTGAATTGGCCTTGATAACGTCGCGTGCCTTGACTCTCAACGGTGCATCCTCACAGCAGAAAAATATAACTGGATTGGATCGCTTTTTCTTGCGGCCCACCATATATATACTGTGGCAGAAGAATGGCCGGTACCTAGCATCTTGGCCTAAGTGGTCTTCGTTGTCGTCCAGGATTTCATCGATAGCACTTCTGAGGGAGTTATTATAGACGCTTCGGACTCCACTCGTAGCTTCCCAGCAATTGTCTTTGTTGTCGAATACACAGAGTAAGACTCCACAACAGCTCTCTGCGTCAGGCCACCTAGGGACCAGCCGGAGCGTTCGGTAGCTGGCGCTCTGCGTTTCCGTGATTGTTGCCATGGCTTGCATGACTACAATCGACGAGTGATCGGCACTCAAGAAGAGGTTTCGCGACAGCCTCGAGCTATGACATTGTGGACGTCTTCATTGTTGAGGAGAAAGCAGAAGTTTCGAAGTTGCAGCTGGAAAGCCTCAGGTGAAGCCTTGGCGCATCTAAAACTCAGCCACGGTTCAGGGCGCGTCGACAGGAGGCAGGCAGCCCAGCTGGGCTGTTTTCTACCCCTGCAACAGGCCAGGTAGGGACGCCAAGCAGGCCAGCTCAACTACGTACCAGAGTGTTCCGCGTCGACAACCAATAGAACCCTAAATACTCTGAGACATTAGCGCCCAGACTTCCCCAACAAGAAGCAATTTACTCTGTCATCGACTCCTTCCAAATTCAGATCGAAATGAAAGCTGCTCGAAACTCATGAACGCAGGTTCTTGGCCTTGGATGTTTTTGACCGGACTCACATGATGGCTGTCGATCCTCTGAATACCCAAATGAACATGCCCCTTTCAAATGAGGGCAAGGCTGTGGTCATATCCTCTTTGTGGAATGTCACGATCCTACCAGGAGAGTTTGCGCGAACCCCCTCGAAACAGGCAACATATTTTAGATACTACGAAGAGCAATGTCGAAAATTTCTGTATAACTGCACGAAATCCGAGCAGAAAGTGCCCACGAAAACTCACCGGCATATTGTCCTTCTTGCATAACTGCTACAAGGCGCAGCACCAGGACCGACGTTGAGAAAAATCGATATTTTGGAAGCATTCCGAGACACAATACCGGTGTCGGTGCCACCAGCGACGGATAAACTCCTATACACTACAATAGATTTTGTGACTCGACTTCTACTGATGCTAGACATTGGACCAGGGCTTCCAGGTGACAGGACAATCAACCAAGTACCTGTTCCCTGGGAAGATGATAGCACTCTGCCGGATTTCGTTGCAAACCAGTTTGATGGCACAAAAGAGCTGGTTGTGCCAGTAAGGCTGGAGCGCATTTTCATTGCACCAAATTTAGAACTCATCGGAGGCATCCAAATCGTGTGGACGGACAACTTGGCAGATCACCTGAGGATGTCAGAAGATGATACAAAGGTGGCTATATATAGTCATTATCAGTTTCTAAAGATGAACCGCGACAAGTAGGGAGTCCCACCCGTGGTCCAAGAAACCGAAAGTTGACTTGAGCCTAGCCCTCTCTTCCCTCCCGAGTTCGTGGATGAAACTCTTCGGACGCTAGCTCTGCTCCTACCCCGGCGAGATAGAAGGGTCTCCAAATGGTTCCGGAAACAGCAAGGATTGGAGGAACTTCGGAATCGTGTTGATAGCGAAGCAGCAAGTGAACGTCGATTGAAGGCTGCAGAGAGACAGATCAGCAAATTCGTTTTCTGGCACGATCGTCTTGTCATACTGAAGCAAGCGTTTGATGAGTCTCAACCGAAGAACTTGAGACAGTGGTGGAATGACAAAAGGAATCCAGTACAGTGGTACAACTTTTGGTTTGCTGTGGCTTTGATTGTTGGGTTGACTGTTTTCTTTGGGATTGCGTCCACTGTTGAGGGAGCAATACAGGTGTATAAAGCTTATCATCCTTCGCCTTCACCTTGAAGGATACATTCGATAAACTGATTGCCTCACTAGAGATCCATTAGTCCAGGTCTCATAGACTTGAATAATTAGAAATGCATGTCCAAGTAGAAAGCATTGAGTCCATTCAACAATGGTGTGGTGTGTTTTAGCTAAAAAAATACTCCTAAATTAGAGTAAATTCACAGGTCTTCAAGGCTATTTTCGAACGGCGAGAGCTCAAATTCAAAGGTAGGGCCCTATCTTTCGGTCACGTTCGATAGCATCCACTACATGTAAACAGATCGCCGTGGTGGGGATAAAAAGGGGCGGGGTATCTCGCTTAACAACGCACCACGCCGGCTATTTTCGGAAACTCCAACTTTGCCTCAATTTCGTCTCGTCTTCTCATGGCTACCTCAAGCATTCAAACACAATCTCAAGAGAGAAACATCCCAAGAATTGATCGCCAGAGTTGGTACGCCAATTTTGAAGATGTTTTAGGAAGAAAGTCAGCCAAGGAGCCGCCAAATGAAACGCACTACTCCCGACGGACTGCGAATTTGCAGGCACCAAAACATACTCATCTCCATCATGTTCTACTGTCCGATGTCACACTCTCTAGCAGTGCCAATCAAAAATCCCAGCTTGAGCTAAGTGGTTAGAAAGCTTTGGAAGTACAACTGCTCAGGTCCGCATTCGCGGCACGTCTCATTGCTCTCTCCAAGGATGAGCGTTGCATTGCATGCGGACCGCAAGGGTCGGCCGCACCCGCAGGGAAATGCGATATGCAACAGAATTCAGAGAAACACGGCCATTCATAAAGAAGCAAGCTGGGATTTCGCGAAGCTCACCCTAGTTTTGTGATCCTCGAGGGTTCCCAAATGACCGTGCTTGCAAATCTTGACAGTCTTTTGTCTCACAGGTGGTCCTTGCTCCCCATCCAGAATGTGACTTTGAAAAAATACCAAAAAGCCATCATAGGCTCGGTATTATGCCTTCCCCATTTAGTGGATATAGAGCTCTGCTAGCGTGGTCGTGGTGGGAGAGTACCGTCCGCCTATCTCCATCAATTTCGTCATTCTCCCTCTTTATTACCCTCCAATAACCCTTCCTCGTCACAGAATCCCAATCCTAAACTTATCACTACCCACAAACCGCAAACATTCCCAACAAATCTCGGGCGACTCGAACCCCATTACCAGCTGCCCCTTTGCTCCATCCCACCCCCTACCAAGCGGTCTTTGGGTTTGGTACATATTCCTCCTTATGAAGGCAACCGCAATAAGCCCTCACCAGGCCTTCGAACCCCTTCTCATTCCCCAGATACAGGTCCCTCTAGCGCTTCATGCCATCAAAATAACCCCCCCTCCCCGGGCAATAACGTGTCAAATGACAGATTTCCTTGAAAATCTGCGTGATGGAAGCGATAACTCCGTATTCTGGCTTCGGAGAATAATTTCCCCCACCCCGTTGCCAAGGCACCTTTGCGATTGTGCCTGTGCGGCAAGGTGCAGATGGTCGTCTCTGCATTTTGGGCCCATGGCTTTCTTTAACCTCCCAAATGTCTTGGGCCGTAACTTCCCGTTCCCACTACATATCAGAATGACGTCCTTCTCCATGTTCACATTGATGAAGCCATGTCCTCCTTCGGGTAGAAAGAGTCTCCGAAAGATAGCAGGGACGGCTTCCCAAGCCTCCCGACTGACAGATGCGCAAAGAGGATGAGGGTGAGAGATTGTGAAGTATGCTGGGGTGCATTTCTTGCCCGTGGTTTCGTGGATTGGAGTAATGCGTTCGGGAAGGGAGAGGATGGCTTGGGACTAAAGCTCGAGTCTTATCTCGGTGGGGAAATTGGGGATGAGGCCGAAGGTTCCTGATTCGGATTCTGAGTTTCAGCCTAGTAAGGCTCTCGTAGTCGGCAACGGGCTCCTCCTCAGCTTCAGCAAATACACGTTCTCAAATGAGACCCTGAGAGCTTAAGTGAATGTAAACTCACCGAAGGGGTCAAATTATTGGAGCTAAACAAAGGTGAAGTCGTTCCAAAGCCTGATACTTGACTAGAGGCGCGATTTCTCTGGTATGAGATTGAGTCACCAGCTCCGCCGCACCACTGTACTGTAATGTAACCCTACAACACAATCAAAATGCTGTTCAAAATGCCAAATCCACTACTCAATTCGTACACGTCCTAAAGTGATTAGAGTCGCCCAAACAATGAGCTTTGCTCACCATAACTGCAATGTAGCATATCCCCGCAAATCATAAGGAGGGGCGCGGCAAAGTTATGCCATCATGATATGATAATAAATGCAATTAAAATTCGGACCAAGTAATCATGCGAAAGTGAATAACGAAAGACCTTGGTTATGACTAACTGAAGCACTTCAATTTACTACAAGGAAAGGCAATTTCGATATATGCTATTAATATCTTCTGTCCAGCTCACTGGACTCATCTCAGGAAGTAATTGGAAGTAAATAAGGCATCGACCTACTTTTAATTTCGCTCTACGTTAAAGAACGAGGTAACAGAAAATAAAATTATACAAGGTTCAATGGGTATTAGCTAATACTGCCGTAAAACTTTATTGAAACATGTTGCGAGACATCAGTTGCATTTCAGGCCGGCGTACTCCCTCCCGGAGTATATCTTCAGCGTGCGAAGGCTCCCCTACCTCCCCACAGCCATCAAAACCCACAGCATCGCACCAAACAGCACCACAGCAACGGAAAAAGCCCCTTTCCTGATCCAATACCCCTTATCTCCCTCCGTATCCCACCTACCATTGTCAAAATACTCCCCAATTAACTCAATCACGACCATCATCCCCATTGCCAGTCCTCCCACAGTAATCCTAGTCTTCGCTACCCGGGGTACTTCATATCGGTGAATGAGCCACCGAGCCCAGTGAAGTGTGCATAGGACCATGAAAGGCATTTCGATGAGCTCGGCTCGGGATCGAGCCAGGTGAAATGTTGGAATGATAAAGCCTTGTCGGATGGCGCCGAGAAGAAAGCCACTGAGGAAGACGAGGGTGAAATAGATTGATGAGAGGTGGAGAGTGCTGGCGAGAGGTATAACTTTACTTCGGGAGGTGTATTGTGACTTTTTGTGGTTCTTTTGCGCAGACATTTTGAAGTATTGTTCTGATAGAGGATTGCCTTGACGATTATTGACGAGAGAATGGTGGTATTGAGGCTGGACAGTTTTGATCAATAGAATATGTCGATACGCAAAGCTTGCAAAGAGTATGAGAAGGCGTTTGTGAAAAGTTTTGATTGTGGGGATATATCATATGATGCGGTGGCGTGACTTGCTTGTACGTCACGTGGTGTGGTCAAAAGAAGCAACATCCCGTGCAAGAAACCTTTTCTGAAATTGGTCTGGTCAAGTTTTAGATGCCCCGACGGAGCTCGTTCGCAGCCGCCGCTCTTCGGACAAGGCAGACAAGGCAGACAAGAATCATATCAGAAATCTCTTCCACTGAGAACAGAATTTTCCCGGGCCTGAAGAGTACAGGTGAATTCCCTCACTCAAGGTCTTCCCCACTCAACTTATCTTTCACCGCCAACATGGCCGGCAGAAAGAAGGATATTGAGGTCCTCCTTGCTTACACCCCTCTTTAACCTCAGCGGCCACTCCTCCACAATTATATTTTTGTCTCTGACTTGCAATCCAATTGCCTTGCCACTGCTATCGAAGCCTTTCTCCTCAGCATGCTCATTGAAAGGGGCATTAAAATCTCTGACGAGTGTGCGAGCCTCAGCAACCTTGACCATTTACAATTATTGACGGGATTGGAATTACTGAGAACTGAGGGGCCGACAGAAGGAAAGTAATCAAGTACTCGCCTAAATTCGGCTGCTGTGGTAGCTATTGAGGGGTCTTTAATTTTACACTCTGTGTTGAGATGTAAGGTTAAGATGGCTGTGTATGGGTTCAGGGATTTTTGCTTGAGGATGGGGGCGAAAACAAGAAGGGTCTTTTCTGCGCCGAGATAGCCTTGATCGACGATGTTGGAGACCTAAAGAAAGTTCAGTAAGTACTCAAAATCCAAGGGAAAGCTGGCCACACTCACCTCTATTCTGTCGAAGAAGAGTTGGTCTATGCCACTGTCGGATAGCCACTTGGGTAACTCCCCAGCATCCACTTGCAAGAGTTGGAATCTGGTCGGACGGCCGGTGATACTGTCGCAGAACCGTCCGGAGTGTCGATTTGACGAGATAGTGCAATCCGCCGTAAAAATCATTCTTGGTAACAGGGACCATGGCCATGATCTCCTTGATTGGCCAGCTTCCGACTGGACTTGCTGAATCCATCATGAGCCAGAAGTCATTTGATTGAAAGAATGTGCTGCATACGTCAGTCTCAACTCTAAAATGAAAGAGGGTTGTTCTCACGGGTGCGGTATATTGAAGAGTGCCGTGGGAGCTCCAAAAGGTAGCAGAGGTCCCACATTCCGGAACTTCAACATGCCGGGACGCCAGCCAGAGAGCTTAGCATACAATGCACGCTCAATATAATCCTTCCGCTTTGGTGCAAGAGTGGTTGCGACGATGATTTCTTGAGCCTTGGTCTTTGATAAACCGGTTGGCACCTCAAGATATGCTTGAAGTTCATCCCGCGCGGATTTCTGCAAGATAAGAGACAATGCTCGACCATCGGCGGTCCAAGATTTTGATTGCAGCGATGTTGCTTCCTTGTGTCGAATCTTCTCGTAGACATCATTGACAGGTGGTTTGATTCTCTCTTGAATATCTTTTGTCCGAAAACTGAGTGCCGGATGTGTAATATCACTTCCGAAGCTTTGTTTTGTGGACACAAAATGGCGACGAGGAGAAGCATAGCATTTCATGCAACGATATCGAAGCCTTTGTCATTGATGACTGCCTCGCGCTGACCACTGCACCATTCTGGAAGGTGAGCCAAGGTCTTGACAACATTCCTCAAGTCCCCGGATGCTTTGAGCAGTCAGTCGTGAGCCCGAACGAAGAGATGCGGCTTACCAGCGAATAGCAAATACAATATTGATGAAATGTTTGCCCTTTCATTTTGTGCAACATTGAGAATATCGACAGCTGGTACGTTTCCCCAGAGATATTTTCTTTGGCCGTGAGGAGAAAGCTGCTCAACTCCCTCGCCCACGAACGCTGGTTGACGAAGTTCGGCCTCCCAGGGTGGTTTCCATGCTTCTTGCAGAAGAGGGGAGTTGCAGTCGATCTTGTGCCTCGGCCAATGACACGGTTGACATTCCCTTCTACAATACTACCAAAATTAACCCTGTCAGCAGGGTGGGCTTCGTTTGCGTCAGAAAAAGACTAGAACTATTTGAACCTCACCTGAACCAACCAGCATCAACTGCAGGCTTTGGTGGCTGGGTTTGAAGAGCAAGTCCCCTCGGTGTTGGCACCCATACCACCAGTGCTTGGGGCAGACATCTTGAACTTCTCAATAGGCTGAAGAGGAGGTAGAGAAGAGGAAGAGAGGACAGGATAGCAGGCATTGTGGGATAATTTATGACTTATATTTGCTTCCAGAATCTTTAAAGAAGTCGACACAAGCTTCTATATCCTTCCAGACACAGACAAACGGGTTTCCTTCATCGGCTCAACCATGAAACAGCGGGGCCTACACTTCCTGCGCATGTCCGCAACATTCATCAGGCATCAAAAAAGTTGATATATGAGCAGGCACCATAAATGGAGCCACACTGCATGACACAAAACATTGATCAGTGGGGTGCAAGGCTGCATAAACAAACGAAAAGGTATTGGTTGAGGGGTTCGCTTGAGGAAAAGGGGTGGTCGCTTCACCTTGTTCCCAGAAGAATTATCAAGCCTCTGATATGAGATGCACTTCTCCAAGATTGCCAAAGAAAAGAATATTTGAAAGCCCTTTCGGCTTTCTCAATGAAGCGGTGGGCTCAGGAAATGCACTTCACTTCTCCACCAAGGTTTGGATCACACCGAAATCATGAGCAGATACAAGGAACTTTCCTGCAAGTCAATTGCCCATAGACCGTGCTGACTGAAGTAGATTCCAAACAAAGGCGACACTTGGTCCTTTTGGCCATCGAAGCGGCTACAGGTTTCGGCTCTTAATCCTCCATCCTGCCGCCTGCGTTGGGAGATTCGGCCACTTGAAGTGGCTTACTCTCAGACTGGGATTAGCAGAAGTATCAATTTTGAAGGTGCTGACCTTACAGGAATGGTGAACCTTGAAGAAGAAGCTGGAACAGAGACAATCCATGTGAAGTTCATCCCTACCTCCCGGGATGACCCAGGAAAATATGACAGCCTATCAAGTCACGTGCAAGCCCCGCATCCACTGAAATCTCATCGCCGGGAAGGGGTATCTTCAGCAATGACAACTTCAACTCAGCCCAGTGCCAACACTTCGAACTTCACGCATTCAATTGGTACGGGCAGACTGCGCCTATATATACCTTCGGAGCGAAGCTCGAATACCCCGACCCGTTGCACTGTCGAGTGCCGTCTCAACTTTCGACTTCGAAATCCCTTGTTGTTCGGACGATTCGACGGCCAGATCGCGGTTCCCACCAGGAACATGCCTGGCAGGCCGACGAATTATACACATACTTCCTTCCGCATCGGACAGTTTGGTATCTCGTTACCTTGGGGGATACGCCTCAGGTCTGACCGAGGATGGCCGCTGCGAATTTGATCAATGCGACGAGACGAGTGGAGTACAGAACCGCCGGACTCTCAGGAATAAACAATGGTAGATTCAGGAGGACAAGTGGACTCTAGGACAAAACGGTGGCGGTCGGCAACGAGTTGCCGAACGGAGCTTTTAGAGCTCGATCTTGACACAGATCCAGATGAGGTGCATTGTTAAGATGCACCTCGGTCACCGCATCATGCCCGATGCTTGCTGCGAATCACATCATGTAGCCCCTGTCGGCCTGCGAATTCCCGACTAGCAGGCTGCGGCTCAATCTTTTTCTTGAATATGGCTACTGGAAACGGAATTTCCTTTCAGCACGGCAGATTAAACCTGTAAGAGAAGTCGCGCTATTAGGGCCAAGGCCAGTCAGCGAGCGCATGGTTGGATATTGGCCCACGACACAACTATCATGAGCAGAGGCAACACGATCCAGACACCAGCCAGAGCGGTTGATTCTGAAAGGGCAATTTACTTTCTCGGAATCACTAGACATAGAAAGTCCCTCTGTGACAGCATCGACCAGACTCCTCATTCTAAACGCAGTCATGTTCCTAACGTCATTCCTCTTGATCATTATGAGGTCTGATCTTTCGCCAAGGGGGGAATGGCATCAGTCATCCTAGAGAAGGTGGAGGCATCAAATCCACAACAGCTCATGAGAAATGACGGGGTTTTCTTTCTTTTCCAACTTGGCACCATGCTGATTACTTCTACTTCGAAACCGACACGGTGAAAAATTACCGGTACGCAACTCTCGCAAGCTTCACCACAAAAGGTATCCCGACTCGGAGAATTTCAATTGATGTTTTGGACATCGGCCCATTCCGAGATCAGCCACACAGATCAACTGTAAAGCAGGCAGTGTTGCTGCAGATGGAGCCCGCATAGCCTGCAGATGCACAGATCATGGGCCGCCATCAGCTGAGACCCGGATCCCGGACGGACTATGAGAAGGATCAGGCCCAAATCAAAACATGGCGAGAACTGATTTTGCCCAATTCAGACAGCTGCGCCTTTTCGCTCCACTAATTTGTGTCGGAGCCACGTGGCCGAGACAGAGCTAAACAATATCGATGTGAACTTCCGCACTCCTCACAAATTGGGGCTGAGGCACGGTGGCACACTGGCACCCCTCAAAACCCCACCACGCAACACATTTGAGGACAGGTTGATGCGGGGGGTCAGTTCAACGCCAAAAAGCAGGGATTTGCAACGTCGAAAAAACAATAACGCAACGGCAAGCGCTGATGCCTGATTCCTTCCATGTCCAATCCAACAATCACATCTCGTCCTGAAAGGCTCGGGCCCTTGATCCTCACTCTCATTTGGTACTTTCTTGTGGCCAGAGATAGCATTTCCAAAGGCGAAATGAATCAAGCTTCTCCGCCTTCAAGAACGCGTACATTCCTCACTTGATTTAACAACAGATGGAGTGATGGTTACGTGGGACACCAGATTAACTGCCCCATGTAGATCGGAGAACTGGCCTGTAAAAGCCTGCGATCGACCCGGCGGCGATCCTAGGCCTTCCCGGCGTGGCCCTCGATGCTCCAAATAAAACGTAGCGCGGCCAGGGGACGGTAAATTTACCACCCACACAGTAAATTACATCAGAGCGGCCGTGCCAGCCTTGTCACGGCGCGGTTTATTTAGAGGGGGAGAGCACAGTACTGTACAACCACAGTAAAATCTCGATATCGTAAGCTTAGGGCTTAAAAACAGTGGGACCTTACGGCCGAATTGCAATGTCAAGGATATCGTTAAATCGAAGATCGTTATATCGAGGTTTTACTGTATTACCCTAGAAAAGTTGTATTCTCGGCCCGGTATTTTTTATGCGTTTCACGCCGTTTGAATTTTGAATCCTGGAAAGCTCTCTAGAATTCGCTATAGAACATGATTAATTGATCTGTGCCAGCCTAGCAAAGTATTCAAGCAGCATCCATCTCACCGACACAGGATTACCTTCAAGGTTTAATTTTACTAGGGTAATACTCACTACTCTAGCTGTATTCTTTGCCAGGCATTGCCCCTGTTCCTTGGTTCGCCAAGCGGTCCGTTCCTTACAAGGGTGTCCTTCCCAGAGAGATCGCCTGAAGCGGCTGTCAAAATGCAAGCTGTATCTTTTTCCTTCTCAGTCCAGTCTCGCATATCAACGCTCGGAGTCAAATGTCCCAAATTCCCTCAAGTATCCGAGCCATTGCCTCTCACGATTGAAGGACGTGCGTTTGACAATCGCAGCTTCGTTTGGTCAGGAACAGAGCCATGATTGGCTGGTGAGAGTTTTCCAAAATGGTCGCTAGGGCATCTATTGGCTTTCATGGTCGAGCCCCTCGAGTGCCATGTGCGAAGTGGTTCTACCCTGGAACCAGCTTTACCCTTGATAGGTTTGGACAAGATTCCTTCAGCTCAAACCCCAGTTACATTTTCTACCTGTACTCTTCCTGTCATGTCACTTTGTTCCCCGCTGCCAGCGTTTCGTGATAACGTCAACAGTAAAGATGGACATATTCCTTCAGTTCTGAGCAGGCAAATCTCCAGTGCCACCTCAATCGGGGATCTGAGATGGTTCTGCTTTTCTTTCCTTTCGTTGCATCCTTTTTGGGGGCAGTCATCTTGCAAGGGACCTGTGCCACAGCACAATCACAGCCTCCGCTCTGCTCCGTAAGTACTTCAGCGCAACTCCATATTCAGATATCAACTGACACACTGCTAAGGTGAACTGCACTGTCACAGTCTTGAGCAATGCCGGTTGTCAGCTGGCTGACATTAAAAAATGTCTCTGTACGAACGATATTTTACAATATGAGCTTGTTGTATGTGTCGTCAGCTCCTGCAACCGGGCGGATCAGATGAGTATGTGCTCATTGCGTTTCCGCTGAACCGCCAAAGGCTGACATTATCTCGCTGTAGCTGCCACACAAATCTTTCAGGACGAAATCTGTCTGGGAGCTCCCTTTCCATCTCGCCAAGTGGAGATCATTCGAGCCGAGATCATCCTTGCCGCCTTCACATTCCCGATTGTTATATTACGTTTGATATCCCGGGTGTGGATTGCACATAAAATTTGGTGGGATGACTGGATGGTGATACTTGCAACAGTGAGTGTCTTGATCCCTTATAATTGTGTGTAGTTCGCAGCTGAGTGGACTGCAGGTGCTCATGGTTCCCAATACAGCCATTCCAATATACAGTAAGTGTGTTGCAACAATGCTTGGGGTCACGCGACTAACTCATCGCAGCAGCCTATCACGGTTTTGGCGTTCATGTATGGAACGTTCGAGTACAAGATCAAATAATTCCCCTACAGGTACAAAATCACATCTTCAACGTCCCAGAATAAAATTATTGACATTCCAGCTCTACTACGTCGCGCAGATCTTCTACGCCCTCATCCAAAACATCGCCAAATTCTCCATCCTCTTTCTCTACCTCCGCATCTTTCCCACCCCACAGTTCCGGCTCGCGGTCAAGCTCTCGATGGTCGTGATTGTTTGCCATACCATCGCATTTACCATCGGTGTTGGCATGCAATGTCTCCCGCTCGACTCCCTCTGGGATCTAACGATCCATGCTAAATGCATCGACATCCATGTTTTCGCAATATCGGGCGCTGTGTTGTCGATTTTTTATGATATCGTTATTATGCTGCTTCCGATCAGTGAGTTGAAAGGGTTGAATCTCACACTGAAGAAACGGATTGCGCTTTGCTTTATGTTTGCGTTGGGCTCTTTGTATGCCTCCTACCACTCTCCGCCCCCCATTCCAGAGAGCAATATTAACGTATTCAGTGCATGCGTCACAAGCATGGTCCGTCTCAAGTACCTAAAGGACTTCTACCCCACCATCGACGCAAGCTGTAAGTTTTTCCCTTCCCCTCCTTTCCCACCACGAGCCCGGTATTAGCTGACCATTGTCAAATGATAGGGGACAGCACCGACGTAGTCCTTTGGTCCGACATCGAGACCTGCACAGCGATCATATGCTCTTGCCTAATGTGCATCCGGCCTCTCCTCGCAAAATGCTTTCCCGCTCTCTTCGCCTCCTCAAACGTCAGCTCCACCGTCAAATTAAGTTCGAAATCCATTAGCTCGGGTTTGAGAAGTCCGTGGAAGATCAGGGGTAACAGGTTCAGTAGCAGAACGAGGAGTTTGGGGACTGCGAATTTAAGTAGTATGGGAGGAGAGGGCGATGAGCAGATGTTCGTTATTCAGGGGCCGAATGTTGCGGAGAGTCGAGGGAAAGGCCCATCTAGGGCACAAGACGGGCTGGAACTGGAGGAGAGAGGGATGACGCCTACGACGCTGAGTACTGTCGAGGGGGAGAGGAATATTGAGAGTAGCGCGGAGGATTTGGGGGTTTATCATGGTGGTGGAGAGAGATAGATGAGTTTCTCTTGCCTTGGGGCGGCACTTTTGCACAGGACTGATGCACAGCACGCTTCCTGTTTGTGATTGTGGAGTTTGCATCTGGGATCGAGATAGGGACGGGGGGGTTAGCACTGGTCCTTTTATGACTTTGGGTTTGGAAGAGGCACACAGCACTGTCCCTTCTATGGCTGGTAAGATTCAATGTTATGATTACAAACGATCGGGTTCTATTCCCTTATTTATTTCGAGCTGGCCAAGTCCAAATTCACATGATTCCCTTGCCCTTGAACGCAGTGGACTCGAAGGCTTGAGGCATGTCCGCGATGCAGCGAGATACAAAGTATGTTTGGAAGTCCGAGAGAGTCTCAGAAGGTCTCAACCCTCAGGTCAAGCCCTATGGTGGGGTGCCAATGGAAAATTACTGAGTCGCGGTGACAGCGCCGAGTCCCTAGCCCGTTCGATTGGAGTTTCGGGATGCCAAAGCTCGCGTCTGGCGGCCTGGATGGGCTGTGGGCAGGCCCCGGACAAGCGAATGTTTTGGGAATTTAAGGTTATTTTTCAGGGTTGCGGTGGCATTTCAGTGATACCTTATTAGGTGGGGCTGGAATAAGGTGTTTGAGGGCAAGTGTCTTGCAAGGAGGCTTGTTGCATTTGAGGAGAGGATGGGTAGTGGGGTAGGTCGTCACGTGAGTTCTCAACATAGCCTTTTATTTCGGGAAAATACTGTTTCTCCTCAGCCGCTTGTCTCCTAAGAATGACGAACCTATCCCAAGTCCTCTCATTGCTTTGAGTTTACCATCACATTCCCCTCTATGCACCAATATCTCAGGAACTAATCAGCTGAGAGGGAAAGAAGCAGCGAAGTTTCCATCCCATAAATTCAGGTCCTCAATCACATTCATCACATCTACACTTTCACGACGAAGAAACATCTCCCTTTGGTGAATTCACCTGACCTTTTTATTTGCCCCATACCTGCGCTTCTTGTTCTTAATAATCAAGCGAGAGTGGGGTGAGCGGATAGGGGTTCAGGGGCGAAATTGCGCTAAACTTTAGCGTGTTCGCTTAATATTTGGCCATTTTGAGAATTTTTGAGACATCGATTCTCTCTTTTGCAACCAAGCAGGAGACTTCGAATAGTCATGTACAAGAGGGGAATTGCAGCAGTGAATTGAAGTATCGCACGCAAAGGCCTTGCAACGGAATCCGCCTTGGCATATTCACGGTATCGACCGTCGTCTTAACCCCACCCCCACGTCAGGTGGTAATGGACTCCACTATTGTGCGTTACTCCAACCAGTCCTAGAATTGTGCTAAACAAGAACAGAAGAGCCAAGGGCATGATACACATGCGATACCGCCTCAAGCTGTATGCAATGCGTACAAAAAATATCAGAAAATGGAGGACGAGGCCGTCGACCAAGATCTCGATGTTCTCGATTTCGCCCGTGGACTGGCGGAAGCGCAAACGAAGAAGCTAGTCGCTATTGATACAGTCTCATCTGAGCTAGTTGATTCGGCGTGGAAGGCATTCAAAAGTGATGGGGAAAGGATTGTTGTCGCCGATGAAGAAGAGTCGGCCAGCCTTCCAGAACATTGCACAATCTACGAGCACAAGGACTTTCCTGGTACGACCCTTCACCGATCCATCATGTGACTTCTAACTTCCCCCCTTGTTGCAGGCCTAAGACTCCTTCCCTCCCTTCTCCCACCAGAAGTCCAAGTCCTCCTCGTCTCTTCCCTGCTGCACCGCGACCTCGCCAACCCCCAACACAAAACTAACATCCACCACGACTACACGATTCCCTACGCGCCTCCAATAACCTCCTCATCTCCCCAGCGAGAATCATTCTTCATCCTCCCACCGCATGCCAAGGATCAGATGCTCACGCCGCTCAACCCTTTATCAAACCACAAGCCATTAAACATGACGCAATTCCTCGTCAAGAAGCTCCGTTGGTTGACGCTCGGCTCACAATATGACTGGACCACCCGATCGTATGACAAGGACAAAGCGATGCCTTTTCCGGCGAATATTGCGAGGCTGGTAAAAGGGTTGTTTAAGAGTGCGTTTGAGCCCGAGAGTGGGGTTGTGCTGATTTATGGGAGCAAGGATTACATGCCTGTGCATCGGGATGTAAGTGAGGAGTGTGAGCGTGGGCTGGCGAGTTTTAGTTTGGGGTGTGACGGGCTGTTCATTCTTTCGAGGGAGAAGGATCGACAAAATGGAGAGGAACGGAACGGTGTCGAGAAAGAATTGGACGAGGATCGAGAGATGGAGCTGCTGGTTCTGAGAGTGAGGAGCGGAGATTGTGTCTGGATGGGAGGAGAGGCGAGGTGGTGCTGGCATGCGATGCCAAAAGTTATGGCAGGAACTTGCCCCGAGTGGTTAGAAGAATGGCCCGTCGAGAAGAATGGAGACGGGAAGGGCAGGAAGGAGTATGAGAGATGGAAGGGGTTTATGAAGGGGAAAAGGGTCAACATCAGTTGTCGTCAGGTTTGGGGATAGTCACCATTTTGACTCCAAGGTATTCGAAAGAATGAGATGTGGTCGCAGCACTAGACCATTGTCTATTTCTATCTGGCTCTAATATGCCAGATGCTTTAGTCCCTCTACCAACGACCCTCCGCGGGATCAGGAGGATCGGATAGAGTGGAAAACTAAAATGGTTAGCAAATTGAAGGAAAGATTTCGGAGCAATTATGCGAGATTCACGTATGTTCCAAAGCCGATAGCTGGCATCCGGAAGCCTGATGAAAGTTTGAAAGTCGTTTTGTTGTTGACAGCCATCTTTTGCAAGCGTCAGGATTGAATTAACGAAAACAAAAGATGAGAAGAATGGGAGAGTGAGCGAAACTTAAAACTTTGCTGAAAACGACCAAAAGCGCTAGGATACGTCGTTCATGCATTGATTGCTGGAGAACGTTGCGAGCTGCCTGAATAGGAGATTTATTAAACTGCATCCCTCGGACATGTAGAGACTCTCCACGTGCCGAAATCTGACTCTATCCCGAGTATTCAACCACCCTTAAGAAGTTCTGTCTCGACAAGATGTATGGCGTTATTGAATTCATAATACCTCGAAACCATCGGTTCTTGTCCCTGATGTGTGACAAACAAGAGAAACTGTGCCAAATTTGATCGAGGGAGAAATTGGAGCTTTCCGGCTTTCGGCTTCCTTCGCGTGAGAGACAATGAAGGACCCCTTTGTAAATAAGCGTATTAAGAAGTGTAGAGTGCAATGGCTTACATCATATGGGAACCCCGAAGACCTTCAGGGGTTATCGTGGAGCCAGTCGTTCTACTTTCTGTGCCTGCCATTCACTTACGGCTACTCCTGAGTGAATTTCCCTCGACCGCGCGAATTGGCGTGTCACCAACCCCAGTCCCCGCAAACGCTATCGCACCACTCTACCATTTGTCTTGCTCCGAAGTCGTCGACGCTCCCTGCTCCGAACAGCGCAAGAACTCAATCAAACTTGTGAAGCTTTACATGCAACGAATTCGGTCCATTCGAAGACCTGGCCTTTGAAGCTCATGGAGATAACAACTTCCAGCCGAGGAGATACCATCTTCGGATGAGCATAACCAGACATTTGCTCTGCACACAGCCAATCATTGTTGCAAGATCGCGAGAGCCCGATCCTTCATCTTCGACTCGACAACCGTCCGAGGAGGCCTCCATTCATCCGGTGTCAACCTGATGAGAGATGACTGACCCTGCCGCAGAGTTGCATTCCAGTTTCAAGGATTCTGAAGGTCACAGAGTCATGTTCTTTGGCATTTTGAGGAGGACCATGATCGCATTCTGATTCCTTGTTGAACGGGCCGAAGATGAAGGTTTGACGAAATTTGCTTCCAAGATTCTGCCCCTCTCATCCTCCTGAGATATGTAAGAGAAAACTCTCTTGGAGGCAATTTAAAACACGCTCTCCAGCTTGGTATGAATTTTCGATAATCTCGATGATGTGCAACAGTGAGGTGGCGTTGGCGTTCAGTGGCTGGCTGATCAATGTCTCACTCAAAGCTTGGCATTGCGACCGTGAAGAAACGTCATCCTTTTGCGAACGACATCTCTTCTTCACATCCTCCGTACCTTTTAAATCTTCTCTCACAGATCTTGTTTCTCAATTGAATACCGAAACTATTCATTCTCAGGGCTAATAAAGTTGTGCCGCGCCAGACGTTCCGCCAATCGCACTCTGTTGGGATTTTGATTGGGCGGTGGCTTGTCGTGCGGGGAACATATGAGATGCACCTTCCTGAAGGAGATTTTGCTCGCCATGATTATCAAGTGTCAAGTTGACACGAGATTATGACAGCCAAGTTTGACTTTCGGTCTCTTGGCAAAGATAGTGATGGAAATGCGCCTCGAGAAAGAATAAGGTTGCGAGCCGCCTGGTGCTTGCCTTGGCAAGGGCGAGCTCACCGCGATGATTGACAGGGAACATAAAGTGTCGTTGGGTGTAGTCTATTCTTCCTCGGAAAGTTTGTCAATGGGTGCATCTCTCTGGGATTTTTTTGGTTCAATTACGAGATGGGATCGAAGAAGCAATGATTCTTCTTAGTCTTCTATGTTCAAGGATCCACCATCCATGAACCCATCCCAGCCCTGTTTTGGTTCCAGTTCCGTGTTCTGTGTCCGATCAGCCCATGCCCCTATGTGCTGACGATGGCAAGCTGATCCCTACAATCGGTTCGATAACCACGTCGCACAAGACACATGGAATCCCTATTTAACTGCAAAGCTTCGGCGGCGGGGGAAGTGTTTCCCCAGGCAGTGCAAGGGGGGGAAGGCGGCACCAACTTCTCAACTTCCCAATTTCCAAGAGAAAGATACCTCGAGGTTCCTGCTTCTTCCCCTTCCGGCCTCCATGAACAGCACTCGAGGCAGGACCGGCAAGGCAGGGCATGGAGCTTATCAAAAAGCATTATCACGATAAGAGAACTAATAGACTGCGCTGTGCGCAAGAATCTCAAATAAGCCAAAAGATAAAGATTTAATGAGAAGCTGGGCGCAGAGTCATGGGACGGAGGCCCAGGGAGCATTTAGCCTTTCCGTTTTCCCCATCTTCAACGCTGCTCGCCAATCGGCGAGCCCCTGGCCCCTCGCCAACTGCCGCCCCCCTGAATCTCCTTCCTCTTCAGGGGATGTGGACCGACCTGTCAACGAAAAAGTGTATCTGTGGAATAAACGGCGTCATACAGCCTCTTTTCTTTCTAGCCAGAACGCATCACCCCGGCCCAATAACACTCCAACTTTATCGCAAATCAGGAAGTAATTGAGGCTGCAGCGCGTCGGTGACGGCAGCGTGCGTCCTTGTGGGACAACTGTCATGGGTGGAGTTTGAAACTGGGTTGCGGAAGGCTGGGAGCTGGGAGCTTTTCGTATTTAGTCTGCTGCTGCCGCGGGGATCAATTGCTCAGGTTCTGGTTCAGCAATTGCCTCGAAATTTCTGGCAAGATGTCGTCGAAACTCATGCGAATCGTGGCAGCGTTCCTTGCCGTCTTTGCTCTCGTATCTACGGTCTCTGCAGGGAGACTGATGGATGTGGGACAAAACAAAGGCTACAGCCCGAAGTTAGTGGAAAGATTGAGGAAAAGAGGCACCGGGCATGCGAAGGCCAAACCTCAACCAGTTATGGAGAGAGCTGCAGTCACCGCCGGAGCTCCAACAGCAACTTCTCCGTGCGTAAAGCTTCCTCTGAATCTCTGTTTGCCACCTACTGACCAAACAGGCCAAGCTGCGGAGGCAACAAGTGCGCCAATGCTTTCAATAAGCAATTTACTGCAAGCCTTGACAACCTCGAGTCATTCTGCAGCTCATGGACTGCTGCACCCACTGCGGCCTTCTCTCCAACCGGGACGGCAACTTGGGCAGCCAATTGCGTTGGGACCTCAACAGCTGCCTCAGTACAATCCGCTGTTGCATCCAAAGTGTCCTCGGCCTGCAGCTGCTTTGTGCCAGAGCCCACAAGCATTCCCAGAGGATTCAGATTCTTGAATAAGAATACCGAGCGTGAGTCAATGGCACTCCTTGTCTTTGCCCTGCTGACCCAGAACAGCGTACCAGGTCAAGTCCCTTCCCCTCGTGAACTTCGACATTGGCGAGATGTACTCTGGTCTCATTCCAATCGATATGGACGATCCTTCACGGGCACTCTTCTTCGTCTTTCAGCCCACCGATGGGCCACCAGTTGATGAAGTGACAATTTGGCTCAATGGCGGACCAGGTTGCAGTTCGCTCGAAGGATTCTTCCAAGAAAATGGCAGATTTATTTGGAGCTGGGCCCAGTACGAACCCATGTTCAACCCATACGCTTGGGTCAACTTGACAAACGTCTTGTGGGTGGAACAGCCAGTCGGCACTGGCTTCTCAATTGGGAATGTTACAGCAACGAGCGAGGAGGAGATTGCACAGGACTTTGCCGATTTCTTCTTGAACTTCCAGGCAATCTTCGGGATTTCCAAGTTCAAGATTTACGTTACTGGAGAAAGCTACGCAGGGCGATACGTACCGTATATCTCTGCTGCAATGCTTGACAAGAAGGACACTGAGCACTTCGATCTTTCTGGTGAGTCAATATCAGGATAGGCATCAGTGTTACAGAGCTAATTCTAGACAGGAGCGCTCATGTACGACCCCTGCATTGGATCCTGGGATTACGTCGCTGAAGAGGTCACCGCATACCCTTTCATCGAGGCCAACAACAACATGATCGGACTCAACGCAAGCTACTTAGCCACACTGAAAGAACTAGACAAAACATGTGGCTTTGCGGATTTCAGAGACAAATACTACAAATTTCCACCAGCAGGTGTCCAGCCTGTGGCGCCCGACATTCCTTTCGAATCAACATGCGACATCAATACTTTGGCAACCTATGCGGCGTTCAAGATAAATCCTTGCTTCAACTCCTATGAACTCGTCACCCAATGTCCAATCCCAGCAGGTAAGCAGTCCTAGAAATCTTCTCGAATTTTAGTGAAGTACCAACGCTGCACGCAGATCCACTTGGATTCCCCACTGATCTCGCGTACTCCTATCCCGGCCTCGTCCCCCTATACTTCGACCGCCCAGACGTCAAGGCAGCCATGCACGCACCAACCCAAGTCTCCTGGTCAGAATGTACTGGCCCCGTCTTCATCAACAACGAAGACAGCTCCTTAGACCCCATCCAACACGTCCTACCCCAAGTAATAGAAGCTACGAACCGGGTGCTAGTCTCCAACGCCGACCTCGACTTCGTGATCATCACAGCCGGCACCCTCCTCTCCATTCAAAACATGACCTGGAATGGAAAACTTGGTTTTGAGAAAGAGCCAAGTACGCCGACGGTCATTACGTTGCCGGATTTGCAGTACCAGCAGACGTTTGTGGATAATGGGTATTCGTTCGACCTTGAGGATCCGCAGGGCACGATGGGGATTAACCATTATGAGCGGGGGTTGATGTGGGCACAGACGTATTTGAGTGGGCATATGCAGCCACAGTTTCAACCCAGGTCGGCGTATAGACATCTGCAATGGGTGTTAGGACATATCGAGGAACTGTAGGCGATTTTTTTTGGGTTTAATAATAATGAATGAGGGAATGGGATATTATAGTGCTGAATAAATAATTTCTTTCTCGTCCTCCGATCATCCCTCTTCTGCCTAGCACGTTAACGGTGCAGACTGATAGCAACTTAATTAACTGACTCGGAATTCGAGTTGTTTATTCACGAATGAAGACCAGATAGCTCTTAGTTGCTCACATCGATCTCAAAAACATCTTGCAGCCCATGCCGGCTAGAGACCTCCGTTCCGACCTTCCTCAGTCCTTCACTCTCCACCACCCGCCTAGAGATCCAGTACTCAGGTACCACTGATGCTCTCAACACATTAACGCCGGGAATCAACCTTGCCACATCAACCATGATTCTCATCGCCGCCTTCGCATGGCCACTCCTCCGTTGTTGCGAGTCAATCTCATAACCTACTTCCACCATCCCACGCTCATCTGGCTTACCATGGAAGCCTATTCTTCCAACAATAACTGCTTTCGATCTCTTAATATGAGAAGTTTCCACCTCTAGATCCCTCTCAGGCTCGTAGACGACCAATCTTGATAGCCATGGCAAGTGCTCGGCGTCTCCCACGACCAGAGCAAGTCTCCGACCCCAAAGTCCGCGATTCGCTTCGCTGACAAGAAATGGTGTAAGTGGTGGAAGAGAAGACGGTGCAATGGAGGAAGCACGCTCAAGGTCCCCTGCCTCGAATGCCTCGAACAAGGGAAGCGGTATGGGATGGACGCTGTGTCGTGGAGCCCTGGCCGATTTCCAGGGACCATCAGGTGGGACAGGGAGAGACATTTTGACAGACAGAGCTGTTAAGAAAGACTGAGTAGGGACGAATGGGATGGATGCAAATTGGTGAGGATGAGGTAAGTCGATCATGGGGGGACAAAATGTGACTCATCATATTCAGCGAATCACACTTCAAGTCAGTATGCTCTGCTTCATAAACGCTTTGCTTCTTTTCTGTTTCTCGTCTACTCGAACTTGATTGCTGAAATAGATGGACTCTCCCAGTGTCCCACTACGAGTAAAATCCCGCTCTTACTTGTTTCTCTCCTCTTGTCCAGAAGGAGTTTGGAAAAGCTAAAAGCGGAAACTCCTTCATTACATGAAGGGATTTTTAACAAATTTCTTTGCTTCCTTTGTGTCATAACAAGTAAATATCAATTTAAATATCTACCAACATAGTGTTTGGTTGAAAATGTGTGTTGATTGAGGCTCATGCGCACTTTCGATGACCTCTGGAGAAGATTTGAAATCGAGTGCAGTGCCACACTCAACGGAAACTGCTAGTTACCGTAGTACCCTGATTTATATGCGCTGCACTACTAAAGTCAAGGTCCCTCTATCACTATCTGTTATTATACTTGTATACATATATATAACTCACAAAGAAGTAGTTAAAATAAGGCTATTTGTAATTAATATAAGTACTATTATTTATTTTCACTTTTATTATAAAACTTTTACTAAAATTTTATTTTTATTTTTATTTTCAAATATTATTAATTCTCTTTTAACTTATATAATTTATAAGGCAAGTCTTATAAATTATAAAATATACCTCTCTAATTATTTATATTTTCTTTATTATATATATATTTTTCGAATAATTTATATTTCTTTTATATATATTTTTTAAAAAAATTATTATTTCTTTTTTTTTTACTTTCTAATTTTATATTTATTTTTATATTTGCTTTTTATATTTTATAAGTAATTAAAGCTTTAATATAAAGAGTTTTATAAATATAAAGTAAATTTTTTTAAGCTTTATAGAATTAGTATTAAATTAATAAAAAATACTATTATTATATTTATATTTATAATTTATATAAGTATTATTAAATTCGTTTTTTATAATAATATAGTATATAAAAAAGCTCTTTAGTTTCCTTATATTATTATAATATAAGCTTACTTTTAACTTTACTTTATATTTTTCTAATTTTTTAGCTTTTAATTTTTATATAAGTTAATTTCTTTAAATTTAGTTTTATTATTAAATTATATTTTTATATTAGTAATACTATTAAGTTATATAAGGAAATTAAGCTATTATTATAAATAAGAAATAAGAATATATATATAAAGTAAGAATTAAGAAATAAAGAAATATATTAATTATATATATTATTAAAAGATATTTTATTAAAATCTTTTAATTTTATTTTACTTAACTGGGTCTTTATTATAATTATTATTTAAAGTTATATTTAATATATTTTTAATAAAAGAAAACTTTAAATAATTTTGCTTTTAATAATTTAATTATTATTTTCTAAATTTTTTAAATTATTAGAAATTAGTTTTATACTTCCTAATTTCATAAAATATTATTAAATTATTACTTTTCCTTTTAATAATAGCTATTATTATATTTTTAATATAACTCTTATTATAAAAATAATATTTAAGGCTTAGAAAGTAAAATTTAAAGTTAAAAAAGAAAAGACTAAAATATAAAAAGTTATAAGAATATAAATATATATCTTATAATATACTAGCCTATATAAGACTTAGTATTTTAAATTTTCCTATATATTTCATATATATTTCCTTAATAATATAGTTATATTACGTGAATTTATTAAATAATTAGAAGTAATAAAAGTAATAAGAAGTAATATATATAAGTAATATATATATATATACTAGTTAAGTAATTAGATTAAAACCGAAATTATAATAGCTACTTTAATTTAATTTAAAAGTATTTATTAATAAAGTTTATATTTTTTAATAACTTAATATATTAATTTCTTTTTATTTTAATTAAAATAATAAATATATATTATTTAAAGCCTTATTATTTTAAGAAGCTTATTAGAATTACTTTTAAATTTAATTTAGTAATTTTCTTTATAAATATTTTAATAAATAATAAAAGCTTTAGAAAATTATTTATTTAATAATAAATAATTAAAGCTTATTAATAAGCTAACCGAAATTAAAAAAAGAATTCGAAACTATATATTAATATATTAGTAAGCTTTAATAAAAAATTATTATTTTATTATATAAAAATTTAATATTTTATAAAATAAATATAAGTTTATATTATAATTAATATAAGTTATTAATTAGTAACTAAATAGCTTTATATATTATTTTTTTAGGATATTTAATTATTATAATACTTAAGATTATAGTATTTCATTTATTTAAATTTTAATAATAGAAATTGAAGCTTTTAAATAAGTTATAAATATTTATATAAGCTTTTTTAGATATATATATTAAAAGAGCTAATTATTATAAAAGAAATCTTAAACTAAATTCTTTAATATAATAAAAAAAGTTTTTATTAATGTCTTTTATAAAAGCTTTATATATTAGTAAATATTATAAAAAATAATAAGTTTATAATTAGAACTATTATTAGTTTTATTATATTTTTATTTTTTAATATATATCTTTAATAGTTCTTTAATAAGCTTTTTAATAAAAATAATAAGTATTAATTAAGGGTTTTTAGAGCTTAGTAATAATAATAAAAATAAAAATAAAAGAAGTAAATGGCTTTAATTTAGAAAAAATAAATATATACTTTAATTTAATTAGCTAATTAATTAAGAATATTTAGTATTTTTATATCTAGTTCTTTTTAAAATAAAATAAACTAATATAATAAGTTCTTATAAAAGTTCTAATTTAATTAAGCTATTTTTAATAATATTAGCTTTATTATATATATGTTTTATTTTTTCTTAAATAAAATTAATTAAATATTATAAGATAATAAAGCTTTTATAATTCTATTTAATATAAGTATTATTATATTAAAGTTAAATTTATAAACTTTATAATAAGATATAATAATATATAATTAGTTTAATTAAATATTATAATATTAAAGTTTTTAAAGTTATTTTAAAATAAAATCTATAAATTATTATTACTTTTTTTGTATAAAATATATTAATATATCTTAATACTTTAATTTTTTTTAAAAAATCTTTTTTTACTATAATAACTAAATTAATTTCATTCTCTTATTTCTTAATTAGCTTTTTCTTTTATTAATATTTATACTAAATCAAGTTTAGTTTTTCCTTATTATATATATAATTTATAGTAAAAGTAATATAAAAATGAAATAATTTATAATAGATTTATAGAAAGAAATTAATAATAAAAATATTAAAATTTAAAATAAATATCTTATTTTTAAATATTTTATTTATAATAAGAAATTTAAGAAATAAAATATTATAATTTTAAAAAGATTTAAACCTCGAGAAATTTTATTTAATAATAAAATTGAAGTTATAATTAAAAAGCTTTAAGTATATATATAAGATATATATATTTTAGAAAAAAGATTTTACAAATTAGGGTATTATATATATAAAAAGAATAAAAGCTAATTATCTTTTTTATAAATTATTAAATATCTTTATAAAATTAATAAATAAATAATTTCTTTTCAATATAAAATAAATTAGCTTTATTTTAAATTATTAAATACTTTTAAAACTAATATATATAAAATACTTAATATATATAAAATACTTAATATATATAAAATACTTAATATATATAAAATACTTAATATATATAAAATACTTAATATATATAAAATACTTAATATATATAAAATACTTAATATATATAAAATACTTAATATATATAAAATACTTAATATATATAAAATACTTAATATATATAAATACTTAATATATATAAAATACTTAAATATATATAAAATACTTAATATATATAAAATACTTAATATATATAAATACTTAATATATATAAAAATACTTAATATATATAAAATACTTAATATATATAAAATACTTAATATATATAAAATACTTAATATATATAAAATACTTAATATATATAAAATATTTAATATTATTAGTATAGCTATTTCTTTGGAAATCATATATATAATTACGAGATATAGGATATAGGATATAAGTAATGGGATATAGATAATAGGATATGGGATACGGGATATAGTTATATAACCTTATATCCTATAAGTAACTTGACTAGTAGACTAGACCCCTTTAGGCTTAACAGATTTAGAGATTATATATTAATACTATAATACTATAATCCCTACTTCTGAATAATAACTTTACTAACTAATATAACTAGTATTTCTGTACCTATATAATAGTACTATATATTACTAGTGAACCGATATTAATTAGTTCGATTATATAGATCAGAATAAGACCTGTTTAGTACTTACAGATTAGAGGAAGACCCAGCTAGTCGGAAAAACATTCGGTAGCCTAAGACAAGCAGTTTACTCCTAGTTAAAGGAGGGAACTACTATTAACTCCAGAAAAGCATTTGATAGCCTAAAGAGAAAATACTAGCTCTTGCTAATTAATAAACGGTTAGCTATTTGACTATTTATCTATCTATTTAACTTCTACTATCCTTTAAAACCAACTTCTTTTAGTCCTAAGACTACTTTCTTAGAAATCATCTCTTCTACCTATATAATACCTGTATTTATAAAATCCTCCCTCCGGAATATATATCCTATATATATCCTTAAAGCTCTTTAACTGCAATTATAATTTCGATTTTTCTATTAAATCGAGTTCTTTAAGCTTTAGACCTACCCGGAATTATAATATTTCACTTTCTAAATTTCTTATTATAAATAAAATATTTAAGGACAAAATATTTACTTTAATACCCTAATACCTCTAGATATCTAGGGTATCTGGTATCTCTACCAGGCATCTGGCATCTAGATATCTGGAATATCTGGTATCTTAATCAGGTATCTAATATCTAAACCAGATATCTAAACCAAATATCTAGACATCTAAATACC